CATCTAATTTACCAAGATGATTTGTTGGGTGGAGAGGAAAGCTGAAAAACGTATGTGAGTGCGTCGAAAAAGGTATTTTTTGCCTTGAATGAGGGTAGAGAAGAATTTTCATTGACCTTTTTACGGAGGAGTATTCATTCGAACAGTTTGAGGGAGATGCATTAACATTACTGGAAGTATTGGTGGTTATTGTTCTTCAATGCTCTTGTCTCTTATCAATGTGCTCCTTTCTGCATTTTGTGTCCTTCTCCTGAGTGTTCTTATTAATTTTCTCCATCTATGTTTTTGTGTCAACTTTTGTAAACAAATGCATGTGTAATGTACAGTAAGAAGTTCACCTTTTGCAAAGCATTTCCATTTTGAAATAAACAATCCTTTTGTGTAAGAAAGACTCCTTTTGGCAGCAGGCTTTTAAAACCTATTCAAAGTTAAAAGTTGGACTGCAGGGGGAGCAGGTAGCACAGAGGGTTAGGTTAGTAGATTGTCCTTTCATCTTGATTACCTGCTTTGAAGGTAGTGCAGACTGATGGGTTGAAAATATTCTCACTTTGGTGACTGCTACAGTTTTAGGTGAAATGTTTTTATGAATTGTGCAGTCCTAATCCATTTCCCTATTGTCACAGCAAACAAACAATTAAAAAAAACTGCTCATAATTTGGCACAAATCGACTTTCTTTCAAACGAAAAGGATTGTGTGGGAAATAGAAACTTCTTCTATACTGTGAAAGGTGCTTTTTCTGAAATAGGGATTGAGGCACATTGTTGAGCTAAGGAAGATTGAAGTTTTTTTCTCTGCTTTTAATTGTGCTGTTGCTCACCTGGGAGCTTTTGATGCTCCTAAGTGGGAAAAGAGATGCGCTCTGGTCCCTAATAAGCGTGCTCGAACATTTGTAACAGTCGGGTTAAGACAATTAAAAGGAGGGAAAGAAAGGGATGTTTATTATGAAGTGTGGAAGAGGATGTAAAGCAGCTATAATAGCGTTTAATGGATTGGTTTGCTATATAAAACTGAGGCTAATCACAGTCATTAAAACTGTCTTGTAAACGGTTTGCAGTAAAAATATTACTAAAACTCAGCATGCCTCAGTAGAACTCTGGTCTCCTAGTGACAGTGCTGTAAGTGGATTTTATGGGCCTTTGATAAAAGTTATACCATTCATCATCTATGTATCCAATTCAGCTTTTTTCTCCGTCCAAAACATTATATAAATGATTCTTAGAAAGTAAGTCTAACTAGAACTTTGGATACATCAGAAAGGAAGTAATTAGTAAGGTAGCATCTTCCTCACAGTAGAACCAAACTCTTTATTCAATCTTTTCTTCCTGGATTAATGTTTTTGCAAGCTATGTAAGGGACTCTTTCAATACAGGGAACTCCGTCTCTTCTTTGGTCCCTTTGATATTGAGCTGCCTCCCTTATAGCATGGGTCTCAAGACCATCCTCTTTGACCATGCCTTCGGTCATCTTCCTATCCCTACCTTGCACCCTTCCTGATCCTAACGACTAGTTCGGGTGCGGATCCCTGACTGTCCGGAGCCTTGGGACGTCCTCCCGATGTGAAAGGCGTTATACAAATGTAATTTGTTGTTAACAACACACAAAATACTGCAGATGCTGGAAATCTGAAAACAAAAACAGAAGTCGCTGGGAACACTCAGCAGGTTGGGCAGCATCTATGGAGAAAGGAGTTGGAGTTCTGACGAAGGGTCGTGGACCCGAAACATTGACTCAGTTTCCTTTCTCCATAGATGCTGCCTGATCCGCTGAGTGTTCCTAGTGACCTCTGTTTTTGTTTTGTAATTTGTTGTTGTTGTCTACGGTGGACCTGAACTAACTAGAACTGCAGTATACCTGGCTTCTAGCACTGACTACCCACGTCCATGTGCTAAATAAAGGCAAACTCTGGATCATTTCCTGCGTGCTGCGTATGTGGCACATGGAGCTCTGTGAAGGAAGTTATACAAACATTACTTGCTGCGCATAGGAACCTGAATGCCTGAAAGTTGGCCATTTTTCCATGCCTCGCTTATGAGCTGGTGAGACATTGGACCTAGCTGACTATATTATAATGTGGTTTCTTTGTATTTGTCCATAGACCGTCGACTTCTTTCCTTCCTTCTTATGTAGATGCAAGTGACTGTCAATTTGAAAATATTCTTAGTTTGTCCGACAGCACTGAATCATGAAGTTATAATGATTTTGTATCTGAAGACGATGGGAAATGAGAAATTCTCTAAATTAGAGGCTGGCCATAACACAGTGTCTCAGTTGTGCAAGTAACAAAGGGATGTTTGTGTAAGTTTTCTTTTTAGATGGACTGATTGACAGTCACCATCTACTATTTACTTCTTATTCTTTGATCTCTAACCCTCCCCATTTCCTAGCTAAGCTATACAAGCAACCTGTTCCTAAATGTCTGCCAATACTGCTCTTCAACCAGATAATTAATGTATGATCTGTAGGCACGGTGAATACAATAGCCTTTCCTTTTCCTGATCTACACAGCTGACTTTGTGGGCACACAGCCTAGCATATCAAAAATTGCTTCTAAATTGTGTTTTTTTTAAGGGGGTGGGAAGTTAATGTATTTCTAGCTTGGGTCCAAAAGCCACTGACTGTCAAGCGCCCTGGGACATCTTTCCGATGTGAAGGGCGCTATACACGGGTAATTTGTTGTTTTCCTCTTCGTCTCCTACTTCATTGCTGGTTTCTCAGACAAATAGTGCGCATCAGTGATCAGGAGCAGGTAAGAGGTCTTACTGGCTGAAGACATCCATCCCTTTCCCATTCTTTTTCTCTCTCTCACCCCATCCTCTTTCTCTCTCCATCGATCCAAAGGCTTTTTTGAATTGCAAAAATATTTTGCCATGCTTGTTTTCGTCTGCCAAATTTAAGAGCTTACTGATGAATTCCAGTTAGTTTATTGACATTCATATGAGGCCTAAATTGGAACTAGAGCAAGCAATTATGTAGGCTAGCTAACCTTTGTGATAAATAGATTTGACAATAGTGGCTAGCAACAGGGAAAATACTCAGTTATGAAACTCTGGAACTTCTTGAGACATGTACAAAATACTGTTTTGGTAAAACAAGGTTTTATAGGTTTTAGCTAAACTGTTGTTTCTTATGAAAAAAATACAGAAGTACTTTACATGTGTAGTAGCTGGAAAAAAATATTCCAGACTTCTATTACCACTACAGCACAAGGAGTCTGGACACATCATGAATCAATACGAACACAACTAGTACAGAGATTAAACAGATAATAGACAAATGGAGTGATGGCATAATGAGCTGACTGGCTCCTATGCAGTATAAAATACAGGCGATAAGGTAAGGCAATAAATGGGAGGTCTTTAAGTGAAAATGTATTTCAATCTGCGTATTCCTTGGAGCAATGCCAGATGAATGTTCCAGGGTGAGAATGATCACTTATTGGCAATTTGATTTGATGCTTTGCTAGCTTTAAGATATTTTTTCGACTTCTTTTGATCAAATTTCAGCCCCTCCCGCCCCCCAACCACCACAGCTTGGGTGCCCAGACAACTGTGTCAAGCACTTTGAGACGTCCTCCCGATATGAAAGGTGCTATGTAAATTCACAGTGGTTTTACAGGGTAATACTAGGCTTGATTTTAAGTAGGATTCCCAGACTATTGGTATAGGTGTCAGGCTGGCTCAGTCAGTAGCATTCTTGTCAATAAGTCAGAAGGTTGTGGATTCGAGCCACATATTGGAATTTTAAGATTCATAGTCTGGACCGACTGTGCGAGGTGCGGTCCTTGTTGAGATGAGATGTTAAACTGAGTTCCCATCTACCTGATCAGGTGGATGTTAAAGATCCCAAGACAAAAGGGAAAGGGTTCTTCTGATATGTTGGCCACTAATCCTTAGATAAAATTGGTCATTCACTTGATGATTGTTTGTGGAACATTGGCTGTCTGGAGAGTGAACCCTCTGCTTTGAATCTCAGAGAGTTGTAGGGTTTACACAGAAGTTTGATAAATATTTTTCGTAGACATCCATCCAGAATAATTGCTGTCAAATGTAGTGACTGTTTTTGTAGCCAAATGTTGCGGCAAGATTCCCCCCCCCGCACTCACGGTTCAAATTTGGGCCTGCTGCATTGTTCGTTGCCCCCTCCCTGCACCACATAGGTGGTCAAGCCTTCAGCCACCGTGTCCTAACCTCTGGAATTCTCTCCAGAAATTCCAGCACCTCCCTCTCGCTGTTTTCAAAAGCCTCCTGAAAACATAGCTCTCTGACCGTGATGGTCATTTCCCTTCCCAAGCTCCCTGCTCTGTGTCATCTGGTCCCATACCTATAAAGCTCTTTCAGACACTGCCTCATGTGAAGGCACTATATAAATGGAAGTTTTAAACTCACACTACGTAAGAGTGGACTAACCAGTATACTTGCTGCCCCCAGGTACAATGCAATCTATCTGCTGAGAAATATTGAACCCAATTTTTTTAAAAAAACTTAACTTTCTGTTTAATGTATTCATTTTTAATGTGATGTGAACAGAAGACCTGGGCAGATCTTTGGGTTATGATTTCGATTTGACCACAAAATACAAACGGCCACATCACTACAGTATATCCCGTGAAGCGCTTTGATATGTCTCGACAACGTGGTCAGATGCTATATCAAACGCAAGGATTATTATTATGATATGTCTCCTCTATTTGGTGCTGACATAACTCAATGACTCTTTGACACATATGTGCTATGGATAGTATTGCATGTGAATACAAATCCATTCCCTTGGGTCATTATAACGTTCCTCATATTTATGGTGTAAAGTACAAATGAATGCACACTTGAGGCATGAAAATTTTTGTGAAAAGAAACATTATAATACCATTTGCTTTGGTTTCCTCCCCACTGCTGATTTCATTAACTGTATACATTCTGTATGTGCAAAATAAAAGTACCTCTGTGCTATTTGGAATTGTTATTGGCAAGCTGTAAAATGGTGGACTCCACTTGGTTTGCAGGGATCGGATGATTGTCTGGTGAAGATCTGGGCGACAGATGACGGCAGGCTGTTAGCCACTTTACGAGGACATTCGGCTGAAATCTCAGATATGGCCGTTAACTATGAAAACACCATGATTGCTGCAGGCAGCTGTGACAAAATCATCCGAGTTTGGTGTCTTCGGACATGTGCTCCCTTGGCTGTTTTGCAGGGCCACACTGCGTCAATCACATCCTTGCAGGTAAATTGAGTCCTTTGCTTATCATTGATGTTGGTATTTTGTAGACAAGTAATCACTGGTTTCAAATCTCTCTAATAAGGCTGCATGCTGTCAGTGGAGCCTAACTATGGTCTTCCTTAAGCAAAGGAGCTGCTGAGATGCTTTTACCCATAACATTTTTTGTGCAGCTGGCATATGCATTATTAAAGCAACTTATTAAATTCTGATTTTTGAAACCTTTCCAAAACGGTGGCACTGAATTAAATACATGATGGGACATCTAACTGATTCTTAAACCCAGATTCCAAACTACAGGAAATGTTGAGTACATAAAGGTGGGGGAAGGGGAGGGAGAGAGAGACTGAGATGTTTTCATTTTGTTAGCTTAACCTTATCTTGGGCAGATAGAGTTAAAGTAACTCAAATTTAAATCAGTGACTTCCGACAGAACTTTCCTCCGATATCTGGTACTTATTGATTTCAGCAAATTCATTGTCCTGTCTACAAATGTACAAATGGTTTCAGAGTGGGTATTAAATGGTAGCAGAGATCATCTAATAATAATAATCCTTGCATTTGATATAGCGCTTTTCACGTTTTCTACTTTTGAAGTGATCACTGGGCAACTTCAGCAGCATTTGATGACATCATTCCACTCTGTTGCTCCTGTGCAACTGTTCCTGAGATAGACGGGAGAAGCTATAAATGTATCAACATATGAGGGCTTTTTTATTGACAGATTCAATAAAAATGTTAATGTGTGCTTTGTGCTCCTGCTGAGAGGAACAGGAAGAAGTATAAAATATGATAGATTTGCTAATCCCGAAGATTTTCATGTATTCAGGCAAGCAGCAAGCTTTCACTGATCAAAATATTAAGCGATTGCAGGAAAAGGCCGTATAGTTCACAGAAATGGTCTGCAACAGATGGTTTGCGAGGCTTTTCAGTCATTTGTGGGTGGGAAAAGACTTGTTTTATTGAACAAGAGATGTGACTGCAGATTTCTGTAGAGACAGAATAATATAAATGGAGAAGATGACGATAACATAAAGTGGTTACCTTTTCCTTTGAGGCTTCACTGGACACATGGACAAAAGCTGGGAAATGTATTTATTTTGTTACTAAGCTTGCTTGTGTGTATTTTTATTGAAAATAAACACCCACCAATCTCTTAAAATCATAGAATTAAAGCACAGGGGAAGGCCATTTTGCTCTTCGAGCCTGTGTTGGTGTGAGCATCTCCACTAAAACAATACACCTTATCCTTGTTTCTTCTGTGTCTGTTTATATTTCTATTCATATTTATTCAGTTCCTCTTAAATGATGTAACAATCTTAGCTTCAATAGCCACTTGTGTCAAAGCACTTCATGTTCTACATGAAAACATTTCTTCTAACGTCCTCCTTCTCTTGTGTTCCATTTACCAATCTACCAAGAAGTTGTAATAATCTTTCATTATTTATGCACTCCAAACCTTTCAAACTTTTGAAGACCTAAAATCATAGAAAGTTTACAGCATAGAAGGAAGTTATTCAGTCCATTATGGCTGTGCTTGTGCTAGCTCCCCCACTGAAGCAATTTATGCTAATCCCATTCCTCTGCACTTTTTCTGTAGTACCCTTTAATATTATTTTTTGTTGAAATATTTATTTAATTCCCTTCTAAATACTGTTATGGACTTGGCTTAAACAGCCATTTGTGGGTATGTTATTCCCCCTTCTAACAATCCCTTTTAGATCACTTCTTATCCTTCTGTTCCAGTGAAAACATTCCCAGCTTTCAAGCCTAATGTCATCCTCATCCATGGTTTGATGTGCGTGAGTTTGTTGTAACTATTCATCGGCTTTGATGTACTTTCTATAATGGGATGCTCAGAAATGCACCCAGTACTGCAACTGATCAATGACGTGTGCAAGTTCAACAAGTTGTTTTTGTATTCCAGTTACCAACCTTCCTACCAATTAACACCTTCACTGTTAGCAAATTAACCTTGAGACCACTCGAAGCACCACCCTCCAGGAAAGGAAAAAAATCAAATAGAAATAATTAACAATCAGAATGACTTAAATTGTGTGCTCCTAAAAGATAACCACCTCACCAAGACGGGGTTAATAGTTTGGAAGATTTTTTAATCCTTGCATTGCATTGTAAGGAATTGGGAAGGCAAAGGTAACCCTATAGAGGCCATTTTTGGTGGGGGGGGAATCTTTACCAGCATTTTTGATGCATCTGTAGCGAATATGACATTGATTATTATACCAGTGTTTAGACTTCTGAATGATTGAAGGTATTTAACCTTCCACTAAACTACTACAATTAATATCGACAAGACGGAAGCCATACTCTTTGGCTCTCGTCAACGTCTTTTCTCCTGTAGGTCTGAACTCGCTGGGCTGTCCCTCTGACTCTCTGAACCTGTGTGCAACTTAGGCGTCAGGTTCAATCCCCAGCTTTCCTTTTTACCACACATCTGTTCTTTGACCAGGACAGCTTTTTTCCACCTCCGCTACATTGCCAGCCTCCGTCCACACTTCACAACCCACGTCCATGCCTTTGTCACTTCCCAGCTGAACTATTCTTCCCAGCTCCATCATACACAAAATCCAATTAATTCAAAACTCTGCCGCCCAGTTACTCACCCATATGAAACTCCGTACCCTCATCATACCAGTCCTTGCCAGGCTCCACTGAACGGATCGATTTCAAGATCCTCTCACTCGTTTTCAAATCCCTTCATACCGTCGCACTTCCCTACCTATCCGACCTGCTTAGCTCCCACTCTGGAACTTTCTCTCTTTATCCCTCCGATTTTCCCCCACCTTCAAATCCCGCCTAAAGACCTTCCTTTTTGATCGAGCTTACAGTCACCTCCCCCCCTCCGTTTCCCCCCTCCCTCTTGCCCTTGCTCGTTGTCAGACTCCGCCACTGTGAAGCGCTCCGGGACCCTACCCCACGTGAAGGGCGCTATATAAATACAAGTTGTTGTTGTATTAACTTGAGGTACAAGAAGGTTTCTTAAAGAGACCTTCAACTCAATTTCATCATGCTTTGGGGGAAAGTTAATCTTGTCCTATATTGTAGGATAAGTGAGTAATTTGGAGGCTGTACTGGAACTGATAGTGACAATTGTACAGTATCACGGCTTTAGCTAAGAATTTATTTTGCCCATCCCATACAAGCGAGAAAATGGAGTGGAAAGAATGCTTCAATTACACATTCTTATGCTAATAAAACACAATATTTACTTGTACACTTACCAATAATAATAATCTGTGCATTTTATATGGCGCTTTACCACGTCTTCAAGCCATTTCAAAGAATACGCTGTAAAGGGAATTGACTATTTTGTGGGTGAAACGCGATAGCCACTGTGCACAGCAGTGACCCACAAACAATCAATACAAGAATAGAATAACTTTTTTGTTACTTGTAGTCAAATACGTTTGCGATGGCTTCAGTACGTCGGGACATGAAACAATCGTGAGTTTCCCTCCTGTTTGTTTGGTAGTGATGGTGTCAGCCTGGCTCAGTTGGTAGCCCTTTTGCCGTTGAATCAGAAGCTTGTGGATTCAACTCCCACATTTAAACTCAAATTTTATGCAAATATGATTCATTGTTGGAGGTGCCATCCTTCAGATGAGAGTTTAAATCATGGTCCCGTCTGCCTGTTCAGGTGGACATTAAAGATCCCATGACACTATTCAAAAAGAGAAAGGAGTTTCTCTTGTTGTGCTGGCCAACAATCCCCCAAATAAATTCGGCCATTCAATTCATGGCTGATTGTTGCACATTGCTGTGTGCAAAATTGGCTGCCATATTCACCAAGAATATATAGTCACTGCACTTTAGAGTACATCCTGTGAAACTCTTTGTGATGGCCTTCTAATGTGAAATGTGCAATATCAAATGCAAGGATTATTTTTCTTATCATACCCTGGCATGATTTTTCACGGAAGCCATGATTTATCCAAAGACTGAGAGAGTGTACATGATTGTCTTCTTAATAAGCACTTAGAAAGCTTGCTCCCTTTCTGCCCTCTAGCTCAATGTCTGAGTTTATGTATTTTGGATTTTTTAATGTATAATTCCTTTGGGTCGCTCTTTATTATTGCTCTCACACAAAATAAGTGAGGTAAATTGTTGGAACAAGGCCTTCACAATGGGGAATATCACATATGTAGTCAAAAGGGTGGGTGTCAAAAGGGTGATGGGATTTGCTAATTGCGACTTGGTTGCTGACTGGGAATTCTGCTAGTAACCAGCTGGATGTCTCTGCCGATTTGTGGGAATTCTGCCATGTACTTTTAACAATTTGCGGCAATACCCCGAGAATTGATGTTAAGCTGCTGCTGATTACTTGCTGGATTCTCTAATAGAGATTCTGAGTCTCTATCAATGAATCCCATTGTAGGACTGTTATGTTTTTTGATGCCATTTCTCCCCCCACCCCACCATGACTCCTATATGGCATGAAGTGTTCAGAATGTTCACCTGTTTGGATGATGACCTGGTGATTTGCAGATTAGGGGTTGAACTGTGTTCACAGAATGTAAGACCTCACACGCAGCAAAGCAAGGTTATGCTGCCTTGGTGAGCTACATTTTTCAGTTTCCTGTCAGCACTTGGCATAGTGACCTGTGCAACGATTTGTGAAGCTTTAACGCTGTTACGAATTCTGATTTAAGTGTTTGCACTGGATTTTTCTAAATTTCTTCCCCAGTTAATGTGGACTGAAGCCAACACCTGCATGACCAATTCTTCTCATTTCTGCATTGATTCAATGTGGGCTGTTTGCTTAATCATCCTTAAACTATACCAGCTGTTGATTCTGATATAATCAGAGTTTATAGGCTTCATTTAAACCGGGTTGTACAGCTTCTCCCGAACAATTCTGTAAATGTGCACAGATTCTCAGTTAGTGGTGCGCACTCATAGCAGAGGAATGTACATGACCGGAAAAGACCAATGCAGGCAATCCATTTGGCAGGCCCTGACTTTTTTTTAAAAAAAAGGAAATCAAAAAGAACAAGCAACTACTCACTCTCATATCCTCTAATTGAATTAATCGCTAAAAACTACAACAAAATTCTACCACATGTATCCTCACCCACACAAACACTATTGACTTCAGTGACTGTGCCTCCAACTACTACACCTGAAATGTCTGGAACTTCTGTCTCAATCCGTCCACTTCAAACCCTCTTATCTTTATTTACAACCTGAAAACCTACCTTTTCAACTGTGCCTATGGTCACCTCTCTCTTTCTCTGCCTTCTCCCTTGCTCAGTATCTACCTCTGACAGTGAAATGCTCCCGTGGTTGATATCCTATATGCAGGATGCTATATATATGCAAGTTGTTGAATAATTTCCTTTTGAATTTACCCACCCAACATACTGCCTCCATCTCCTTGCACAGTCTATTCCACATATTCTCTTGTACAAAGTAATTAAATCTGAACAGTCACTTTCTCTCTTCTGAGTCCTTGTTTGTAGATTTGTTGATCTTGTTAAACATAACTGTTCAGTTCAATAGTGAGTCAGCTAGCACAGTCTGGCAAAAGGCATGACCGGTCATTAAAGATTCAGACTTATATTTTACCTATTCTTAACTGTTACTCACATGGGATTTCCTTTGTTCATATGTTAAAATTAAACTAATCAAGGAAATGACTTGATCTTTGCCTGCAAAGTGTTTTAAGTCTTTCTCTCCTGACTATCTTCATTCAAAACTCAGAAATAAATATGTTAGGAAGCTTTCTGATTAAATTCCATTTAATCAGTAGAATGACCTATTGCAATTACTCTGGACCTTGGTGAAATGCAGCAGTCAGCTGCTTGTAATTAACGGCCTGTGTAGTCAAGTCTTTCATTGCAACTCAAACCATAACTGTAACAGTACCGAGAAATGGATGCAATTTCCAGGATCTGACGGGGTGGTTTCAATTGTTTGCAGTTGTACATAATCACTGAAGAATGCAATAATGAATTCAACCAAATTTTGCTGAGACATAGCCTGGAAAATCTCACTGTAAAGTTGTTGCTTAACCCTTTTTAGCTTTGAATATCTGTCTGGTAGCCTAATGGTTTTCAAAATAAAGTAGCATTTCTTAATGTCTTAACAACCGCAAAAACACTAAGATATTTTCCTGTTCGAACAATATTTTAATGTGTACTCTTTGATTTTTCAAAAATAACTTGCTAATTTTGCCAGTGGGAAGGAGGGTTGTTGTAAGGAACTGTGACATTGTTGGGGGAGTGAAGCCCTTCAAGATTTATGTTCTGTAACTAGCAATAGGAAAGCTTGTATTAGGTTTTCTACATAAAAAACTTAAAGGTGTGTATTCCCTTATTTAAAATGCTGGAATATTCACTCCTTGGCTCAGAGCTACAGAAGACGCATGAAATGAAGTTCTTCCCTTTGAATTACAGGGAATTTGATTTAATGTGTTTGTAAGGAGCCAGCATTTTAATTTTTTGCCCTCCTTAAAAATATCTATTAGATGCCAGGTTGATTCTTCCAGGAACATATGTTTGTCTGGTAGATGATGCCATGCATGTCTAAGTATTGTGGTAATATGAATCTCTCATCAAACTGTAATGGTTCATTTGCTTGCTCCGGGTAATGCTTAAATAGCTGGATCATTTTAAATCAAGCAAGTGATTATCTTTAATCTTTGGGTGCCTTTATTAGATCGACACCAATTCAGCAGTTTTTAATTTTTGGCCACAAGCCACGCGATGACCAGGCTCATCGTACACCTTTTCCATACCAATAGCACCATTGAATAGCTGATCTTATTAACTTTCACTGTTTATTTGCATTCCTAGCTGTGAGTCCTGTTAAGTCCTAACAGTGGTTCTCAGAAAACTAGTTTTTGCTATTGAGGAAGGGAGGTAGCAGTTGTGCAAATTGGCAACTCCCTCAAACTGGGGAGGCAGTGCTTGCAAATAATTAACTTTCTCAGGCACTGTCATTATTAGGAGTGTCCTTAAAAGCTTTAAAAAATCTTACAAGCTAAGGTTAAAACTTATGAAGTGCCTTTCACATTGGGAGGACGTCCCAAGGCGTTAAGACAGTCAGGGAGTTAGGCCCTAGCAGGGAGTTGGGGTCCCTACCTACCTGCCCGTACCCTCCGTTCCTCTGGCTCTGGTCTGCTCCACGTCCCCCGCCCCAACCGCCCTACCATCGGTGGTCGGGCCTTCAGCCTCTCAGCCCCGAGGCTCTGGAACTCTATCCCCCAGTGCCTTCGCTGCCTCCTCCCTTTCCTCCTTCAAGGCCGGTCTCAAAACCTTTCTCTTTGACCGTGCCTTCAGCTCCCCTCTCGACTCTCTTCCCCCTCCTCGCTCCCTCCCTTCCCTCCCCTCACCCTGACCATTTCCCCCCTGCTCGGGTCATGACCCAACTGTGCAGCGCCTTGGGACGTCCTCCTGACGTGAAAGGCGCTTTATAAATGGAATCTTGTTGTTGTTGTTGTCAGGAAGGGTGGAGGGCAGTGAGGGAAGGTGTAGAAGGGCGGCTGAAGGTGCGGTTGAAAAGGAGGGTCTTGAGACATGGAGGCAAAGGAGGGAGTGAGTGTGGGATGGCATTGCAAAGGTTGGGGGCAGAGAGGCTGAAGGTCTGACTGCCGATTGTGTGGCAGGGCCGGGCGGGGGACTTGGAGCAGGCCACAGCCTGCTGAGCAGAGGGAGTGGACAGGTCATCAGCAGGTCACAGAAGTAGGAAGGAGCAAAGCCATGGAGGGCTTTGAAGGCGAGGATAAGGATTTTGAACTCTGTTCTCTGGGGCGAGTGGAACCGGGCGAGAGTGGGGGTGATAGGGTCACAGAGCCCATTAATGTTACCAGCAGTCACTATAGGCTAGAATCCGTGATCTGCTGCTAANTTTTTAGTTAAAAAAAATTCAAAGCTCCATGTGATGTTTGTGACTGTTTGAAAACATTCAATCTAAATTATTGAAATTCTAGTTTACCCAAAATCCATAGCCCCCAAATTTGTATCCACGTTCGGGTGGCGGTCTTTCTGATTTTGGAGCTCACAGGTGACCTCTGAACCCGTGATGGTGGACACCGAGCCTCAACGTGGAAAAATCTGCACTTCAGGATTTGTTCTTGATGCCAGAATTGTTTGGACTTGTTGCTCAGGAGCTGAGAGGGCGAGAGCTGTTTGGAGTTGTGCTGTAAAAACTTTATGGTGGTTGTTCTCTGACTAACCCCCACACACTAAATTACCCAAATATTTTTGTGTCACATCCCCTTTCCTGTTTTCTAACATCTTAAATACACCCCCACCCCAAAAAAAGATCTGCTGTACTCAATTGGCAACTGCGTTTCGCCCACAAATTACAGTCATTAGACTTAACCGTATATCTTGTGAAGCACTTTGAGACGTCTCGAAGACATGATAAGGAGCTATATCAAATGCAAAGATTATTATTATTAATTTTATTTCATGGATTAAAAAGAGACTTTAATGGCCCTCACCACTTTCATATCCTTCTCTATTGTAAGTGGTAACTTGGGCCAGGTTACACTTGTGTTGGGTTGTGCTTCCAAGTGCACTGGCAGCTTTGCACTATCCTGCTGTCTTATTCACCAGAATATTGTAAGCTGCAAGTGTCTGCAAACAGTGCTGCTTCTGCATATTTTCATGGGAGGAAGGCATTTGTAGTAGTTGAGCGTATTTTTGTTGATACTCATCTTGATGTTGATATATCTCTTGATATATTTTAAAAAACGTTGTTTTGCATTACCCATCACTAACCCTTTAATGTTGCTGTTTTTCAGTTCTCGCCAATGTGCACTGGCTCTTTGAGGTTCCTGTCTTCCACAGGGGCAGATGGCACGATTTGTTTCTGGCAATGGGATGCTGGCATGTTCAAATTTAGGTCAGTCAATTTATGCTTTACTCTTGTGAAAATGTTCAGCTGGAATTCTTAAAGCAGCAAAGAGATTCTTTACTTATTACTGTTGAGTCTTTTGGATATTTGACTTATTAAAGTTAAAAACGGTTTGATTTCCATCAAGGAAGAAATCATGTGAATATTTGTTTGCGTGTGAATATGATGTGAAAGTTCTTCCATATGTTCTTGTGCTTTTGTTCAGACTGCATGTGATCTTAAATGGCTAGACTGCTTCAAAATTGAATTGGAAGCCATTCCATCACATAAAGGGTTGGGAGAATGTGGCTCTGGATGCAGAATTAATTTGGGTGTTTAAAAGGAAGATAGGTTCTAAGTAAATAAGTGTAACCACTGTCTGCTCACTGTAAGTGATTTCCATGTCTGAATATTGTGACTGGACACCATAAAGATATACAGCCCTACTGTAATGATCTTGGAAGGCAATATAATGAGAAAAGATTACTAACTGAAGCAGCACGGGATATAGCACAAATATCCAGATCTGCAGGTAGATGAGTATCAATTGACGTTTAATCTCAGCTGCCTCCTCCAGCCATATTCTCCCATTGATTTTTTCCACTCCATAAATTCAAACATATTGCAATATATCCCAACCCCTCAACCCCGCCATTGGCAGTCAAGGTTTCAAAGGAATTAAAGGATTTAAATAAATTGTTTAAAATTATTCATAATGCACACCCAATTCTAAGAGTTGATGTTCTTTGTATATTTTATTGGAGTAAATATACTGGTGGCTTTCAGTCGTTAAGAAGCAGGTACTTGTGTCTTCCTTTAAGTTTCTACTGTTTTAATTGATTATTATTCTTCATGCAAGTCTAGCTTGATTAAAAGCCAATATTTATGCTGCTTTGAAAATTGTAAGGAGAATACCACACCTGTGCACAGATTCAAGATTTGCGATCACCTGGGAAATCTATCAAATACAAGAATTATTATATTATTATACTGCCTTATCATGTCGTTGATGTCTCAAAGTGCTTCATAGGAGTAACTGTAAACTGTAGTCATTGTGTAATAGTTGTGCACAAATTGACTGCTGTGTTTGCCGACAATGTCAAGACAAACAGCCATGAAGTGAATGATCAATTTTATCTGGGGAATTGTTGGCCATAGCACTGGGAGAAACTCCCTTCTTTTTTTTTGGAATAGTGCCATGGGATCTTTAATTGCCATTACGTGCTGCTTTCTTACGATGACCAAAGAGTTATTTCATGAATAGAAATGAGGAGGTGGGGACGAATAATAAATACTGTGTTTGTATATTATTTAAAATTGCATCATTTAAATTAATAGAGTCTTTGAATCAGTTTAATTTAAACTTGGGACCCACTTTGGATTTGAGTTGATGGGTTTGCCAGTCAGGCACACTGTGTCCAAAACAAAGTCAAGACTAGACATATGTCTATAATTCACCTACCACAATGCGTTCTATTTCAACACACTTATCAGCCAAATATAGAATCATTTGCAGGTTTAATGAAAAATTTACAAGTCATTTCATTGCCACCTGAGGCATTTTACAGGCCTCTGAGGTAAGTCTCTAATCTTCCTTGAATAATCACTCAAAAAGCATTTCAAACCCAGTGAAGACGAGAGAAAGAGAACATTTAACACGGCAGCTTAAAATGATCCTGCTGTGGTAATGCAAGTTCTGGAACGGAAAAAATGTGTGCGTTTTGAGGGAACTCAGTTGCTTGTATCTGAACCAGAGGATGATTGTATCCTAGGGCTGTCAGTCAAACTCGTTCATCTCTGCTCACTTTTTTGCCTTATTTTAGAGTCGCACCAGTGAATAGATCCAAACAACAAGAGAATAATATCTTTTCTCACCACTTTTTTTAGTGTCATCATTTATTCATGAGAGGCAAATTTGCAGCTGGAGGTGGGTGCCGTGGAGGTGGAAAGAGGGGAATTTGGCCAAAACACAGTCATAAAGAGAGTGAAAGTTCCCATTCCCCTGCTGTCTGTTTTATACTTTCCGAAAAGGGTTTTAGAATCCATGATTATGTAAAAACATCCACTGCTTGCTGGCATCACAGAGCTGTACCAACTTCTTCACCAAGAAAAGCTGAAGAAGATACAGTGTGCATTTTAACACAGGGCTCAGGCTTTGAGGAAAGTCAGTCAGCCTGTCATTCTTATAGCAAATAAAACATTGACATTCCCAATATTGTTGTCTTCCATAATTTGCTCAACCTTCAAATAAAATTAGGAATGTGTTGTCCCACAGGACAAGTTCACATTGGACATATTCCTTTTAAGGAATTCATGCCCCGGGGAACCAAATGGACTTTCCACTCTTTGCTGTATATAAGGACCCAGCTTTTTTTTTGTTCTAATATTAGGAGTGTATTAGTTTAGTGAATCTCCAACATCATAAAACAATCCGTAACAGTTTAAATCCTGCCTTGTGGGTTTGCGATGTGCACAAAGAACATTTTCTTAGTTTATTTTGCAGTTTGTCTGAAAGACTCTTGCCTTGTTCTGCTCAATCTTAAATTTTAAGTCCAAAAGTATCTTATATGTAGACTTGCCTGTTTCTAATTTTAATTGGTAAACAGTGTGCAGGAAGTGACATTAGAGCTGCTGTCTGCTCACTGTAAGTGATTTCCGTGTCACCTTATGTCCAGGAAGTCAGCCATGTTTGCAGTCAAAGTGCACAAAGTTTCCAAAAGTTTAAACTTTAAAAAAAAATCCAAATCAGGCAGTTCTGTTTATCTGCTGAAACAAGACGGAATTTCTCATGTCTGAAGCCTAAAATTTCTCATTGTTCTTAGCCTACAACTACACAAAAATGCAGCTTCTGAATTCAGACAATTAAAGATTTATTCTAAATTTGCTCAGTCTTAAATTTCAAGGTAATGATCTTACCATTAAGACTAAAAATAAGACTTAAGAAGATACTAAGATCATGAGAGATTTCAGGACTTGGGAGGTTGAACAGCGTGTTACAGAGCACATGTTACAGATGGATAGGTTGATGTCAGTGACTGATTTACCAAGGCACTCCTCGCCAGTTTCCCCACCTTCCCTATTCACAAGGTCCAAATAATTCAAAGCTCTGCTGCCTGAGTCCCGTACTAGGCTCTGCATCTCTTATCATCCCAGTTCTTGCCAGGCTCCACTAGTTTCCTATTGCAGAAGGGATCGATTTTAAGATTCTCACTTTCAAATCTCTTCATGCCCTGGCATGTCCATATCTCTCCAATCTGCTCACATCCAACTCCGCTACCTGACACCTTCGCTAAACTGTCACAGTTCTGCTGCAAATCCCTCAGCCCCTCTGCTCCGTAATTGGCTGCTTGCTTTCAGCCACTATACCCTGAATCTCTGGAACTCTTTGGCTGAATCCCCCTGTCTCGTCTTTCCTTCCCCACCCTCCCGGGGGGATATAAATTAATATACTTTAAATATTAATGAAATGAAGGGGTTAATGTTTTGATTTTTTAAATTAATTGTACATAAGATGAAAGCATACTGCCTATGATGCAAATGTCAGTTTCAATAACCTTAGAGGGGGAGAAGATGATGTTAAATAATCCCCAAAAGCTTCTGCAACTATAATGGATGAAGAATATATTCACATTATGTTTATTTAAACAAAGTGGATTTGAATTCAGTATCATGTAGTTTTTCATATTTTGTATATTTTTAAATGCAGCGATCGACCAATTAAATTTACTGAACGGCCAAGACCCGGAGTCCAAATGATCTGTTCTTCTTTCAGTGCCGGTAAGTGATGTTCAGGCTTTAACCACTAAATAGTTTTGGGGATTGTAATTGTTTGTAAAATGTAAATGTGCAAGTAGATGTCAAATGTAGGGTTTTTCTTGTCATTTTTTAAATGCTTGTTTAAAAACTGATTTGAGATGAGGTTAGCAACCATTTGCTAAACTCATGCTCAAAGTTTTTAAGCTGATATTCAGGACATTCCTTTCCTATCATTGCATATGGCCAGCGTTGTGCAATCATACAGAATGCTCAGTGGGATGCGAATCTGTGGCTTCCCCCCTTTGGGGCTAAAACGTACGAGCAGATTTCTAATGTGGGTCTGGTGTGCATTGTACAATTTTAATGAGATTTCAGTATTTAAATATCTTGTGAGTTCTTTGATGTCTGGAAATCCCAGCACAAACGCATCTGTTTTCTAATGGTTCTGTTTTTTTTTAAAGTTTCTAACTAATTATCTTGGGTTATTCAATATCTTCTACCTTTGTTTAGACAGGGTATAATTTGTCGAAAATTTGCACTTATTGGACCCTGGGGCCTATATCTGGTGGTGGTATGTAACCATCTAAAGCTAATGGCAGTTGGGAGAGAGAGGATCTCTACATTTGATTTTGTATATTTACTTTGTACGTTCAAGTGAATGTGCAGCATGGATTGTACCAATATACTGTGGACATTCTAAGGCTGAACAAATGGGTGCATAGTTGGCAGATACTGGTTGCATCTGTATTGCTTTCTATTTATGATGGTAAATTGTTTATTTATAGGCCTATGAGAAGTTATCATCTCAATTTAGCATCCCAAGCGCTCTGAGATGCTACCTTGATGAGGGATGCTACATATACAATTACCTGTTGTTTACGTACCTATATATAAACAGATTTATTCAATGGTATCCTGTGATTTCTATTTGCGAAATGTATGTACAGTGCTCTACAGTGTCCAGCATTCATCGCGTCCCCTGGCATTCATTACGTCTAGACTATATTACATCACCACTTTGCTTGCTGGACTACCCATCTCTTCCCTTCACAAGCTGCAGACTATCCTGAACTCTGCAGCTCGTGTCCTTTGATAGGCTCCGCGAGCCTGTCGCTTCATCTTCACCCAGGTTCACTGGCTGTCTGTCCAAATCTTTAAATCTCTCCCACGCTATCTCTGCAACCTTTCCCAGTCGTACGATTGCTCCCTCTGCTCAGCGGACAGCATTCTACCTTGTGTCCCTGCCCCACCATTGGCGGTTGAGCTTTCAGTATGTCTGTCCCCACTCTCTGGAATTGCATTCTGCAATCCCTTCGACTTGTGACTTCCCTCACCTCCTTCAAGATCTGCCTCAAGACCTTCCTCTTTAACCGTACTTTCAGCTGTCTTTTCCCCTCTCACCCCCCTTCCTCCCATCCCCTGACTTGGGTGCAAACTTTGGACTGTCCAGCACTTTGGGATGTCCTCCTGACATGAAAGACACTATATTCATGTAACCTTGTATTGAATCTGAAGTTGCTCTGTACTCAGCAGGGTTATTACTGTAACAACAGACCATTAGTAGGTATAATTAACGTGCTACATGACAATATATTTCAAGAAATTAAAAAAATCCATCTCAATATTTGGAAAATTTAAACATAAATGAAGAGCTTCACAAATTAGGTAGTACAAATTAGATAAGGTACTTTTGTTTGCATTAGCATTGCATTGTACCTTTGTTTCTGTACTGCTGTTTGAGAATGTTTACAAGTAATTTGAAAGTTTCCCCCTTTTCCTGAATGGATGCTTCTGATTTCACACTTTGTTGGTTTTAAATTGTTGTAGATTTACTTGGGTATCACATGTGCATTTTGTCAGCCAGTACCTGAGGAGAAGAGCATAAGATAGAGTACCATTCATACAAAGGCATAGAGATGCCCTGAGTACTGTGGGGAATGGTAGACATTTCAGGAAACTCATTGCAGATTGTTACTTTTGGAAATGAAAGACATTAGCATCCCCTCATCGCTCCGTTTTTTTTTACTATTGGCAAGTACGTTTGGAGCTGATTGCCGATCTTTATTTTTGAGTGGTTTTGGTTCAGACCTTTGATGACCATTGTGGCCTTTGGAGTTAACTGATGCTTCGAGGCGTAGGCCAGTCGCTAGCAGTATCAATTATGCTACCCTCGTCATGCAATTATATCTGCTAAATTTGGACCGGAGACTTAGTTGATTTTCATCATTTTCATGCTCTGCTCAATGATGCATTACTTTACCCCACTTTACATGAAGCGCTAATAATTGCTGAATGCTAATCCTTTCTATAGTTACAGGTTTGTCAAGTTCTTTATTTTTATCCTGCACCAAGTTGCAATTATCACAGGAATTGCATTGGTGATAAAATGTTATGTGGGTAGTTAACATCCTGTTTGACCAATTACTCACTTTTACAAACTGTGGCCTTGATTTCTTACCTTTCAATGAAAAAACTTGATTGCAGAAATCAATTCCCAAATAGTCAAAGAACTTATTCAGTCTTGAATGCAAATTGCATTTTCTTCACAATCTTTTTTTAAAACAAATGTCTTCAAACGGGTTTTGAGCTGACAAATAAGTGTTCCTATGTCTGCAATGCATGAACACTCCCATAGTTGCTATTACATTTATTGGGTATTCACCTTAAATAAGAGGTAACTGTCTTGAATTTAAGTCCAATCTTGGGTTGTCAGGAGATGTCTAAGTGCTGATCAAGCTATCAGGAAACCAAAGTTAGTCAAAGTACTAAAACTCAATACTCAAGGGGATCCTTTTCAGGATCTTCATCCTGTCTTTCAAATCCATTCATGATCTCCCCCTCCCTACCTTTTGCTTCAGCCTTATTCTTTCCAGGTCCTATTTCTTCTGTCTCTGTTGCCTGAGATATCAGTCACTATGTTCCTGCTGTCTGGAACTCTGTCCAAAAAAATATTTGGTTTGTGGTTTCTCTCCCTGCCTTCAAAACTTTTTTCAAAAATAGTTGTAAATATATAATGCCCTGAGCATTTGGTTATATAATTGGCAGAAAAGCAGATCTTTCCATCTTGTGAACAGGTAATTAAGAATGGAAGAATTGTCTTATAATTATTGATTTGCCAGCCACAGTGTGCTCTGATGGTCTTTTATCCTATCCCCAACAGGTGGAATGTTTTTGGCAACAGGAAGCACAGATCATATTATTAGAGTCTACTACTTTGGGTCAGGGCAACCTGAGAAGATTTCAGAGCTGGAGTTTCATACTGTAAGTCAAAAGATTAATATTAATAAAGATTTAAAAAAATTACAGGTACAGTTAACTAATTTTTATATTTTGTTTCCTTTTATTAGGACAAAGTGGACAGTATTCAGTTCTCCAACACTGGTGACAGGTAAGTGATAGTGGCACATTTCGCTATGACTAATTTCTGGAAATTTGTCGATTCCAAAGTTATCTAATGATCTGTAAATAATTTCTACTACAGTGAATGCAAGTGTTTAAGTTTTCTATGCCCCTAACCTCTTTCTACCCCTCCATCTCACCCCTTCTCTTTCTGTCTTAAGTCTTGCCTAAAATCCTACCTATTTAAATGCGCCAAAGGCCACCCTCTTCTCCCTTGCTTCACGTCCCTGGCCTTGCTCGCCACACTATCAGCGGGCGGTCCTTCTATCACTCTATACCCATCCTCCGGAACTCCATCCCACAGTCCCTCCGTCTTGTCCCCTCCCTCGCCACCTTCAAGACCCACCTCTTCGACCGTGCTTTCGATCTCCCTGCTTCTTCCCCTCCCCACCCCGACCCTCAGCTTGGGTCTGTAACTCTGTCCAGCGCCTTGGGCCATCCTCCCGATGTGAAAGGCGCTATATAAATGCAATTTGGTTGTTGTTGTTGCTGAGTGTCCAACTCTATTCCTATGAAGCACTCCCAAAGTATTACCCTATGTGAAGGGTGCTATATAAATCCAAGTTATTGTTAAATTGATTAACCCTCCAACATAAAAATGATTAGTCGAGTAATTGCCAAAGTCGATTTGGTTTGCCAACAAATGCAGTTACTACATTTGACGCTAATCACCTGTGAAGCATTTTGAGATGTTCTGATGTGATAAGGGACCATAATATACAAGAAGTACCACAAGGCTTTCAAACACTTTTGGAGCTGATTTGAGTTGACTTTTGCAAATTAGCATTAAAACAATTTTGAAAGTTCATATGAGGCCAAATGGACTCATTCTTTACATGGCCAAAGGGAATTTATAGATTTTAAATATTAAAGAGAAATTAATTTAGTCTATTGGGGCTGCATCCCAATCACAGAGCAGTAATGCAGATGTTCATGAATCACTTCACCATATTCAAATTTTGAATCTTTAATCTGTTCACATTTCATTGCCATCCATGCTTCAATACATCCTGAGAACTCCAGCCATTGAGCTTTGCATTCCTTCTCTAAATTTGCCCACTTTAATTTAGTTGCATTTTGTTGCTCTGTTACTTTAAAACCCATTCGTTATCTCAAATTTCTACAATAAATTGGGTCCGATAATAAACACACTGAATGTATTTCTGATGAAGCGCCATTTAGTGACACTGTCTTTTGGAGTTGTTGGTTTCTTAAAGATCTACCTACCGCTATGGCTGTTCTGACCTTTTTTAAAAAAAAATCCACAGAATTACATTGCACCGTTCTAACACACTGTTTGGGATCCATAAAATCCCAATCTACTTTATAACAATGCCCAATTTTGGGATTGAATTTTTAAATACGAAAAAATAAATGGTCAACTTTTGGATCATTAAGTCTCCACTGATGATAAGCAACTTTACATTTATGGTGAAGCGCATTATGGCAGGGTTGCACTCTATATGGTGGACATAGCCTTGTAAATTAATTCAAGTAAATACGTCAAGTAAATGCATATTAACTGTATATATACAGCTAAATACGTACTTCCATTTATTTATGTGTGTGTGTATATATAATATATTTTTTATATATATATATAAAAAACAAAGCTATTTACCAGTCTGTACACATTGAAGGGTGATTAGGAAGATATTTATTGGATAAAATTCTTCTATTCCACACTTCATATTCTGAAGAGGTTGTATTGACTCTATTTGCATTTGCCCATTGCCTTCATATGAAAGGTAACATTTGGTTGTCTGCGTGAAATAAATTTCCTCAAGGTAAATTTCTGAATTATGGATTGGTCACTTCTTTTAGCTAAAGGAGAGTGTAGCTGTTTTCATGTGGAGTATCAGAATAAGTTTGGGGGCAGCTTTGATGAAGTGATGGTTGGAGCTGCAGCTTCCTTGCCAGGAGCTCACTGGATTGAACCATAGCCCATGCTCCATTTTCCATGCTACAGGGAGAGGCTAATTGGCTCTAGGCTTCCCAGGGATGGGTCCTGTTCCAGGTCAGTATGTTGGTGCTATAAGGGTGCAGCGGCTGAGTGGGGAGGTCAGGCTTCGCCGTGAACCATCTATAGTCGAGTGGCCTCCTGACACCCACTGTCGAGGCTCGCACATGACCAATGGGCACTTGGACGGGATATTGGGGTGTAATCTGTCTGGAACCCCACCCCAGCAAGTGGAGGCCAACCCAGGAGCAGTGAGGCATATGCCAAGGGGCAGAAAATTAGAAGAAANTTTTTTTAAATAAAAGAAGAAAATAAAAGAAAATAAGTTCTGACTCGTTTTGGTAGGTTTGTCAGTGGAAGTCGTGATGGGACTGCAAGGATCTGGCAGTTTCGACGGCAAGAATGGAAGAGCATTTTACTGGACATGGCAGCCAGGCCAGCTGGGTGAGTGGCCAACTCTGTCTGCAATTTTGATGAATGCTCATTAATGTTGCACTATACTGTGCAGTATCTGATAGATTCATCTGCAAATCTTTGCTCTTAATTCCAAGTATGCCTACAAAGTTAAAAGTACTGACAGCAATGAGATGATGCAATTAACCAGTGTTAACTTAAAATGTGTTTATGTGATGTAAACTTGCTGAGGCTGGATGTTGTCTGGAGAGTGGGTGAGGGAGGTTGTTGTGGCCTGCTGGCAATGATTCACTCAGGTGAGGACAGTCAGTGTTGTGATCAGCAGCCAAGCAAGTAAATGGTAAAGGCTAAGGATGATAATAGAGCTCAGTAGGATTGGGTTTGTGATGATGACCTAATGAGCTAAAAAAAACAATATAGCTGATGTTGTCAATCCCCATCTGCAGACATGGGGTCAACTTCCACAAGTATGCAGATGACACCCAACTCTATTTCTCTGTCTCCACCCTTGACTCCAGGACCACTGCTGTCCTGACAGAATGTCGGTCAGACATCAAGTCCTGGATGAGAGCTAACTTTCTTCCGTAGAACACCACCATGCTGAGGCTCTCCTGATTGGCTCCCGTCAGCACCTCTGCACCTCAGGCACTGACAGCATCACCGTCCGTGGTTGCACACTCCACCTTACTAAGCCAGTCTGGAACCATGGCATTTTGTTTTGACCCTCAACTATCCTTTCTATCCCAGATCTGCTCCATGACAGGCTTTGCCTTCCCCCACCTCCGCAACATCTACTGGCTCCGCCACTGTTTCACACCGCAGGTCGCCAAAACTCTCATACACTCTTTCATCACATTGAGGCTTGACTATGCAAACTCATTGCTTGTCAGCCTCCCCAATTCCTCTCTCCATAGTTTTTGTGGCAATGCTTTGCAGACAACTGCCACCTGCTTTCTCCTCAATGCTTATTGGAAGTTTTGCCTTGAACTACAAGCTGACTCTATACACTATATTGTGTTCTGTCATATACATAACTAATTAGTTTTGTATGGATGCTTTATCATGAATAGTGGTTAATTTTCTGGACTAAAGTACTTTAGGCAATGTCAAACATGTAATTTGTGTTATGCAGACTGTCAGAGACTATCTCAGCATTGCTCAATGTTGCAGAATGATCTTACGGTGCCCTTTGCTTTTATTTTGAAATTTAAATTCTTGTATCAAATCTTAAAACTACTGGTAGATCTGAACCTGAATCGATAATGAAATAATTGCATTAAACGGAATATCCCAGATTGAATTGCAACATTGCTTCCCAGTGCTTTGATGACTTGTCCATTGAGAAGTGTTCAGAACTCAATCGAGAGCCTGAGGATCAGCCTAAACTTCTTCATTTGGGATTTCTTTACCCAGAAGATCTGCTCTGCCAGCAATAAAAAAAACAATGAAACTGCCTCTATATGTGTTCCATAACCTCATCTTTTTAAGGGTCTGGATTGTAGTTTGAGTTAAGTCCACACATTTTAAGGTGTTCCAAAGTCTGCTTTCTCTTCTGCTTTTCACAGTTTGTGAACAATGTTTAATGGAAAGCCTTCTGTGTATGTGTCCTGCATTTAATATAGCCCTTTATATATCAGGATACACCTGAAACTACAGAGTTGCTGTCCTTCTGATGAGACATTAAACTGAGGTCCCATCTGCCTTTCAGGTGGACATTAAAGACCCTGTGATTCTACTCTAAAAGAGAAGGGAGTTTCTCTGTTTCCTGACCAACAATCCCCCAATTCCCCAAATAAAATTGGACATTTGTTTTGTGGCTATTTGTGGCACATTGTTGTTCACAATAGTGCTGCTGTTTTTGTCTACAAATACAGTTACTCCAGCTCACACTAGGTCCTTGAAGCACTTTTATCCTCCCGATGTGAAAGGAGCTATTCCAAATGCAAGAATTATTATTTTTATAATTGGGAGCCGTGCGGGTGGACATGATTTATTTTAATCCTGGGTGATGGGTACCCAAGATTAAAATAAATTTAGAAGACGTGAAAAGCGCTATATCAAATGCAAGGATTATCATCATTATTATTATTATTATGGGTAGGGAAAGATATATAAATTAGTTGAGTTAAATGAGTTGAATAGTTTAGCAATTTACAGGTATAGATGAGTTTTTTTAAAATAAAACTTGAGAAAATGGATCTTATTTAACTTTTACAAAGAAACTTACATTACACAAATCACCATTTTATTTTTAAAGGTACAATCCACAGGGATCAGAAGATAAAGTGAACAAATTGAAAGTAACTATGGTAGCATGGGATCGCCACGACAACACAGTTATCACGGCAGTCAATAACCTTACACTGAAGGTTTGGAGTTCCTACACTGGTCAGCTCATACATGTTCTCATGGTAAGCTGCATTAAACTTGAGGCATCCAATAACCTGGGATTAATTAAGAAAGGCCTCTCTCTGCAGTAAATTTAAGGCAATGAGCCTATTTGTTTGGCCATTTACCTTCCTCTCCAACAGTTGATTTCCTGCTGAAATATGGTTCTACAAGCCAGTGAGGGTGAAACAAAGAGATGCCATACAGGAGAATTTCATTATAGCACTCTTCAATATAGTGCTGCCTTTCTTCTATGTACATATACACTTTCATATATGTTGTGTGGGCCTACTGTAAGCCTACCATCCCACCCCTACCCCATTGAGGATAGGACTCCTTGTTGCGAATATTTACAATCTGATTGAATACCCCTGCTTCCTTGCCATTTTTGAGCTTTTTTTTCATGTGTGAGCCCACTCAATGAGGTGCTGGTAGACAATTTTACGATGGGGATATCACAGCTGAGCCCAGTCCTGTATTTCCATGGCTCAGTTGCAATAGAGTTAATGAATTTACAAGCAGTCATCGTAGCATTTGGAAAACCATAATAAATATGAGCTGAGCAAAATTCCACATAAAATTGTCTTTGAATAGCAGTTGTTGTTATAAACACATCGAGTCTTAAGAGTAAATTTTGATTTCTGTTTGTAAATGAATACTGATGGTGATGCTTTTTATGTGCACTGATTGACTGAACATTGATGTTGCAGGGCCATGAAGATGAAGTGTTTGTGCTTGAGCCACACCCATTTGATCCCAGGATCCTCTTCTCTGCAGGGCACGATGGCAATGTAATAGTTTGGGACTTGCTGAGAGGAGTGAAAATCCGATCCTATTTCAACATGGTACAAATATTTGCTTTTTTATGTTGCACAACAGAAAGCACAGATGTGATAATTTTTTTTTAAACAATATCTTCTACTTATTTTCCATTAAGTCTGTTGATTATTTTGGTTGTGTGTGACAGGAACATGATTTTGTTTTGTATGCAGTGGGGAGGGGAGACGCAGAGTATAGCAATGGTCTATAAAAAACGTTGATGGTAATGTTTGCGACCTGTTAGCTTTAGCTCGTATTTTAAGTGTAACTAATAAACATGATAAAATATAGCAGCACACAGCCAGAGAGAGACTTTTGTGGTGCTGGTTGGTTAAATCACGACCTTCCTGGAATGCGCTCTGTGACACTAAGCCGTACGATGGGCTCTGTTTAATGCAAGTTTTACTGTTGCTCTTATATGGGTAAGCGTGTATATTGGTAATCATTGTCAAATTACTTACAACGGTTAGTAGTTTTACCAACCAGCTTGCACGTTCACGCCACTGGGAGGGTAACCGTTGGCCAACAGTCCTCCAAATAAATTGGTGATTCACCTTCTGGTTGTTTTTGGGGGGCATTGCTGTGTGTAAATTAACCATGTTCACCTTCAAGTACACAATCACTACAATTAACCATAATTAGTGTCCTGCTCAACAGTCCTCCAGATAAATTGGTCATACAACTCCTGGCTGTTGACACATTGCTTTGCACAAATTGGCTGCTGCATTCACACTACAGTTAAGAGTGATTACACTAAAGTGCTTGGAGACTTTTTAATATTATAAGTGCGTAATCAAATACAAGGATATTATTAGTAATAACCTTCCAGTATTTCCTATGAAGCCAGAACTGTGTGATGAGATCCTAAAGATCTATATATTCAGTACTGAGAGTTTACACTGTGTTGCAAAGCTTCTTGGTGATGAGGATGAGTTTTTTAATATTTCAATTTCACAAGTGAGGATATTGAGATGTTCAATTTTTTTCTCTTCATTATCGTTTTTTTCATTTTGTATCACAAAGAGAAACATTGAGCTGCAACAGTAAACAAATCTGTCAAAGCCAACTCGTTTCATAATATAAAAACTATATGTGGTAACCCATGTACTGCTGAATAAATAATAATGCTTGCATTTGACATGTTGTCGAGACTTCTCAAAGTGCTTCACAGAATATCTAATAATAATAATCCTTGCATTTGATATAGCGCTTTTCACGTCTTCTAGACGTCTCAAAACGCTTCACAGAATATACTGTAAAGTGAATTGACTGCATATTTTATGGGTGAAACGCGACAGCCAATTGCGCACAGCAGTCTCCCACAAACAGTCGTGGATTGAAGTGACCACTTTATTATTGAGTTTTTTTTCTTGAGGATTTATTATCAGGTGTGTGGAGTAAGGAAACTTGCCCAAGGTTTCACCCTGCTGGGAATCGAGCCCCTCGCTTGCAAAACGAGTGCTCTACAGGACTCCACATATTGCAAAGTGAATTGACTGTATACTTTTGTGGGGGAAAAGCGGCAAACCAATTGTCGCACAAGCAATCATGGATTGAGTGACCAATTTATTATTATTTTTGAAGGAATTATTATCCCCGGAAAAGCGATCCGCCAATGGAAACATTTGCCCAACATTTTGTCCTACAGGGAATCGAACCCAGGTCTCTCGCTTGCGAGGCGAGTGCGCTAACCACTGAGCTACAGTAAAGCAGAATTCTGCCTGGCACTGAAAATGCTGTGACTAACACTTTCTGTGTTAACTTCTCTTTTGGACCACATTGAAACCTATTCATTTCCTCTCACTAGTGATGCAATCACACTTAGAAACTGTGAGATCTTACTGCTACTTAAAATCATTCATAGTTGGCTTCTACAGTTTACACATGCAATGTATTAGTGTCAGCTTTGCTCAGTTTGTAGTAGTCTTGCCTCTGGATATTGAAGGCTGCAGTCCAGGTTGACACTCCACTGTCATCAAATGAAATCAAGATCCTGTTGTGTCTGTTCAGGAGGATATTAGGGTTTCATTGATGCTATTCGAAAAGAAAATTCTCATGGTATCAACAATCTCTAGATTTAAAAAAAATTGGTCTTCACTTCATGACTGTTTGTGGAACAGTGTGCAAGTTGGCTGCCGGCTTCACCTACAAATATTCAGTCACTTTACAGAAATTAATAGAAAGTTTTACACTTTACTGAGAAGCGCTTTCAGACGTTCTCAACTGGACACTATACCAAACTTAAGGACTATTTTTACTGAAAATATGTTTCCAATAAACCTTGTGCACAAACAATTACCCTGCACTCTAATCCACTCAAATATAATCAGTTTTTCCCGTTTACAGGATGTAATCGTTTATCATTTTTATTGACGTTGACCCTTTCATGAACTATATTGGTATCAGTTCAGTGCAGTGACAAATTATTTCCTAACCTCCGGGGAATAAAGTATAAATATTCAATTGAGATTTGAATTGTACATCTGATTTGTGTGTTTATGGGTAAGCATTTAATTCATGATTGGCTTCTATAGTTTATACATGCAAAGTAAATGGATAATGCTATTCTCATCTAATCAGCCACAAATTCAGTCCAAAGTACTCGTATGTGAATAGATAACCATTTACATATTAAACGCATGTGCGTGCGTGCAGCTTGCACATGCACACAAATGTCTGCTCATCACATGTGTATCCAACTGTTTAAGTACCTTGTATCTGTTACAGATTGAAGGTCAGGGACATGGAGCAGTGTTTGACTGCAAGTGCTCCCCTGATGGACAGCACTTTGTATGTACTGACTCCCATGGGCATCTCCTAATCTTTGGCTTTGGTTCCAGCAGTAAATATGACAAGGTATGAACCCGATTTGTCTTGCTGCCGTTCTGCTAACCACAAGATGATCTTGTTTTTTGAATGATTAACATTTTTGTAATTAATCATTTTGAAGGCTGAAATAGTATTTCAGTATTTCCAAAATAAGATGTATTCAGATTGTACTCTCAGGAACATATATTATGAGTGTTCAGTGCTCCTACATTGGAGGATTGATTTCATGGGTGGTCTGTGTAGAATAATAGACATCAGGACGTGATTCCCATGGAAATTACAGGCAATGTGAAGGTTCCTGTGTTTTTCTCCTTGCAGAATTGATTGGGATGAAAGGGTGAGAATTTTGCAGGTTAGGTATTCATAACTTCATACCTAATTGTTCAATAAAATTAGCATGGGACCAGTGGCTAACATTTGATATGATCCCAATCATCAAGTTTGCAGGAAATATTTTTGAATTTTGTGAATGTTAATGTGCATATTTAAAATAAGTAGTGATTTTTTATTAAAATCCTGAATTCCACAATTTCTAAGCTGCATATAAATGCTTGTTTTTCATACTACTGTAATGGAATAGTTTCAAAGACTGGTAATCACTTTTAAATGACTTTTGAATATGATGTTTAGCAGAATTTCTGAGGATCATAACCATTTTCTTAAGGTTTGGAGGAATATATTGAAACCAATGACTAAATTAAATTCTGGACATAAAACTGGGAAAGGATCAGTGAGGCTTGCAGACAGTTTCAGCCATTTGAAGCAGACAAGAAGTTTACAGATGGATTATTTTTAATCTATTTTTCAATCCCACTAGCTATTTATTTACATGTAATCAGCAAGTGAATAATTAGCAATTATAGCTAAGCTAAGACAAATTAATAATTAAAGCCCAGAGATAGGACAAACAAGTATTTTGTTCCTTTCCTCTTTTTCCCCCATTTCCTATTCACACGTTTGTTTTTGTTAAGTGCTCCAAGATGCTACCCCGCGTGAAGGGCACTATATGAAAGCAAGTTGTTGTTGTCATGTCCATTATGACAACAGGTGAGCGATGAGGACTACTTCCATGTCATCACCAATGCCATTCTAAGCAGGCGTGTAGGCAAAAGTGACCCAGTGAAAATCTCTCCCCCCCTCCTCCCCCAATCTGATTTTCTTGCGTTCTATACTCTCCCCAACCATTCACAAGAAGTTAATGCCTAGCCTCTGTCCAACAGTGATGAAATTGTGCACACAGCAGTTTTACAGAACAAATTATTTCATTGCTGTACGCCTTTTCCCTCCGCATTAAAAATACAGCAAACGAACATCTCAATCAATAATAATATTAATAATCCTTGCATTTCATTTAGCGCCTTATCACATCTTCCAGACGTCTCAAAGCGCTTCACAAGATATACTGTAAAATGAATTGACTGTATATTTTGTGGGCGAAACCCAGCAGCCAATTGTGCACAGCAGTATCCCAAAAACAGTCGTGGATTGAGTGAGAAATTTATTATTTTTTGAAGGAATTATTACCCTGGAAAAGCGATTAGCCAATCAAATAACAACTGGGTTCCTATTTACTGCTAGGGTAACAACCTCAAAGTATGCTGGCAATGAGGATGTCCGGCATCAAATCGTTTGAACTGTTTTCCCTTCGCGGACAAGTTCAGTGGTCTCACCCTATGAGATTAGTTAATAAATGGACAGCGGTTATTCCAATCAAAAAAAATTAAAATTTATTTTCAAATGTTTTTCCAGATTATATAATGGACAGTGTTGAACTAAAACAATCATAACATCGTGGCTTGACTATGCAAACTCCTTGCTTGTCGACCTCCCCAATTCCTCCCTCCATAGGCTGCAGATCATCCAGAACTCTGCAGCCCGTGTCCTCTCCCACACCAAACTCCGTGACCCTATCACCCCCATTCTCGCCCAACTCCACTGGCTTCCCATCACACAGAGGATACAGTTCAAGATTCTGGACCTCACCTTCAAAGCCCTCCATGGCCTTGCTCCCCCCTACATCTGCGATCTCCTAACCTACCATCCTGCTTGCTCCCTCCACTCAGCTGGCTCCAGGCTGCATCACGTCCCCCACCTCGCCCGCCCCACCATTGGCGGGCAGGCCTTCTCCCACTCTGCCCCTACCCTCTGGAACTCCATACCCCATTCTCTCCACCTCGCACCCTCCCTTGCCTCCTTCAAGACCCATCTCAAGACCTTCCTCTTCAACCGTGTATTCGATCACTCTGCTTCCCCCCGCCCTCCTCAATCCTGACCCCCAGCTCAGGTCTGATAGACTGACTATCCAACGCCTTGGGAAGTCCTCCCGTTTTACAAATGTAATTTTGTTGTTGTTCCTCTCTGTAGGAACATTTTTCTGGTTCTGGACAAAGTCTAACTGGATTGGGTAATATAGTGGGCTCAAACTTGGCATAAATTCTTAGTAATAATGAGACCTTGCATTTACATACCGCCTTTCAAGTAAAAGAAATGTCTCAAAGCTCTTTACAAAATATAATTAGTTAGAATTGAAAGTAAATGTTTTATACAGGTTAATGAAATTAAAGTTTGTCTGTTACTTCTATAGTTATTAGAGAGCAGCCTAGAAAACTACCTCTAATATGCTACTTCATTTCTAAGATCACTCAGTAAGGCCACAGGATGTTTAGTGTGGCGAAATAAATGCAGAGTTTATGATCCTGTAGTTTGATCAAGTAGGAGAGCTTGATTCTGCATCTCTCTCTGACCTTAGGGATACCTGAATAGGTGTTAGAGGTGACCCAAAATGAGAATGAGTCTCATTTCTCAGTGCTGACAACCTTGCTTTATAATCAGCACAAAACTCACCAAAAGGGGGGAAAAAAAGAATTGAAATATTTCTGTAGGTTTGTCATTGTGTGCGCTTGTTGACTTGTACAGAACTGGTGCATCAAACATTACAATAATTTCTGACTAAAATTGTAACTATTTAAAAAGAATTACTGATGTCTTTGTCAAACCTCTTGCTGCAGATTTCTGACCAGATGTTCTTCCACACGGACTATCGCCCTCTAATCCGTGATGCCAATAACTATGTCTTAGATGAGCAGACACAACAGGCGCCGCATCTTATGCCACCTCCGTTTTTGGTGGATGTGGACGGCAACCCTCACCCACCGAAATACCAGCGTCTGGTACCTGGCCGAGAGGGCTGTATACATGACCAACTCATTCCACAGATGGGTGTGTCTGCCACAGGTAATGTCAATAGAGTTCTGATCCCTTAAGAGTAATTATATTTTTAAAAAAGTTAACCATGTTGAAATATTAACATTTCTTGACAAATGCACAAATCCTGCGCTTCAGTTACAGATTTAATTTTACTGATGAAAAGCTTGTTGACGTGCTTACAGTAATGCATGCAAACTGATTGATTGACAGTCGCTCTGAACTTTAGGTTGTGACCCTCTCAACCCCCTCCTCCTCTCAGATATGGCTTGTAGATATTGTACATTCAAATTCTCGGTGTGCCTAAATATCACAAACTTGGCATCTCAACAATTGTTTAGACATAAGTTTCATTCACCAAACTGTTTTATTTCTGAACTTTTATCAGTACAAATAGACATATTTGAGGCTTTCCAAATGTTTTGTAATCATAGGAACATCTGGAGCACAGACCTGCCTGGGATACATATGTGTTGAAACACATATGAGTTATGTCTATGCTGAATGTTGTCACCATTGTGCCCACTGCTGCTACCATCAATTCTAATTATAATAGTTTGAGACTCTTTGAAATGCTGGTATTTAATAAAATACAATGGGCCATTTGGTTCCCATACTGGCTGACATTAAATTTATTCTTACCTTCAGTTTATTCTTTTATCAGTACAACTCTTCTTTTCAAGGCTCTGAGATGTTACTATGCGTGAAGTACCCAATATCAAGCAATTTTTTTTGTTATTGAACTTATTTTCTTTGCCTGTTGTTGTTTTGTGTACCCATCTCCACAGGTTTAAACCAGGTACTTAGCCAGCAAGCAAACCACGAAGTCAGTCCGTTAGACAATATAATTCAGCGACTTCAGCAGGAGCAAGATCAGAGACTGCATGCAGGTACCAACGACACCTTGAACAGAGGAAGAATAGGTAGGATCATTTAATAACAACCTGATCAATACATTCCTTTTTTTTTTAAAAAGGCAGGAAAAGTAGCAAAGGTATATGGTATGTGACACTACTGATCATCCATATGTACAGGAACATTATTAATTAGTATATATGCCTGGGATTCATATGTGTTGAAACACATACAAATTATGTCTATGTTGAATGTCATCACCATTATATGCGAATAGTTGGTGTGTGTAGGAAAGCGGCATTCTACTGTATTCAAAAGATTGACCCAAGATTGTACCCAAAAAATGGCCGGTCTGCTGTAGGTGAAGAATGGCTGGTTGGCTCCATAATGCCAAAAATCCCTAAAATTTCAGTGCTGGTGTTAGAAGCACATTTTTTAAAAAACAGCATGACTACTAAAGTAGTAGAAACCTGGTGCATCCTGTAACATGGCATGAAATTTTGCTAGTGCCTTATTGACCTTTTGAGCAAAGTTTGTAATTTTATTGCATATATCAGTTAGTTTACTGACCAGCCGATATGTGCCCCAGACACCACAACATTTTGGCACGTTTCTATTTATTCCCAAAGACTTTTGAATATATTCTATTGTCTTTCAACAACACTACTTGCTTAGATGCAGAGAAAGGTCTCTGATCAATACTGTTCATTTATCCAAGACATCTTTGCTTTTCCTCTCTCCCCCCTCTCCCCCCCACTCCCACCCCAAACCTTGGTCCAAATTCCTGTTGGAATGCGTCCAGTTAACAGCTAGTTAACCTTATTTCAGTTGTAGTGGGAAATTGGGATTTTTTTCAAGAAACCAGGAGAGGTTTCATGGGGTATGACAAAGGAACCGACTTTGGAATTACAAGGTCTGCTAAAACCTAATAAGCTAGTGGATCAGGCGCAATGTCCTGGATGACTGTTTCGCTTTCCTTGTTCTTGCATTCTTAAGCTGTCATTGTAGCTGAGTGGTTATCCATGATTTCTTTTCCACTGTTTATTCAGTATTTATGTATATCTGAATGTTGAGGTTTGGTTTCAAGAAAAGTATCTTGGATTTCAAGTGTGGGTTCTACTAATTTACTTCCATTTATGTTTGAGGTGTTCAGTTTGAGGTGTTTGCCACAGTTGAGCGCTCCAAAACACTACCCGGTGTGAATGTTGCTATATAAATGCAGATTGGTATTGTTGTTGAGGTGGTTCAGTGTTGTGTTGTTAAGAGATTTTTGTATGTGTTCACATCAGGCTCTCAGAGTTCTGCCTCCGAGATGCACTCGCCACCAAATGTTGGACTGAGGCGTAGTGGGCAAATAGAAGGTGTTCGGCAGATGCACAGTAATGCACCAAGAAGTGAAATTGCCACAGAAAGGGACCTTGTGGCATGGAGTCGCAGGGTGGTAGTGCCAGAGCTAACCGCAGGTGTAACCAGGTGAGAACACTCAAATTATTAATGGGCCTTATGTTCATCGTGATGCTTGTTCTGGAGTTGAAATTCAACCTATCTGAGAAATAAAAATATTCTATGCTGAAAGGGACATCAGTATGATATGCTAATTCTGTGATGATATCAACAGTGTGCCCAAAGCTTTGAATTATTTTTTAAACCCAAATTCACTGACTGAAGTTTAACTCTTCAAGGAGAGGATTAATGATTTTGTCGCACACAAAAAATAATTCAGCTTGTCAGTTTCCTTTTTCGTGGGGTAATCTGTGGTGTCAATATTTTTTGGTCTATAATCAGTACATTGGCTTTCTATCTAGTCCATTTTATGTATGTCTCATTAATACAAAGGTTAGTAGTTAAATAAAAACAAACGTTTCATTCAATATTGTGTCTTTAACATCCGGAGGACACCTCAAAACCCTTGACAGGGTTTGCTGTAAATTGCAGTGACTATTTTGTAATTCTTGGGGAAAATAGATATTTAACTTAAGGAGTCTTGTAGCTCAGTGGTTAGCAAGTGAGAGACCTGAGTTCAATTCCAGGCAGGGTGAAACCTTGGGCAAGTTTCCTTACTCCACACGCCTAATAATAATCCCTCCAAAAAAATCAAAACAATAATAAATTGGCCATTTTCAATCCACGACTGTTTGTGGGACATTGCTGTGCGCAATTGGCTGCCGCGTTCGCCCACAAATATACAGTCAATTCACTTTACAGTATATTCTGTGAAGCGCTTTGGGACGTCCTCCCGACGTGAAAAGCGCTATATCAAATGCAAGGATTATTATTATTATTGTACTTAGCACTCAATGATGAAATGATTTTAGGGTGAAATGGATGAAGTGGACTCAACTTAAATAGAATACCCAATCTTATCTTGACAATATGTCTCAACTCCAATTCCATGTTCAGTATCCTTTATTCTTTGACTTCCCTGAAGAAGGTTTTCTAAAATGAACATTGATTTAAGGATGAATTTTTGCTGTTAATCTGTATTCATCGGGTGTTAGATTGAGTGTGAATTATTGACATTCACATTGGCTTTCATGCCATCCAATTTTCAGAATAATAGTTGGTCTTCCAAGATATATTGCCTTCCAGTTTCTTATAAGTTGTACTTTGAGAAAGCTATTGAGTATAAATATGTTTGCCATAAAGTAGAGAAAGCTTTTAGTCTTTAATGTGCTGTTCAATTTAAGAGGTGCATTACCCTCCACTACCAGGGATGAAGGCGATTATACCTATTATTAGTGTGAGATGCTTCTGAACAAAGCAGAGAATTCGTCAAAAGAAATCTAGGCTCCAACCCAAGTCGTCTCAAAGCTGATTTTAAGTATTGCCAATTTAGATAGAGGATCACAAAGAAGTTTAGATGAAGAAAGTCTTCAATGCATTTGATTTCAAGTTTCAGAAATACTAAGCAACATTAAACTGCTTCTTAAATTAATCCTGTGTCTGTGAATTATATTTCACAACTTTAAGCTTTGACCTCTTGTCTTGCTGCCGTGGTGATTCTCAAAATATAGTGTCAAGTTACTTTTATTTTGTATATATGTGTATGAACCACCTAAACTTTCACTGGTGGGTTTGTGGAATACATTGTTACTCTTCTGATGTTACAGTAAGCAGGAAGAATGCAGAAAAGCCAAAGGGGAAGAAGAGGTGAACACTCATAAATTTGAGAAGAAAAAGAAATCACCAAGTCAAGTCCAGCGTGAAAACAAGGTAACAAATACCATTAGCTATATTTACCATCTGAGTTAATTGGGATAATTGATATTAAAGGACAGTGACAGAACATAACTGTTTCTCCTGCTTTTTTTAAAGCTTAAACCATGTTCGTCACATCATTTCAGCCTCACTTTATACTCCCAATGTAGATTTGTATAACTTGAATAATTTAGGGATGGCAGAGGTACCTGCTGTACAATATTTTTCAGAAAATGTTGCATATTCTATTTTCTATATTTTCAAATTGAAAATTGTAAAGTTTACGCTTTCCCTGGTTTTGTGATACAGCAAACTCTTTTGAGTTACTGGCTACACAATGCATGCAATAGTAGTGTTTGCCTCCCCACTCCTCTCCCCAGGATTTGATCTTTCTAACTTCTATACCCACTATGCACTTCTTAGAATCATGCCCACGAAAGATTGCAAGAAAATGGAGAAGTGAGAAAACCAAACCGACAGAATATACACAACTACCGTACACGATCTGCAATGGATGACACCAACAGAAGCTCCCAACAAGTAGAATACAACAGTTCTTCAGAGGTGTGTGTGTTGGTAGAATTTTGCAGAGCACTTAAAAATATGTTTATAATTTATATGTGCAGGAATCAAAACTCTTCAGTTAAAGTGTGTTCTCCTGGTAAAATGTCTGTTTTTCCCCCAAAGTTGCTGAGTACATTGAGAATAGTTTACCAAAGCAATGCACTGATTGCTTCCTTCCTGTAAATCTGGAAATGAGAGTGCAGGTTCCAAGTGTCCCAACTCTTTAATCAATTGAATGTAATTCTATATCAGTAATTTACAATTGGATTAAAAGCAAAGTATGAGTGATCATCACTCATCAAACATCAGGTTCATTTGAGAATTCAGCATTCTAAAATCCCAGAACCTTTTTCACACTGACTAACTCACCAGCTCTCATTTTATTGCTGTCAAAATTCAATAATCACCCAAATAAAATTGGCCATTTACTTCATGGCAGTTTGTGGAACATTGCTGTGTGCAATATTTTATTCTGAATTAGAGTCCATACATATTTTATGTTAAACTTAGGGAAGGGGAAGATTGGTTCAAAAATAAAAGATTTGAAAATTGAAAACTTTGGATTTAATTAAACGAGAAGTTCAGATAAAGAAAGCTTTGGGCCCACGTGGAATCATTCCTTCACAATTCCCACTCTACTGTCTTCCTGTTACAGCATCAAACTTTTTTTAAATGAACAGGTGTCCTGGCTTCACCCAGCCTGCCTGGCAACCTGATTATCGTTGTTAATAATAAAAATAATTAATAATAATTATCCATTAGGTAAATAAATACTTCCTGGTATCTGTTCTGAAATTGCCCTTTGCAACTCTAAACCTGCATCCTCTTGTTCTGCTGCCTTGGCATATCTGAAAGTGAATCGAAGTAGCTCAAGTAATTAATGTAAGAATATCGATTGTTTGACTAATATGGAATAATTTCACTTTTTACCTAAAGTAATGCAGTAGAAGTACCAGCTTGCCAACCATACACTGTTAAATTACTTTTATTAAGTATACATCTGTCAAAACAAGAGCGCAGTTTACGCTGATTAGAGACCCGTGATTTTCTGTGCAATCACAGTGACTTATGAAAGGTATAACTGCCGTGGAGGTCATTTACCTCTAATGCTCATTATTGGTACTACCTCTGTATTCTAGAAACTGTGGTTTTCTCTGTATCGTAGGCGAAGAGACGTTTGTGAATTACTAACCTCTGCTCTATTATAGCACCTCACTTCCTCCCTTGCCTCCTTCAAGGCTGGTCTCAAGACCCTCCTCTCCGATCATGCCTTCGGTCGCCCTCCTACCTCTCTTCCTTCCCTCCCCCACCCCTCCCCCACGCTCGGGTCCTGACCCCTGACTGTCCAGCGACTTAGGACGTCCTCCTGACATGAAAGGCACTCTATAAATGTAATTTTTTTGTTGTTACCACAATTTTGAGATATCACAAAGCACTTCACAGAATATACTGTAAAGTGAATTGACTGTATATTTTGTGGGCAAAACGCAGCAGCTGATTGTGCACCACAGCCTCCCACAAACAGTCATGGATTGAAGTGACCAATATATTATATTTTTTTCAAGGAATTATTAACCCTGGAAAAACGATCCACCAATCGACTAACAACTGGGTTCCTACTTACTGCTAGGTAAACAGAGGTGTGGAGTAAGGAAACTTGCCCAACGTTCCGCCCTACTAGGAATCAAACTCAGGTCTCTCACTTGTGAGGCAAGTGCTCTAACCACTGAGTTACAGGACTCAGTGGTTAGACACTGATGTGTGACACTGATGATTGTGTTTTTATTATGTAAGACAAGAAGTCACATCTCATTGCACAGCACTTGAGTGTTTAGTTGGGTTATTCTGCTGCTACGAATTGTACTGTATTAATTTACTGTGTATTAAATTTGTGAACTGCACTTTCTGACTGAAAGAACATATTGTTTGGCGTTAGTATCCTGATTGTTTGAATGGTATAATTTGTGCATTGTAGATGTATATAATGTTAATTAAATGTTAATGTACAGGAGGTTGAAGTGCGCGTTGTCAATGGGGCGACTTCAGATGAGGAGGTGGAACCCTGGCACAGTGAAAGCAGCAGCTCCAGGCAAGTGACCTTGCTTTAAATTGTATTCTGATTTGAAAAAAGCACATTTTAACAGCAAGCCATGGTTGGGTGACGTGAATGCTGCCATGTTTGTATGGAGATTTTCTGGAGATTTCATATTTTGGAATAGAAAACAAAAATTCCAAATCATTGCCTAAATTCTTCTAAGTGTATATATTAAAAAAGGAGCAGTGTCAAAGTTTTAAATACTGCAGTTTGCTCAATAAAAAGGTGTAAAGCGTGCAAGGCAGGAGAGGACAGAATATTTTCCCAACAGTTCTTTCTGTGGAATGTGACTGCTTAGCTTCTCCCTCCCTCAACCCCTTCATTTCCCCCTCATCTAGGTTCAACTCCTTCCTGCTGGCTTGGCATCTGCCCTGCTATTCTAATACTGGCTTTGAGAGGTGGAGAGTGCAGCATCCAAGGCTGCACTCTCCACCTCTCAAAGCCGGTCAGGAACCTCGGGGTTCTGTTCGACCCTGAGCTGTCCTTTCTCCCTCATATTCGCGCCACAACTGGCACCGCCTTCCATCACCTCCGGAATGTAGCCAGACTACGGCACTACCTCACCCCTCACGCTGACCCGCACCAGGCTTCGCGACCACATCACTCCCACCCTCGCTCACCTCCACTGGCTTCCCATCCCCCAGAGGATCGAATTCAAGATCCTCACCCTCATCTACAAGGCCATTCACGGCCTTGCTCCCTCCTACCTCTCCGACCTACTATCCTCATACCTACCTGCCCGTACCCTCCGTTCCTCTGGCTCCGGTCTGCTCCACATCCCCCGCCCCAACCGCCCTACCATCGGTGGCCGGGCCTTCAGCCCCTAGGCTCTGGAACTCTATCCCCCAGTGCCTTCGCCGCCTCCTCCCTTTCCTCCTTCAAGGCCATTCTCAAGACCTTTCTCTTTGACCGTGCCTTCAGCTCCCCTCTCGACTCTCTACCCCCTCCTCGCTCCCTCCCTTCCCTCACCCTGACCATTTCCCCCCTGCTTGGGTCCTGACCCAACTGTACAGCGCCTTGGGTCGTCCTCCCGACGTGAAAGGCGCTCAATAAATGGAATCTTGTTGTTGTTGTTGTTGTTAATACAACACCTTTCATGTGGGCAGTCTCTCAGACTGACCACTTAAGTATGTTTAAAACATTTCAAGACGTTATTCATGGTGAAGCGCGAATAATAAATACAAGTTGTTGCTGTTGTTTTGGAGCTGTTGGGACTTGCATAAAGCTCAGAATTTAAAAGGACGTATTATGCTTTGTATTCTGTGGCTGTTTTGCTATTGGGACCCAAATATGTGGCGATTTCTAACTGGATTCCTTAATAAGGAAACAAGTAGGGACTCTTTCCAGTAGCTGGAAGTAAATTGCACTCAATCCCTGTGAGAGCTCCACTCTGAAAGTAGATTGTGTTGAAGGGAGATCCTGTGAGTCTGCTCCACATAATGAGGTGTGTACTCTGTTTTTGTTGTGAAGGAATAATAGTAATTTTCAATAATTTAACCAAAAAAATCAGTTTTCTGACCATTTTCAAGTTTTTGTCAAACTGACAACAGTCTGGACATTGATGCTGTTGTTTTAGGACCCGGGATCATGCTGAGTGTTCACATGATCAGGTAATAGCCATCAAACTCTGTAATTCTTAGCCTTAGAGCTTCTATCAATAGAATCACCTTGTTCCATGAAATGGGACTGTAGCACATTTGAGGCCGTGCCTTCAAATCGTGGGGTTGACCATAAGATCGGCCATTCTGCCTAAAGTCCAGGTGGGACAAACTGCTCTCACGACTGGCCCAGAACACTGATAGATCACCTATGAGAGCTTGAGAGGAATTTTGCCCTGAGGTGCCCTCATCAGTGTGGAACTGCTCTGGCCTCCGACCACAATTACAGTTCATGGTTGGTGAAGTACTCCTCCAATAGTAAAGCGCTCCAAAATATCCCAATGGGAGCAGGGTGGCTGCACTGGGCTAAGGCACGAGCCACTGGCTCCATTAGAAGAGATGCAATACAAAATTACATTTGTATAGAGTTGTATTGATAGATTTTTGGTGCAAAAGTGAATGAGCTAAGATCAGTTTATGAACACACATTCTAGGTGAGAGTTGCTCTCAACAGCTGATATTAAGTTTCTGTTTGATTAAAGAAAATGTCAACCATTTTAAGTATTTTCACCTGGGCACACTGACACTCGATACAGTGTATTATATATATATATATATATTTCAGGCATGTTACAATAATGTCTCATTGGGATCGGCTATTTGAAGGTCTTGAATCTAAAATCCTGGTATCGGTAAAATCCTGGTACTCTCTCTCACTCCATGGCTGTCTGTGGGACATTGCTGCGCGCAAACTAGATGCTGCATTTCACCCACAAAACAGTCACTCCGCTTTGCAGTATATCCTGTTAAGCGCTTTGACACTTCTTGACGACGTGTTAAGGCTCTGTATCAAATACAAGGATTAGTATTTTATTTCAATATTGTATAACATATGATGCAAAGATTGTGTGTGTCCTTGCGCATATATATATATATGTATATATATCACATTTCAATGTTTATAACTGTTTTAGATGGTAATTAATAGCCTTATGAAAATCTGCCACTTTGGGCATATTTTCTTTCTGAGCTACTTTGATGATGTAGAGTGATTGTGCCTTGTTCCAGCAACTTGAATTTCTGTGAAAGCTGATACACCACAATGACCTGGGACCCATCTGGAATCACCCAACTCGGGGGAGCCCTCTACTGGCTGAGTGTTCAGCAATACTCAACTGGTAATAAATAATCCCACCATCTTTATTGGGTCCATGCCAGTCTGAAGTGTGCTAGCTCAACTTCAGTTCCTAGAGTGGTTTGGCAGAGAAACACACCTGAAATGGGAGATTTCCACTCAGCTAAATATAACGTGCTAAAACTATGATATTTCACAAAAAGAGAGGAACACTGTTTCATCTAAAATGGAAAAATGGGGAAATAATAATAATCCTTGCATTTGATATAGCGCTTTTCATGTCCCAAAGCGCTTCACAGAATATACTGTAAAGTGAAATGACTATATTTGTGGGCGAATGCAGCAGCTAATTGCGCACAGCAGTGTCCCACAAACAGTCATGGATTGAAAATGACCAATTTATTATTTTGTTTTTTGGAGGGATTATTATGTTACAAGAAGAATATTTAGTTCTCTTTGTGTCCATCCATTTATTTCCTATTGGGCTCCTGTTCTCTTCATGAGGTGAAAGGGCTGAAGGACGACCCAGAGTGTGGCTGATGTTAGCATTCGAGATGGAAGCCTAGGAGGAAGCTGTTCTGAACTGTATTGGATTCTGGCCTTACTGTATTTGAGAAGGCAATGCATAACCTCCTGCTAATGTTTGATATATGTGGACCCTCTGTAAATGAGACCAAGCATGAGCTGGGCAGATATGTTAGGAAAGAAATGATATGGTGATGATGAGCAATGCAGAGAAGGGCCACTGAGGTATGAATAGATTATGAGGGGAATAATAATCTTTATATTTATAACATGATTCAAATTGGGAAGCTGTCTCCAAGAGCTACACAGAATATAATGTAAATTGTAATGATTGTATTTTGTGAGCTCATTTGTACAGATCAATGTCCCACAACCAGCCACAAAGTGAATGACCATTTTTTAACGAGGAATGAGGAAAAGGGAAGAACGATTGTTGGCGCAAAGGGAGAATTGCAAGCTATACATTTAGAGAAGACAAAGCGAGAGGAGGATTATCAATGATGGAAATTACTGAAGAGGGAACTGAGCTGTGCTCATTCTTCATTCAGAAAAAAAATTAAAGAATTAGAAGAGAGATTACACCGGAGGGAAAAAGCTGGAAGAAGTAAAAGAAAAAAGCGCATGACAAGCAAAAGGCAATCACAAAGCGAGAGAAACCAGATAAGACTAAAACCTTAATTTTCAAATTTTAAATTATTTTTCTGAATCATCTTTTTTATAATTTTGAATGGGAATAAAATGCATTCAGTGTAGTTTTTTATTGAGCTAATATGATTTAATTTTCTGTGCTTGGAAGTTCAGTTCGCTTTGTACAATTGGCGTTAGATGGAACGGTCACATTTTTCAATTAGTTGAGGTATGGCTCATTAGTGGACTGAAAATCCTTAGGTTCATTTTGAGTACTGTTAAATCATTCGAAGGAAATGGTGAAATTTTTGTAGAGCCCAAAAGATTTAAACTGAAGTAGTTCTGTTGATTATACAGTATAATCCAATTTACATCGATCATGTTGGGAGGACATTTCAAAGTGCTTGACATTTCTGGCTGGGCAGCTGAGGTGTGGATAGGAGCCGTGGGGGGTGGGGGAAGGATGTTCAAAACCAGTCAAAGAGGTATGCATTGAAAATTATGTAATGAAAGTGAGAGATTCTCGTTCTCTGCTTCTTACAATTGAAATTCCTCAAAAAACTGATGATTCTCACTCTAGGTAGTAGTAATAGTAATAATAATAATACTTGCATTTGATATAGCACCTTATCAAGTCATTGAGACTTCACAAAGTGCTTCTCAGAATATATTGCAAAGTGGATTGACTGTATTTTGTGGATGAAACGCAGCAGCCAATTGGCACAGCAGTGTCCCACAAACAGTTGTAGATTGAGTAACCAAATTTAGTAGGGGTGTGGGTGGGAAGAATAAGGGAAACGAATACTGTTGTATCACAACAATCTCTGAACTTTATGGGTTTGCAGTTAGGATAATTATGGATCATCAAATTTTATATAAAAAAAACATTCTTTATACAAACGGTTGTGAGCGTGTGCAATCTATTGTGGAGAAGACTAAATGCAGAATCAATGCCCTTTATTTGTTTGGTCAATACACTAGGGAACCAATACAAACTGAGAAGTTCTACCAAATGCTGTTTTATTTAAGTAATTTTGATTTTTTTTCTTGCCGCCAGTGACCAAAACATTTTTAAAAATTTATTTTAAAAAGTGATAATAATAATCCTTGCATTTGGTGTTGCACCTTTCATGTCAGGAAGACGTCCCAACATGCTTTTCAGGATTTATCGTAAAGTGGAGTGACTGCGTGTTTTGTGGGTAAACATGGCAGCCAATTTGTGCACAGCAATGTCCCACAAACAAAGCATGGGGTGAATGACCAATTTTATATGAAGATTGTTGGCCAGGACCCCAGGAGAAACTGCTAGAGGACGTAACGGAAGCTGGAGAAGTGGTTTGTTTTCTGGGGGATTGTGCAGACTAACTGTATTTCTGTGTTTTCAGTGAGTACTCCAGTGACTACTCTGATTGGACCGCTGATGCTGGTATCAACCTTCAACCACCAAAGAAATCCTCACGGAAGCAAGTGAAGAAAGTTGCAAGCAGTTCAGATGATGAAGGGGAGAAAGAGAAAGGGAAAGAAAAAGATAACAAGAAAGAACGCAAGAAACACAAAGAAGACAAAGATGGTTTGACAGCCCCAAAGAAGAAAAGGAAACTAAAAGAGAAAAGAATAAAGGTGATGGAGCTTATTCTGAGAAAGTGTGATTGGCACTCTCTATGAGACAAACCGGAAATGGACCAGTGAAGCTGGGCAAGGGTGGGGGTGATTGGCTCATGGAGCTTAGTGTGGGAGAGGACACACGAGCTGCAGAGTTCTGAATAATCTGCAGTTTGTGGAGGGAATAGTTGGGAAGTTTGGCAAGCAGGGAGTTCGCATAGTCAAGCCTGGAAGTAATGAAAGCATGCATGAGGATCTCGGGCTGAGGTAGTGGCACATAGAAGTGTAATTTTGTTGTTGTTGAAGTGGGCAATGTTGTGGAGGTGAGGAAGGCAGAATGGGTTAAGGCAAGAATGTTTAATAAGAGAGCCAACAACAACAAAAAGTCTTGACCTTTTTATGTAGAATGTGAATTAAGAAAATTGGAATGATTACTCTACTGGTCGTTTGCTTCATTCAAGCTCTAGGTGTAGCTGAGGGAGAGGAGCTCCTGCTCTCAGAACCAAGGAGAGGGGACTTAATCATGAATAACTTTAGAACTGAGTACATGAATTAACGGAGTCTTCCAGGTCAGGCTGGGTTAAAGGTTTTCAGATATTGAAAGAATTGTGCTGATTATGCAGCTCTTGGTCGATGGCCAGTCACGGCAATAATAAAAAAAAGATTAATTCATGGAAGGTTTTACCTTTGTACAGAGACCACCGGCTGGAGGGTTACAAGATCAGGGCGAGACCCTGGAGGAATGGCTGCCGCCAGTATGGATTACAGACGCAATGCCCAGACGCTGCCCCTTTGTACCACAGATGGGGGATGAGGTATCACAGTTTAACATGTTCACAGTTGATTTGTGCACAGCAATGTCCCACAAACAGGCATGACCAATTTTATATGAAGATTGTTGGCCAGAACCCCAGGAAAAACTGCCAGAGAACGTAGCAGAAGCAACATAAGTAACATGTTGCTTATCACAAGGTGTCTGGTTTCTCTTATTGACTTTACTGCTCTGGTGATAATTATCACACACCACTTCGCAATTTTGTTATTGCTTTGCATCATGAAAGTTATTTTCATATAAGCATATATTGTTTTGAATATGCCCTCAACTATTTATAAGATACCAAGACAAGATTCACGTTGCTTTTCGTGTTTTTTTTCAGCTGGGTCTGACACATGCAGAAACCCATCATTTTACTTAAGAGTATTCAAACCAAACAGAGTTCCACAGATATATGCCACCTAGACGTGCCAATTTCCCTGTGTCTGGAATGGAATGCACACTCTTTCCTTGGAGGGGCACACTTTTCTTATCTGATTCCAGAAATTATTTGGAGCAGATTGGCAAGAGATGAGGCTTGGGGACTGCTCTGCCACTCCCAAGTTCTGCTGATGAGCCAGACTGGCTGGTCTGTTAAGTACTGTGGGCCACTTGGCCCAGGACCCAGACTACCGAGACCAGCAGAAAAGATTGACTATTCAGACATTGTCACTTTGGAGCCAGTTCAAGATGATAATTTCCTCTAACATATAATCAGAGCAGAGCTTTACTCTGAATCTAACTATGATGCACATAATCTGGGAGTACCATAATAAATACTGACACTGGATGTATGAAATCGAAAAGTAAACTAATATTCTTCCTGTTGATGAGCGCAAGAAAAAAAAATCACTGAATAGGTATTGTCTTCAATGCTACTGCAGACCCAGTAATTTTCTGCACCACACAGTTTCTAAAACTTGTGCTTTGATTTAATTGGATACGACTGACAAAGTTAATTCATGTGTGTGAATGCATTCCTTTCAGCCATACGACAAGTATACAGTCCCTTCCTTTTCAATATCTATATGCGCTCTCTTGGTGACATCATCTGCAGACATGGAGTCAATTTCCACATGTACGTGGAGAGATGGAGTAGACACTCAACTGTTCCTCTCTGCCTCCACCCTCAACTCCAGGACCACTGCTGTGCTGACAGAATGTCTGTCAGACATCAAATCCTGTCTGAGAGCTAACGTTCTTCAGTTGAATGTCAACAAGACGAGGCTAACTGATTGGCTCCCGTCAGTGCCTCCTCACCTCAGGCACTGACAGCATCACCATCCGTGGATGCACACTCCACCTTACTAAGCCAGTCCGGAACCTTGGCGTCTTGTTTGACCCTTTCTATCCCATATCCGTGCCATGTACCGCTCTGCCTTCCCCCACCTCTGCAACATTGCCCGGCTCTGCCTCTGCCTCACACTGCAGGCCACCAAAACCCTCATACACGCATTCATACATTGAGGCTTGACTACACAAACTCCCTGCTTGTCGGCCTCCCCAACTCCTCCCTCCATAGGCTGCAGATCATCCAGAACTCTGCAGCCTGTGTCCTCTCCCACACCAGGCTCAGTGACCCTATCAACCCTCACCCAACTCCACTGGCTTCCCATCACACAGAGGATACAGTTCAAGATCCTGGTCCTCACCTTCAAAGCCCTCCATGGCCTTGCTCCCCCCTACTTCTGTAACCTTCTAACCCCCTACCAACCTGCTTGCTCCCTCCGCTCAGTGGGCTCTGTCCTGCTTCACATCCCCTGTCTCGCCTGCCCCACCATTGGCGAGCGGGCCTTCTGCCCGGCCTCTGGAACTCTATCCTACAGTCCTCAGCCGCGTCGCCTCCCTTGCCTCCTTCAAGACCCATCTCAAGACCCTCCTCTTCGACCATGCCTTCAGTCATCCTCCCCGATCCCGACCCCCAGCTCGTGTCTGAAACACTGATTGTCCAGCACCTTGGGACGTCATCCCAACGTGAAAGGTGCTATCCAAATATAATTTTGTTGTTGTTTTTGTTGTTTTCTTTATGAACACCAGGACTTTAGCTCACCTTCTAGGTTGCACTTTGACTTGCTGATGAGATACTGAGGGAGTACTGGATTGCTGAAAATGCTGTACTTCAGATGAAATATTAACCCGATATCCTGTTATCCTGTGGCTTACTGGAAGGTCAAAGATTCCATGGTACAGTGTTGAATGCAAAGTTCTCCACATCCTAACCAATATTCCCTCTTGTCCAAATTCACTGAATGAAAACAGATCAATTGGTTCAAAATAGCTGACCCTTTTCCCAATATAACAGCCAAAGCAACATATTGCGTGAACCACTTTGAGATGGGATTAAGGATTCTTAATTACAAATTTGCAAACGTACATTTTGTGTTCTGTTTGTGTCCTAGGTCTACTATTTCCGACAAGGTCATGAAGCGTACGTTGAAATGACAAAGAAGCTAAAGATTTATCCTATAAATGCTAAAAAGCAGCCGTGGCACAAAATGGATTTACGGGTAAAGTATCTTTGTAGAAATGGTGAGCTTGATTCCGTGTTGCATTCAGGATGTTTTTTCACTAAACAGTGAATCAGTGTTGAGGGCTTCCCTTCAGTATGTCTTGTTCTTCTTTCCAGCAAAGGTGTCAGTGGAATTCACATGAAATAAGATCTTGTTGACCGATACTTGTGAAATGTCAGATTGTATCCGGAGATCTGTCAACACTTACAGCTGACTAAGAGACATTTACATGCCAGTGAATCAGTGAATGAATTGCATGGAACATGAAATAGTCAAACTGATATTCTCAGATTAGGTGCAGTTCATTATAAAACTTATTTATTTTCCTCAGTTTTCTTTCTCTCTATAAATCACTTAGAGCAACAACAGCAACAATTTACAATTTAATTAGTGCCATCGAGAGGATGTCTCAAAAGTGCTTCACTGCATGACTGGATACACCAGGACTGGCACAACATCTTTATTTAATGAATAAACAAACTAAAAATAAAAGGTGATGAGTAGCGGGTGGTAATTCACGCCTTAATGAAATATCATAGAATGCATTGAATACTGAAATGATAGATTTTTAATTGAAGTCACAGGTGGCTTTGTGAGAGAGCTATAAAGCTCACCCTATCTACATTATACTTACCGTACGTAGGTAGACCTCTGAATCAAAACATTCTTCCTGTTAGATTCAGGGGAATGGGTGTAAAGTGGCATTTCTAATGTAGTAATAGTGGTGGTGGGAATTAATTTGTTTTTCCTTTCATTGGTTATAACCACCAATCAAAATATGCACAATATATAAGACTGACAATTTACTTGAATATTCTAATAACTTTTCATTACAGTTTTAAAATCTCATGGTTAAAGATCATAATAATCTGAAGCAAGAAAATGCATTTTTAGCAACCTCGCATAAAGGATGTGTTTGGCTTGTGTTCAAGAAGTGTTTTTGAGTATTGTCTGGGTCTGGTTATGATTCTTTTCCTTTACCTGATTTGTTTGTTCCAGATCATTATTGTAGAAGGTTTGGGATTTTTATGACTTGCATTCCTTGAAGCCTGATTGTGTTTCCCTGCTGGTAATGGGAACCAGTGCGAGTAACTCACTTTAGTGTCCAGGTCCTTTTTGTATGAACTTACCGTTGATATTTCATCAAGTGTGGCGGAAATGCTTTGAAAATAGTAAATGTAAAGATTTTTAAGAGCAAAAAAACCCAGCACAGTGTAAAAATCCACTTGCACTATGTGACACGAGATCTTGAATACAATAGTCAGTGACTAACTGATATACAAACTGCCATTTTGAAAAAAACAGGATTATATAGCATATCCTATTTATTTAAGTTAAAAATAAATGTGCCTGGAAAATAGGATTTATATGGGCATATTTTTACTCAGTTTTCTTTTCTCCTTAGATATGAGATGGACTTTTTCAGTTGTAGCAAAGCTATTGGACATTCTAAGAGCTCTCTACTTATATTAAAAAAAACCTGACACAAAAAACACTGCAACTGATTGGGACTGGATCAGAATTCCACAAACATCACAGTTAGACAATTAGGTGATCAAGCCATGTGATATATAAATAATAATAATCCTTGCATTTGATATAGCGCCTTATCACATCTTCGAAACATCTCAAAGCCCTTCACAAAATATACTGTAAAGTGAATTGACTGTATATTTTATGGGCGAAACGTGGCAACCAGTTCCGCACAGCAGTGTCCCACAAATAATCATGGATATGAACCATTGTTACACTTGCTTCAGATTTCGCTCATGTGATCTTGATATTACACCAGGGCTGGATACACCAGGAACATCTTATTTATCTGTTGAGAAATGTTAATTTCTTTAGTAGAAACATTTTTGTTGTTTGAACCATTGTGTTTTTAAACATAAATTTTATTGTTGGTCCTCGTATTTTGCTGAGACTCAGCTCTTTCCAGGCAATCCAATATTAGTCTTAAGGAAGGAGACTGTGATTGGAATTGCTTTAACAATAATGTAATCTTTGCTCTTTCCTTTCCTCCAATCTATAAAAACATGAAAATGTTTTCCGATAAATGAATTGCGTTTTAATATGTTCTGCTCCTCCTCTCAGGTATTTTGAACCTCTTTATTGTCATTAACTGATATCAGCTTTAGGAACCGTGCAACTAAGAAATAGACATCTTGCATTTATATTGATCCAAGAAAGAAATCGTATTTATTGTTTTTTTGTGTTGCAAATGGAGAAGTACTTTATGTTTAAACCCGGGTCTTTGTGAATTCCACTTTTGCACTAATCAGTACCACAATTAATTGTAGTTAGCAAACATGGTCGTTTTTTGTTGATTGGCTCCTGGATCCAGGTGTAGCAGTGAATGATGTGACATTATACCTATTTTGTATTTCCATCAGGAGCAAGAACTGGTGAAAGTAGTTGGGATCAAATATGAAGTGGGGCCTCCTACTCTGTGCTGTCTGAAACTGGCTTTCATCGACCCAGACACAGGCAAACTGACAGGCGGTGCATTTTCAATGAAGTAAGAACTGTTTGTTTTGTAGAAAGTAAATACATAATCGCTTGAAAGTCACACAGATGTATATCTACGTGCTTTAATCGAATTGCACCAGACTTGAGAGGAATGGATTCTCTTTCTGTACCGAACCTGATGTCAAATTTGATCATGTAATATGTTTCTAGTCTTTGGTGCTGGTATTGCAGCACAGGGGTCTGGTGCAAACTGGTGTGCACAGAGATAATTGTTGCTCCCCATAAGTATTTAATAGCTAATGAAGAGGGTTTCAGTCTTTTTCTTCAGCTAACAAAATAATGAAGGGCTCAAGGTAGTTCCCTTTTTCTACATGCTTACATGTAGCTAACATAACTCGCATAATAGACTTGTGATCTGTCACACTGGTGAGTTGTATAGCAGCACATTTGGGTTTTGAAACTATTATTCTCATCATTGTACTGACAGAGAACAGAATGTGTTACAGTGGAGTAAGAAAAGAGAGAATTTGAATTTTTGAAGGGCCTCATCACTTTGAAATGTCTCATAGGGTTTCACAAATAGTTCCTGTCAAGTGCAGTGACCGATTTTGTAGGCAAACAGTTCCAGCAAGGACCACAAGCAGTTGTGAGGTGAATGTACAATTAAGGTGGAAGATTGCTGACCAGAGACTGGGAACAAACTTCCTTCTTATCTAAACAAGCCTTGGTGTAATGTCTCGTTTGAAAAGACACTTATGGCAATGCTGAACTGGAGTGCCCAGATTATGGCATTTGACCCCAGAGCTTTCTGGCCCAGAGAGTAAGTTCTGCCGACTGAGCTAAACTGACACAAATTATGAGGTTGATATTCAAAATCCATTGATAATTTCCTCTGGTGGGGAAATCCAGAACAAGGGAGCATAATCTTCAAGTAAGAGCTAGACCATTTAGGAGTGAAATCAGGAGGCAGTTTTTCAAGCAAAGGGTAGTGGAAATTTGGAATTCTATCCCCAAAATGTTGTGGATGCTGGATCCATTCACATTTTCAAGCCTGAGGTGAATAGATATTTTTTAGGTCAGGATACCAAGAAATTATGGGGCAAGGGTGAGTAATTGAAGTTTAGGTCCAGATCAGCCATGATCGTATAGAACGGTTGAACAGGCTTGAGGGGCTGAATATCCTACTCCTGTTTCTATGATGAACTTAGTGTGCAACCCTGGCCCCTCCACATTGCTGTTGGTCTCATGGTTTGTCATTCGCTCATGATACAATGTTGAAAATATTGTAATGAGCCATAATTGTGTACAGTGCTCCTGACACATGATATTTATACTACTCCGGATTGATTGTTTGAAAACAATCAAGTGCATATGTATGTTGTTTCAACTCTCTTCTTTACAAGCTGCAGATCATCCAAAACTCTGCAGCTCATGTACTCTCACGTATTTGGCTCTGTGACCCCATCATTCCCACCCTCACCAGACTCCACTGGCTCCCCATCCCTCAGAGGATCAAATTCATGATCCTCAATCTCACTTTCAAAGCCATCTATGGCCTTGCCCCTCTACCTCTCTGACCTGCTGACTCCCTACGAACCTGCCCGCTCTCTCCATTCAGCGGGCTCCGGCCTGCTGCTCCATGTCTCCTGCCCGACCCGCCCTACCATCGGTGGCCGAGCTTTCAGCCTCTCTGCCCCCACACTCTGGAACTCCAATCCGTAGTCCCTTCACCTCGCTTCCTCCTTTGCCTCCTTTAAGGCCGGTTTCAAGACCCTCTTCGATCGTGCGTTCAGTCACCCTCCCACCTCTCTGCCTTCCCTCACCACTACTCCACCCCTCCCCCATGCTCGGGTCCTGACCCCTGACTGTCCAGCGCCTTGGGACGTCCTCCCGATGTGAAAGGTGTTCTATAAATGTAATTTTATTGTTGTTACATCATCCACAAGAAATTGAATTGAAATTTGGATAAAACGTTTTTGTTTGGATTGTTTATAGATACCATGATATGCCGGATGTCATTGATTTTCTCGTGCTGAGACAACAGTTTGATGAAGCAAAGACACGACAGTGGAGAATTGGTAAGTAGACACTGACCAAGCTTTGTCCTTAGTCTGTTGTGAGTGCTTGGTTTCAGGTTGATCATTCATCCAAGAACCAGTATTTCTGCCATCACCCGATCCTCACCAGGCTCTGTTGGTTGCTTGAATTGACTTTAAGGTCCTCACTTTGACTTTCAAGTTCCTTAACGCCTTTACACCAACCCTACATCTACAATCTCCTCCAGCCCAATTCTCCCTTCAACTCTCTGCTTTGCAGACTGGCCTGTTGCATGTTTCTCATCCCATCTGTCCCACTGTTAGTGACTGAGCCTGTGGAGTCCTGTAGCTCGGTGGTTAGAGCACTCGCTTTGCAAGCGAGTGACCTGAGTTCAATTCCAGGCAGGGCGAAACCTTGGGCAAGTTTCCTTACTCCACACCCCTAATAATAATCCCTCCAAAAACCAAAAACAATAGTAAATTGGTCATTTTCAATCTACGACTGTTTGTGGGACATTGCTGTGCACAATTGGCTGCCGCGTTCGCCCACAAATATACAGTCAATTCACTTTACAGTGTGTTCTGTGAAGCGCTTTGGGACGTCCTCCCGACATGAAAAGCGCTATATCAAATGCAAGGATTATTATTGTTATTATGTCCCTCTTTTAGGCTCCCCCCAACACCACCAAAACCGCTCCCCCTCGCATCTTCTCTTCCCATATTGAAAACCATTCTAATAACCTACCTACTAGTCCATCCCCTCCCTCTTACCCCCTTTCTCCCTGTTTGCTTGGATTTCCACACTATCCCTTTAAAGCACTTGAAGGCATTATCCTACATGAATGTCCAAGTTGTTGTTCCTTGAAATTAGTTATATGCTGTAGTGGAATTTTTGAAGACCCAGGCTGAAAACTAATCTTTCAAAATTATCATTCAAATTTTATTGGGGTGTGAAAATAGGATGAGCTGAGTTCATTGAAAGATTTCTCTTCATGAAAGATCCATTGCTTTGTACACATGGGATATTACTTGAATATAATGCAAATAATGTTGCATTGTAGATACATAGTGATCAGTTTGCAGAGAATTTTTATTTCAGCTGAATATTACTGTAGTTTTTTGTTCATTCTTGCTGTTGTATGGATAAATTTCTGGCCACACCTCTTTAATTATGAGATGCTTAATACAATGCATTTTAAAATATATATATATTTAAATAGTTTCCCTTATGCCCCCAAAAATCTCAAATATTACCGTAGTTTTTCTTTTTATTCTTGTTGCTGTATAGGTGATCGATTCCGGTCAGTGATTGATGATGCCTGGTGGTTTGGGACAATTGAAAGCCAGGAGCCTTTACAGCAGGACTATCCTGATAGCATGTTTCAGTGCTACAATGTCAGGTAAGATCACCATTGAATTTAAAATTTTTCATGAAGGGTTTACAACAACAACAACAAGATTCCATTTATTGAGCGCCTTTCACGTCGGGAGGACGTCGTAAGGCGCTGTACAGTTGGGTCAGGACCCGAGCAAGAGGGAAATGGTCAGGGTGAGGGGAGGGAAGGGAGGGAGCGAAGGGTCAAAGAGAAAGGTCTTGAGACCGGCCTTGAAGGAGGAAAGGGAGGAGGCGGCGAAGGCACTGGGGGGTAGAGTTCCAGAGCCTAGGGGCTGAGAGGCTGAAGGCCCGGCCACCGATGGTAGGGCGGTTGGGGCAGGGGATGTGGAGCAGACCGGAGCCAGAGGAAAGGAGGGTACGGGCAGGTAGGTAGGGGGATAGTAGGTCGGAGAGGTAGGAGGGAGCAAGGCCGTGAATGGCCTTGTAGGTGAGGGTGAGGATCTTGAATTCGATTCTCTGGGAAGAAGATTAACTTTTTAAAAAAAATGCACCAATAAGCGCAGTCGATTTAACAAGTACAGCAAATATGCACTTGGACAATATCTCCGCCATGTCTCCTTTCAACTGGTTGGATTGTGTGATTTAGCCGGCAACCCACTTTGTGATCGTCACTTCATGCTGGCTAATTATAATCTGTAATACCAGCATACTGGGAGAAGGTCCTTTCTCTTTTCAGGTCATGCCATCGGCACCTGCAACAATGCAACGTCTCCAGCAGTGTATTGGAGTGTCAGATTAGATTGAAAATAAATTCCAAGTCCTGATTAGGGGCCTACAGGCATGTAATTCAGAAATGAGAGTGCTACCAACTGAGCTAGACTAACACAACTTACACCAGAGCCTCGCCAGAAAAACAGCCTAAACCCATTGGCTCAGAGCATTGTGTGGGTTGGGACCTGAACCTGGAGTCTCCAGTTTGTGTGATTGCATTTCTCACTGCATCAATCAATCAAACTCTCAATGCATGCCTTTGATTTCAGAATATGCAGAGTAAAGGTTAGTTTCATTACTGGTGTGGGGCTTGGAGCTCCCATATCTGAAACTGGTTGTCAACATACTTCACTCATTTTTCAAAAAAAAACTTGATTCTTTAATGGGAAGTCGGTAGGGGTAGATATTCAGGAAGGATGAGATCAAGTGGAATGAGGGGCCTTCTAATGGATAGTCTTTAAGGTTTGTACCTGAGCTAGAGGTGCGCAGCGGGAATAATATGACCGAAAGCATGATCAAAGAGATATGTCTTTAGGCGGACCTTGAAGGAGGCGAGTGAAGAGGCGAATTAAGTGGCCTCCAGGAGTTCCAGAGATTGGGGGCAGAAATGCTGAAAACTAATTGTGGGTGATTCTAAAATACAATGCAGTGTGTGGAGCTCCACTGCGAAGTGTGATGGTTTTTTATTTGTGGACTAACAGGGCAGCCAGTGGTGCAGACAGCAGTGTCCCACAAACAACCATCAAATGAATGATCCAATTTAGTTTTTGCAGGATTGATAATCAGAACACTGGAAATAAACTCTCTTCTCTTTTTGAATAGTGCTTTGGGATCTTTAATATCCATATTAACAGGTGGAAATTATACTTCAACTAACATTCATGGTTGATTGAGTATTTCAAAATCATCATTAAATTATTCTAAATGAGACTTATGTGTTTCTACCTTGTTGCTTCCAGATGGGACAATGGAGATACTGAGAAAATGAGTCCTTGGGACATGGAGGTGATACCCAATAATGGTATGTACTTGACATATCTTAACATGTACAAAAGACTTTATATAAGACTTACTCACAACTTCTAATCCAGTCTATATATTAATTTGGTGTTTCCATGTAATAGAAGTAACACATATAGAGAATATTTCTGCAGGGTTTAAAGTCATAAAATGTATTCTCTCCCTGCTTCTTCATTAAGTCCATTTTCAGTGACCATTTGCAAGGACATCTTTAGCCCAAGCACATAGTATGACATTTGCAGCAACAATTGTGCCTGAAAAATTAAGTAGTGTAATGTTTTGCACAGTAGAGATATTTACAAAATTACACATTTATTTCAATTTTATTACTTTTGTATTCAGATATTTACGGTGAAATTTGAATTTCTTTACTATCGGGTTTTGCAGCACTGTGGTATTGTGACTTAATTAATCTTAATACAAACATGTGTTATAATACATAAACAATTAAGAAAGCAGTTGCAGTACTGTGCTGTGTATTATACAGCTCCAGTCAGGCTGCCTGTGAGGTAGTGGTTTTGCTTCAGCTGTGCGTCACCTCGGCCATAGAGCAGCTGTGGTAAAGTCATTGGCCTTGTGCTCATCCTTCTGAGGAAGCCGCACTTAATAAAATAGCAAAATATAATTTTAAGGTGTGAGAAATAGAAAACAAATGCATGTAAATTAATTAGCTATGAATTAGCATATTGTGTTAAAAGATGTATTTTGCTCCCACATTGTTAAAACGCCTGCTATTTATGATGGGAGCAGCAGACCGTGGCTCATTTATGGCAGTGACAAACCTGAGGAAAGAAAGAAAGGGCCATAAATCTAAAAAGGAAAATGAACAGAAGTAATCATTTCACTGTGCTGTATTTGAGCTGTAGCTCTTATTTGTGGAGAGCAATCTCCATTGGGTTTTGGTGATGTTCTCTAACATGCTGATGCATCATGTGAATTGCTAGCACAAATGCTTCATTGCACTTTGCAATCTGTTCGATGGAGGAGATTGTACGTTAGCAGTGCAAAGGACTGGTTCCATTGACAGTGGAACAAGAACATATGTTTTCACAATAATTTGTTATTTTTTGAGGGTTTGAACAAGACTTGAATCTGTTAAGACCGTTGCGAATTCAATTTAACACAGCTCTCTATTATTATAACACTACCATAGGAAAACAAGCTTTTTTTCTGGTAATACCAAGGTGGGTGATTTATTAAATGTTCCAAAATGTTTTTAAAAAAAAGTGACCAAAATAAATTAGGATTTACGATCTGTCGGTCTTGTAACAGGCAGTGGGAGAACTGAGATTTCCTATTTGAATAGAGTTGTGTGCCATCTTAATAAAAATAATCCATTCGATATAGCAGTTTATCACGTTGTTGATGTCTGAAAACACTTTGTAGAATTTACTGTCAAATGTAGTGACTGTATTTGGCTGGTAAATGCAGCAGCCAAATTGTGTACAGCAATGTCCCACCAATGGCCACAAAGTAAATGAAAAATTTTATTTGGGGCATTGTTGACCAGGACACACAACGAAAGTTCCGGGGATCTTTACCATGAATAGGCAGGTGGGATCTCGGTTTATTGTTGCATTCGAACGGTAGCACCTCCAATCATGCGGCGCTCCCCCAACATTGCGTTGGAATGCCAGGCTCATGTGTGAACTCAAAGCACCTGATGTGGGGCTTGAATCCACAGCCTTCTGACTCGGAGGCAAAAGTGCTACCACTGAACCAGACCGAATCTCTACCAACTGGGATTATCTTGGGTCACTTTGGGATATATCTCAATTCCTTTAAAGTTAATGGAATAGTTTTGAGGAGTTCTCAAGCATTTTGATATTTACTATCATTTCTACTGCACACTTGGTTTGCAGCACATTTCCGTTGTTTTGGAGTAAAATATGACATCAATTTGCTAAAGGTCTGGAACTCTATTCCTTCCCACTTAATGTAACACACACATAGTTAAATAATGCGTTTACATGTAAGTAAATGCTGCATGCCTGTCGATTGTATGCTGTTCAAATAACTACAAAATGCTAAAAATATTGCAATTGAGCATAACTTCAAGTGGATTGAACCACTGTCCTAAAAATGACTGTTAAATGCATTATTTAACGATATTATTAATGATTTTGTAATGTACCATTGGATGATTGCCTTGCACTTGTAGGTGTGAATATTGAGGAGCAGAGCCCCATCTGTTACAATAATCGATTTAATTCTATAAACAATTTCTCTGGGTTATTGACAGTCGTGACTATGTTGAGATCGGATGATAGTTTTATTGACTATTCTTTTGTAGGGTTGTCTGTGTGAAGCCAGTGGATCTTTCAGAATTCAAACTAGCTGTGCACATATATCTCACTGTAGATCTGGAATATCTTGGTTAATTCTGAGTCTTTCCTTGGGTTAACTGCGATGATTGTATTTCAGCTGTTTTTCCAACCGAGCCTGGATCAAGTGTTCCCCTGACTGCTGCTGAGCATAAAGTGCAGCTGTACAAACCTCCAGAAGGAGAGTGGAGCTGCAGGAAGAGGGAGGAGGAATGTGAACGAATCCTCAGTGGAGTCAGTACACTTCTGACTCTTGGTAATAAAAATCCCCAAATGATTTTAAATTCAATACATTATAATTTTACATTTTTATAGCCCTTTTAACATCATGAGGACGTCTCAATAAGATGGACAGTGCAAGGTTGCACCCAACCTGGGGGAGGCGAGTCAGGGGGGAAAGATGGCCGAAAGCGTGGTTGATACGCTTTCTTGCCTTTCTACCAAAAGGGGGATTGATGGGTGGGGAGGGGTTGTCCCTTCACTGAAGTAAGTGCCAGGTCTTCAGTTACTCCTGTATCTGACTGAAAGAATTGATGTAAACTCACCAGGTTTGGTATATAGACGTAACTGTGTTTTGAACACAGCATTGTTAAGTGAATTGCAATATTTCTCTTATCGTCTCATTAAAACCTTGTTGTAACTGTATTCTGTTTAGTTTCAATTGTTTTTAATGTTCTAAAGAATATCTTGCGTTGTTACAATGAGTGATCAGTGATCTGATTTAATATATGTGCTGTTAGGGTTTTGCTGCAGTTACTTTGTGCAGTACAACAACAACAAAATTACATTTGTAGAGCTCCTTTCATGTCGAGAGGACGTCCTAAAGCGTTGAACAGTCAGGTGTTGGGGCCCAAGCATGGGGGAGGGGTGGTGTAGGGGTGAGGGATGAACATTACAAATGTTTTTAAACCTTTCTGATCTCCTTTCAGACATTGCTGCCCCCTTTGTGGCACCGGTGGACCTTCAAGCTTATCCTTTGTATTGTACAGTAGTGGCCTATCCCACTGACCTCAGCACAATTAAAGAGAGGCTAGAAAATAGATTTTACAGGTGAGTTTGCACTTTGTCTTAATTAGGGCCAAGAATGTGGTGAAAGTGGCCAGTATCGTCAGTAGAGGGGCAGTGGACTCTTTAGTCACAATGTCTCCCATTAGAAATTCCAGTCTCATGTTACTACAGGCATCCACTTCCCACGATTGGGCAAAATGCAGGCGTTTTAAGAGTTGTCAGTGGAAGAGCTGGGCAGAACAGAAAGATGGTCATTTCAGTAGCAGGGGAAAAAACATATCCTCTTGGACGGGAGAAGGAGGTAGAAATTGAGGATATGTTAACGTTATCTGACTCGGCAGTACGTCTCCTTTCAGTAATCGCTAGTATTAAAGCATTGGAACTGAACTGGAACATTTTTCAAGTGAGTGTATTGTGGATCTATTAGACACTGATTCTTGAAATAGTGATCTTTCCCAATATAAAGATAATAATGGACAGACTGCTAGCTTTAGTGTTCAGCGTATGGTGGATCACTCGTATTGTAATAACATTTGCTTACTATTGGATTTAGCTTATGAATTAGTGAGAGTGTCGGTCCGCTGAATGTTTTCAGCAAGTTGTGAATGAAAGATGTCAAACTATAGCACTGGTGGAATGTTATCAGTGGCAATCCATTTATATTTAGTGTTGGAATTCCTAATTGAAAGGATAATGTCTAATGAAAATGTAATCACTGACTTAATTATTTATAAATGTTGTGTTCCTTAAGTTAGTGGTGTTCCAGCTTTTCTTGTAAAGCTGGCCTTCCAGTTTTTCTCTTATTATTAAAAATGTCTCATCAATGTGAGGCATGCCCATTGCTGGGGAATAGAACGCTCAGTAATTTCAGACATCTGTTCTGCCCGAACCTCAGAAAAGCAATCTTCTCTACTGTACAACATTTTGCACTTCCATAATAGCCATCTTGGGGTTGTTTCTGTTGAGTGACATTGATGATCAAAGCCAAATTAAGGACAGATGGTCTGAAATTCCAGTCAGCATTGAGCGCAGTGACATTCTTATTGACGATGTCAGCCTATAATGGGATTTCTCCATTACAATAGCACAACGCCAAAGGTGCTACATGTAGTAGTAAACGGAATGTTAATTCTTGAATGAGGTTAAAATCTGATACCGTCACTTGTCATTCTCAACACTGGTGCCTATCTGGTGTGTAGGGTGTGGCATAATTGCATAATAAGTTCAAATTTGCATCTTAAACTAAGAAACCATGTTACTGGAAAGTGACGCTGCTATTTTTCAGGCGCTTGTCATCCCTGATGTGGGAAGTTCGATACATTGAACACAATGCAAGGACCTTCAATGAACCTGGTAGCCCCATTGTTAAATCTGCCAAATTTGTCAATAATGTTCTCCTTCAGTTCATAAAGTAAGTCCAGAATTCTAATTGAAATGTTTACATGTTTTATTTTACATTGTTGAATTGTATTTCCTTAAACTGTAGTCCTTCGGCTTCTTTGTGGAAAATGATAGCTCAGTTGGTTTAGCACTTGAGTTGCATTTGGGATCAGCCTTGAGATAGGAATCGGTAGGAATGTAAGAACAATTCAACTGGCTCTGAAGAGGCATGTTCACAGTGATTCATGGCATTGTTGGTGGTTAACCTGCCTGTCTGACTAATTAGAGATACTTGGGAGTATTATAAACCCTCAAAAGGGTGATGGGCTGATCCCAAGTCAAGATGCTAAACCAGCTGAACTACATGGAATGTTCCCATTTATTAGATTCAGAGATCAGGTTACTGCAAAATTGTGCGTGTGTATTATGCCAAACAAATCTGCCTATACGCAAATATTGGCATACTGTGTGAGGTGTACAATCCAAGACTTGTCAGTTGAGGTGCTGCCTGTTCTCCTCATCTAGCTGCACTGCCACTCTTGTCAGCTTCATGATGATCTGTAGAGGCCCTGACTGCCACCATGGCCTGGCATGGGACCTCCCCGAAGGCCACTCGCCCCCCAAGGAGGACGAGACTGAGGGGCATCTAGCTGGCCAGACAGTCAGGAAAAGATGTAGGAAGATAACTTGATTTACAGATCTTGAGCATTGAACCAAAATGAAACATGACTGTTGATTGGTCTGTTTTATGCATGATCATTTAGAATGTATGCATTTTTAGTATAGTGTAGGCATTTTTAAAAACCCTATCGTAATCTCTGATATTGGGTCGTTAAAACTACAGAGCACCAACTCTACAAGCTAAAATCTGGATGGGTAGTGTGGTCTCAGCTGGACAAATACTGCCAAATGTTCCAGTGCTCCACTCTGATGAGCAAGCAGTGCAGTTGTTTTATCATTCTGGTCTAGATGATCTTGATATTTTTATTCTGTAAGGAGCACTGTAGAAACTAAAACGTTTAACTTTCCATAAACTTGATCAGAAAGGCCAGACGTTAGACCGCACGAGGAAGAGATCTGAAATCAAAATAGCAGATGCTTCAAAAGTGCAGCAGATCAAACAGCATCTGGAAAAAAAAGTAATATTTTGGAAGTGAACTTGAAAGATTGAAGTGTCTCTTTCTGTTTCAGTCCACTGATTAACTTGCTGTGAATGTGTCTGTTTGTATGACTGAATTGTTTTGAATCATCGAGGTGAAACATCCTTTATGTGAAACAACTGGATCACTGATCTTTTTTTCTGACCTTTAAAATGGAAATTGCTAACAATGGCACTGGAGCTCGACAGTGTTTATGCAGCAACAAACCATGTCATTGGCAGCTGTCAGTAATCGTATCAACAATAAACAGCCTTCATATGTATCCAGAGAGTTGATTATTTGTATTTGTTGTGGTAGAGGCCTCATGGCCTGTCTTCCCCATTCTCTCCCAGCTCCAATGGCTCCCATCTCTCAGAAGATTGAGTTCAAGTTTCTTGTCCTCACTTTTAAAACTCTCCACATTCTTGCCTCACCCTACCCCTTTGACCTTCTTAAACCATGCCAGCCTGCCTGATCCCTCTGCTCAGCAGGCACTGGCCTGCTTCACACCCCCTTGGCAGTCAGGATTTCAGGCTCTCTGCTCCCACTCTCTGGAACTCCATCCCAAAGTCCCTACCGCACCCTTCCTTAATCCAATCCCCAGCTTGCATGCAAACCCTCGATTATCAAGCACCTTGAGACTTCCTGCCAATGTGAAAGGTGCTATATAAATGCAATTTGTTGTCGTTGTAGAGACCACAGCTGTGCTGATATCATTCCATTCTACAATAACCTGAAAAAGAAGATGATGTCGGATGAGGAAGATGAGGTAAAAATAAATTTAGGGGAAAAGAATAACATTTTTTTAAGGGGTTGGGAAGAAAAATTGACTCTTTTTAAATATAAAACAAATTTTGTGATCAGTATTGTATTTTCACAGCAACTCTTAGATGAAGAAGAAATGGGTGTTTTGCGAGCAATTGTACAAGATCTTTGTGAAGTGTAAAGGTTTCTAATGGCCCTACAATTCAATTTAAGCTCATTATTTGAGACAGCTAGATCTGAAAGTCCAGCTATTAAACCCTTTAGTTTCCTGTTGTAATGAGGCTGAAGGCCCAATCATTTATTCACTAATAAGTATGTGGCAATAATTGCTCATTATGTGGCGATAGTGAGTGTTTTAATTCAGGTTTTTCATTCACCAGCTCTAGCACCATCGTGAAACCATAAATAAACCTGTGAGATGAACATTTTAAAGTAATCTTCCACATTACCATAATCATGTTTGACATTTCTATGTGCAACGTTTGTGTTGTGATCTTCTGAGGTATTCAGAACTTTTCTCATTTTAAGGATGATGAGGCCGATGACGCTGATGTTCCAGGGACCTCCACCAGGAATAAGAAGGTAACTTGTGTCTGATCTTGTGCAACACAATGTGTATATGTTACAGTAAAGTTGTGAAACCAGGGATTTTGCAAAATCCCCGAAATTTTCAGTAAAATTGTGAAACCAGAGATATTCCAAATGGCCATGGGGGAGGGTGTGATCACATGATTAAAGAGCTACAACTCAAATATGCCAACGTCACGACCAAAGTGCTGGAGCTGTTCAAGTCGTTCTGTGAGGAATGCCAGAAGAAGAATAGGAAGAAGCCTATGACAAAGGGGGTTGAGGTGTGTGCGTGTCCATGTGTATGTGTCCAGCACCGGCCTCCTGCTCATCCCTCGCACCCTCTGCTCCACCATTGGAGGTTGCGCTTTCAGCCGCTATGCCCCAAAACTCTGGAACACTCTTCCTCAATCCCTCCACCTTTCCCCCTTTCTCGCCTCTTTCAAGTCCCGCCTGAAAACTTTCCTCTTCGACAGTGCTTATGGCCACCTCCCTGCCACTGTTAAACGCTCTGAGATGCTACCCTGCATGGAGGGTGCTATATAAGTGCAGGTTGTTGTCCCATTCTCACTAAAGAATTTACGTCCAGGGGTCAAGTTGATCTCATTGATATGCAGTCTATGTCACATTCAAACTTCCAGTGGATTATGGTGTACCAGGATCATCTCACCAAGTTCAGTGTAATGAGGCCACTGACATCCAAGCATGCTGCAAAAGTAGCCTTTCAGCTACTTACTCTTCCTCTCCTTGGTGCACTTGCCATTTCTCCAAAGTGACAATGGTTCTCAATTTATAGCTGAAATCATCACTGAGCTAAAGAAATCCAAATCATCGCTGAGCTAGTTCACGGCAAATTTCGCACCCACAAAGTCATAGTTCTATTGAACGAGCCAATGGTGACATCAAGGATATAATAATAATAATAATCCTTGCATTTGATATAGCGCTTTTCACGTCGGGAGGACTTCCCAAAGCGCTTCACAGAACATACTGTAAAGTGAATTGACTGTATATTTGTGGGCGAAGGCGGCAGCCAATTGTGCACAGCAATGTCCCACAAACAGTCGTGGATTGAAAATGGCCAATTTATTGTTTTTTTGGAGGGATTATTATTAGGCGTGTGGAGTAAGGAAATTTGCCCAAGGTTTCGCCCTGCCTGGAATTGAACTCAGGTCTCTCACTTGCAAAGCGAGTGCTCTGACCACTGAGCTACAGGACTCCACAAATGTTGGTAGCCTGGCTATCAGACAACAACACACAGGATTGGAGAGTCGGCATTAAATTTGTGCTGTTTCAAAAGAACTCTGCTTACCATTCAGAAATAAATTGCTCCCCTTATGCTGCCATGTTTGGCAATGAGGCTTGTGTTGGCCTAACATCTTCAACACTTCCAACAAAGGTGATTTCTACACTGGAAAGTGAGGTTGATCTCCTGGCTGTTTTTGCTGGTAATGTTCCAAAAGTACCAGCTGACAACAGCCTACTACCATGCATCTGTCTCTCCAGTCTGCAGTGCCACAAATCCACCGCAGCTCAGCCCTGTAGTCACCATGTCCTTGACGTTAGAGATTTCCAGTGATCCTTCCGTACAGACTCCTGTTTCACAGGCCCTGGAAGATTGCATGACTCAGCTCAGATAGCAAAGAGCTGCTGCACATATGGCACAAGCATCCCAGGCAGAGAGGATGGTAAAGCGGAGTTGGTTAATCTCCAAGCTGCTACACCTGGAGACAATGTGGCTGTCCCAATCCCAGCAGTGGACAGGGGTTGAGGGGATCCCAGGAACATCCTTAGCATTAATAGAAATTTAGACACTGACCAGTACAAGATAGCGGTGAAGGTCAGCACCCTGAGGGGTCACTATTCCTGGAACCAATTTGACTTCTGCCCAACACGATTGTTAACAGAGACCTGCACAACCAGGAGAAGTCAGTGTCACTCCATGATGCTGTCATTGCACAGTCTGCTTGTGGTGAACAAGGCTTTATGAAGTGCAACTGCAACTGTCAGAAGAAATGTCAGACCATAAATGCTTCAAAGCAAAGCTAAAATGTAACTCTCAGTGTCATGGAAACCTCAGTGGTGCTATCAAATGAACATTTGACTCTAATATGCTATTCTTTATAGAACCAATTTAAATTGTTTACATAGACATGACAAATCCAACGCTTCTCTTCAATAAATACATTTTTTGAGTGAAATTCTTCACCAGTCAATGAAATGTCATATGAAGTTTTATGGTGAATAAAATAGTGATTTTCTTGCTGTGTTATTTATGTCGATAGTGCTAACAAGTGTCAAGCCAAGGTTATCATTATGATGAAATGATCACTAGTCATTTCACCAAATCCCTGACTCCTAACTTCAGTGATTTCATGAAGTCTTTTGAGCGAAATAGTAATTTCACCAAGTCACTGAAAATTTCAGGGCTATCACAAAATCATATCCATAATGAGATGATGGCTCAGATGAATCATTCGATGATGAATAATTTGCTGTTTTTGAAACCTTAAGTACATTTTCATCCAGCACTATTTTTTGTTAACTTCTTCTACCTAATTTTTTGTATTAAACTGCATCTGCCACCTTTCCATCCCATATAAACCAAATTCTCCATATTCCATTGATTGGGGTTTCGTGTTGCATGTGCAAGAAATGGTGCTGGTGATCCTGTGCGCTGTTATTAGGTGGGTTTATGGGGCATCTGCCTCATAAAGAAACCCATTTTATAAAGGTAGGGGTATCTTATAAAAGGGTTTTAGCATAGCAATTAACTGATCCAATTGTATAGATTTCTATACACATCGTGCATCTGGATCTTACATAGACTATTATGCGGTACAGAGACAAATACCTTTCTAAAACCTGGGTAAATAAAAATACCCCTAATCCATAAGGGCAGAATGTCTGCAAATAAATCTAATCCATCTATTAAGCAAGGTCTTCTGCTTCTAAAGCCATGCTGACCATCGCTGACTAGCCTGCATCCCTCAAAATGGCTCATTTATTCCTTTATGATCAATGTAAAATACTTTTTCCACAGTCAGCAGTCTCTAGTTTGACCTTTCATTTTAAAGATTTAAGTTGAATTTGCTATTTTTCAATCTTTTGGACTTTGTTTTCCAATGAAGTCTTTATTAGAAATAATAAATTGAGTGCAAGACTTGCAATCACCTGAGCAAATTATTTTACACCCTGGAACGAACGTTGTCAGAGCAAGAAGCCTGATGTACTGTGAGATTCTGCAACCTGTTGATTTGATGTAGAGTAACTCAGGAAGCACAGGGTGTTGAGATGAAATAGAGTAACTCAGGAAGCACAATAGTTGAGATGAATGTTAAAGCTTGCAATCAGTTACCTATGTGGTAAATCTCTGCTTTCAGTCACGCTGTTAGGAGCTAGTATTACATGAGGACCTGGTGGATTCCGGGAAGAGAGGTGGACAGACGATTGTAGAGTAAATCATTCCCTGGAACAGATAAAATGCATCCAGCATAATTTAATATATTGTTTGCAAAAGCATTAATTTCGCTATTGTGCGGATTTGCAGGAGCACCAGCCTAGGAGGACCCAACGTAATCGGGATCAGTCGTATGATATTAATAGCTGGAAGGCGTGCTGCAAGAATTTGTTGAATCTGATCTTTCAGTGTGAAGATTCTGAACCCTTTCGTCGGCCGGTTGATTTGTTTGAGTATCCGGTATGTAAATCTAGCTACTAACGCTGTTATAACGGTTTTCCCATTTATACAATATACAAATTCCTCTTGCACTACATTACTTTAATATAAAATATGTATTCGCTCACCCTGTAGTCCTCAACATGACCATCCTGCTTTTAAATTGTTTTCTGAAGGACTATAGAGATATTATCGACACACCAATGGATTTTGGAACAGTGCAAGAGACACTGGAAGCTGGAAACTATGAGACTCCATTAGAGTTGTGTAAAGATGTGCGCCTTATCTTCAGTAACTCCAAAGCTTACACTCCCAGCAAAAAGTCAAAGGTAAGACGACAGTCAAAGGAACTGTACTATATTAATTTTAATAAAGGAGAACTGTTAAGACTTAGCCTTGTCTAACTGTGCAGAATGAGGAAATCAGATGACTTTGATCTTTCCTGTCAATATTCACACATACGTGTAAGTGCCTCGCTCAGCTCCAGTTTAATGCGATTAAACTGTGCACAGTGTGTGTGTGCAACTGGCCCATATGTTTCCCACAAGCTGGCCAACATTTTGTGTTCAAATGGCTGATTGTGCAAAACTAAGTGATGTTGACAATGACTTAATGGCCTGGTAGTCAGCATAGGCAGCTTGTCAAAATATTCCTAGGGAGGGGGGCGGCTAAGTAAAATTCTTCGGGGCATCCTCACTTCTGATTGGGCAATGGACTTGTCATTCAAGCCAATAATAATAATTATTCTTGCATTTGATATAGCGCAGTATCATGTCTTTGAGACATCTCAAAGCGCTTCACAGAATATACTGTAAAGTGAATTGACTATGTTTTGTGGGCGAAACGCGGCAGCCAATTGCGCACAGCAGTGTCCCACAAACAGTCGTAGGTTAACTGACCAATTTATCATTAAGGGATGAGGCATATATTGCACAGAAACAGACTATTGGGTTATCTGGTTTGCCTTTAGGACCAGAGGTCTCAAATAGAGATCAGGACACCATGATGAGCAGCTTGCTGGACTGGAAGTCGGCAATGCCTGCGAGTGCTGAGAATTGGGGCTGCTCAAAAGACTGGCTGTGGTCCTGCTCAGGGCTTTCACCTCCCCTTCTGCCAATGGAGAATGCCTTCCAATGGAAGTCAGCCATTTTAACTTCCATCACTAAATAAAGTCAACTTCCGGTTATCAGACAACACTTCCTGCCTGGGCACGCACAGCAAACAGGTGATGTTGCTGTGACCCAATGACTGGGGCGTTGGCATGCGAACCAACTGACACTCAGTGAACAAACTAGCTTCTGTGCCCTTGTGGTGTGATACCAACTGTTTCACCTTGCTCTAGAGCGAGTTGGGATGTTATGGATCCCAATCACCACATTAAAGTGAGGTTCCACTTCAGGTGTCAGCCGAGTTCAACTGGTAGCACTCTGGGTCAGAAGGTTATGTGCCAAGCCCCATAATGGGATTTTGAGCTTAGGGTAGCCTGACACTAGTGCAGTGCTTGAGGTGTGTTGCATTGTCAGAGGTGCCATCCTTCAAATGAGACATTAAAACTGAGGTTCTGTCTGTTTAGGTAGATGCTAATGATCCCATGACATTATTCAAAAGAGAAGGGAATTTCTCTCTGTGTCTTGGCCAACAAACCCCAGATTAATTGTTCATTCACTTTGCGGCTGTTCGTGGGACCATGCTATGTGTAGATTGGCTGCTATGTTTGCCTACAAGTACACAGCAATTACACGTGAAGAACTTTAATACGATTCAACGTTGTAGGCATCACCTGAAATATAAGGATTATTATATAAAAGTAGTAACATTTATAAAATGATGTGATGCATTGTAATGGCATGGTACAATAAAATTGCTTTCTCTTTATTATTTAGAAACTCAAAAATGCATTCCGAAAAGGTTCAGTCTTACGATTAAATGTTGATTCTCACCAGATCTACAGCATGAACCTGCGGTTGTCAGCACTGTTTGAAGAACACATAAGCTCGATCATTTCTGATTATAAGTCGGCAGTTCGATTTCATTCGAAGAAGAAGGCTTCCACTCAAAGGCAGAAACGAAGGAGAAGCAGCTCTTTGTCAAGCAGTGCTGCATCAAGGTAAACTCATTTAGTGCTGTTAGTCACTAGGACTGCAGGACAAGGGAGTAGAACATACCTTAGGGGTAGTGCTTCAATCAAAAGTTAACCTGCTGAACTTTCATCATAAGGAATAGCAGCTGATGCTATTCGTGTGTTAGCTTTTTCAAAGTAACTTTGTGAAGTATTCAGACTGAATCCACATATTGACCTGCTCAGCACTATATCAGTTGGTACTTACTACAGCGACTTAAAGGAATAGGTATTTGGTGTAAAGTGAAGATATGGAAGGCTTTGTCAAAACGTGGAGTCCTGTAGCTCAGTGGTTAGAGCACTCACTTTGCAAGCGAGAGACCTGAGTTCAATTCCAGGCAGGGCGAAACCTTGGGCAAGTTTCCTTACTCCACACGCCTAATAATAATCCCTCCAAAAACCCCCAAAAACAATAATAAATTGGTCATTTTCAATCTACGACTGTTTGTGGGACACTGCTGTGCGCAATTGGCTGCCGCGTTTGCCCACAAATATACAGTCAATTCACTTTACAGTGTGTTCTGTGAAGCGCTTTGGGACGTCCTCCCGACGTGAAAAGCGCTATATCGCGCGAAAAGCGCGAAAAGCACTGTGGAGTCCTGTAGCTCAGTGGTTAGAGCACTCGCTTTGCAAGCGAGAGACCTGAGTTCAATTCCAGGCAGAGGGCGAAACCTTGGGCAAGTTTCCTTACTCCACACAGAGCCTAATAATAATCCCTCCAAAACCAAAAACAATAATAAATTGGTCATTTTCAATCCACGACTGTTTGTGGGACATTGCTGTGCGCAATTGGCTGCCGCGTTCACCCACAAATATACAGTCAATTCACTTTACAGTATATTCTGTGAAGCGCTTTGGGACGTCCTCCCGACGTGAAAAGCGCTATATCAAATGCAAGGATTATTATTATATCAAATGCAAGGATTATTATTATTATTATTATTAAAACTTTCAAAACTGAGGACCTTGAAGTCAATCTAGTGGGGAATAGGGAGCTAGTGTAGCCTGGCGAGGATGGGGGTGATGAGCTTGTAGAAACTGCTGCAAGAAAGGATGTGGCTGTGGAGTTCTGTAGAAATGGAACCTCATTGAGGAAAGCATTGAAGTATCAAGTCTGAAAGTGACAACATGGGTGTGGGTTTCAGGTGCTCTAGGGCTGAGTTAGGATGGAGGCAGGTGATGTTGTGCAGGAAAGTGGGCTTGGTCAGGGACCAAATGAAATCCGTAAACGAGAGCTGAGGGTGAAGCAAAAGAGGTGGTTGAGCACTGCCTCTGTCAGCTAGTGTGAGCAGTCGGGGATGCAGTTGAAATCAGAGGGGAGCAGGTGGGTTTTTTTTAGCATTCAGTTGAAGGAAGTTAAGATGTTTGACAGACAGTCTGTCATGACAGCAGTGGTCCTGGAGTCGAGGCAGAGAGGTAAAGTTTGGTGTCACCTGCTTCTATGTGCAAGCAGACGTTTGCCTTGGATTATGTCACCAGGAGAGAACATGATATTAATAAGAATTTCTATACTTCAATTGCAGCCCTGAAAGGAAGCGGAAGTTTGTAAAATCCCAGGCCAAAGTAGAACTTGCCACCTCCTCGCCTTCTTCGCCACCTTTGCGGTCAACAAGCATAAAAACATCTGTAATTCAGGCTAATGGCCGGGCGAGTGAATCTGCTTCTGTGATCCGTACCAGAAGGACAAGATTACGTCTGGGCAACACCTCCAAGACAGAAACCCAAGCTTCACTAGGGACGGCGGCAACACTTCCCAAGTCTTCTGTGCCAACACCAGCTGGAAGTGCACGTAAGAAAATAAACATTTAGTGTTAACTAGAGGACCTCATTCTTCAGGCATTAGTGACTGAGTGCAATATGTTCTGTGCTGGTTGTTAAATCAACACCTTTGAGTTCGTATTCTAGACTAACAGTTCAGTTAGGCTGTGCATTGTGCTGTCTTTCAAATGAGACATTAACTGAGGTTACATTTACTTGTTCATGTGGACATTAAAGATCCTGCGGCCCTTTTCAAAAGAGAAGGGAGTTTCTCCCAGTGCCCTGGCCAACAATTTCCCTTAATCAAAAGAAACCTTGAAAAGCTTGCTTTGGTTATCTAATGTAACGTACCTGCAAACAAAAACTTATTTAGAAATACCAGGAATAGTTACTTTTTATGACACAAGGAAAGATGTAATATATATATTTTAATTTCTCTCAATATTTTCTCCAGCAGAAAATACCACAAAGCCATCAAAGGCTCAGAACAATCTCCAAAGCCCTAACCTGTCCGAGTTCAAACACAGCGCTGAGACATCATTGGAAGCAGAGGAGAAGACTGAGAAAAAGAGGTTAACTCGTAGGAATAAATCAACACCATACAAACAACCTAAGGGTAAGTTTTTTACCTAGCTGGAGCTGAATCAGGCAGTGTGTGTATGTGTGTAGTGCTGTGCATTGTACAGCATTAACCCATGTGAGCCGGAACCCAGATTATTTAAATTGCTCAAGTAATGTGAGACGTTAGTTCTGATTAATTGGAGACCTGCCACTAAAATTCCAGTATCGTAGAAAGCCATTCAGCTCATTGAGTCTTGGAAGATTCTTACTTACTATTCTAATCCAAATTCCCTGCACTCTATTTACATTCTTCCTCTTCCAATGTTTATAATTCTCTCTTTTAAATATTGTCATAATCTCAGACTCAGTAGCTACTTGCAGCAAAGATTTGATATTACAGACTTTTAGTTGATCCCAGAATGCTGAGAACATCTCAGCCAATGGCTTAAAATGGCCACTTCTAAAATTACATATTACAGTTGATTATATTGTCAATCTCTTGTTTTGGCGCTCAATAAACATTTGTAATTGGGATGGCAAGTTTACTGTATCTGAGGAAATGTTCAAAATGATACCTTTGCATACATTGCAACATAAAGATAGGTAACTTTCAACAAGAAATTCCATTCCAAATATCCCTTACCTGAAAGCTTACTATGTAATTTTGAGCTCAACTCAAGTGGTAGAACTTTCGTCTCTGAGTCAGAAAGTTGTGTTTTCAAACTATGGGAACTCCTATAGTTTAAACTGATGCACCAATGCAGGGCTGGGGTGTGCTGCATTGTCGGTGGTGCCGTCTTTCGAATGAGACACTCTTTGCCTACTCAGGTCGATGTTAAAGGTCCCATGGCACTATTCTCCTGGCCAACAATCCCCCAAATAAAATAGGTCATTTATTTCATGGTTGTTTGTGGGACACTTTATAGTTTTTCCTGTTAAGTGCTTTTATAACATGAAAGCCTTCATATCAAATGTAAGGATTATTAGTGTTACGTTTCCTTGGTCATTTTTGATGTAATCAGTTTGTGCCTCTGCCTAAAATAATTTGTCATGCCTGCTCTGTGACATTCAAACTAATAACATCAGACTCCATCCAGTATAGTGGAATTATAGTCTTTCATCCTCACTGCTGGCCTCTGTTGTTTTTTAAAGCCTATCTGTTTCTCTAGAGTGATGCCATTTCTCTTCGAGTGTTTAAACCCAAGTATACAGGAACTCAGATTGTCAAATTTGAGTCATTTTTGTTTTGTAATCTCAAGGTAGCTGGGGACCGAGACTAGTAAATCGTTTGTAGACAGCCATCATCAACCCTACCTAATTTAGGATAGATTAGACCTTTATACCATAAATTTTGACCTTTTTCTTTCTGAAGTGGAACAAATTGGGTTAAGAATAGAATCAGCTGTTTCATCTATTTACTATTTATTAAAGAACCAAGAGTCCTGTACCACTTCTCCCCCCCACCCCTGATAATGTAAACAAACTTTTGAACTGTTTATAAACTGAAATATCTTTGTAGAATTGAATCACCAGTGTAAAAACAATTTTTACTATTCCATTGTTTTTCTTGCTTTTTAATGTCCAGGTAACATCCAGGCTGAATCTTCAGTACCGAAGAGCCCACAAATAAATGGACATAGTGCGTGCACCTCCAATTTAGTGGCTAAGAGAGGTCCTGGTAGGAAACCTGGGGAAATTAAAAGTCTTAAAGGACCTGGTAAAAAAAGAGGTAGGAAAAGTAAACAAGAACTACTTCGTTCTCAACAAGAGAATGAAATGAAAAGATTGGCAGAAACAAAAAAAGACTTATCGAATGCGAATGGTGAAGAAGCTACCTCAGAAAGCAGCTCTCATTCAGAGAGCAACACACAAAGAGAATCTGTGCCGCCGAAGCCAAGGAGAGGCAGGAAACCCAAAGGAAAGAATCTACCAGCTAAATCCAAATTGATAGTTGCTGCTAAAGGTAAGATGCAGACGAGGAGCAACAGTAGGAAGCATGAGGATCCCACGGAACCAGTGGAGAGCATGGACCCAGTTGAGCCTGTGGCAGAGGAGGAGGAAGAACGGACTGAAGAGGCCATGAGCTCTAAATCCATCATGAAAACGAGGAATCAAGGTAGAAGGACAACGTGCTACAATGAGGAGGATTCTGAGGAGGAGCAAAGGCAACTGCTGTTCGAAGATTCTACTTTAACTTTTGGAACATCCAGTAGGGGTAGGCTGCGGAAACTGACTGAGAAAGCAAAGGCCAACCTGATTGGTTGGTAAACGTCTGTAATGTGTCTACTCAATGAGGCTTCTTGTTTAGGCAAGAACAGGTAAGGGATTGTTGCACTTGAGGTCACTGCATTCTCACCTGCAGGCTCAGTTGACATTGTGATTTCAGTTTGGCGTACTGACCAGAAGACGGCAAAATGAGCAAGGACTAATCTAACAACCATTTTATTTCTAGAGTTTAATGTTGTTTTGTATTCATCTAGCTCTCCCTCTCTGTCTGGTTGTGTACATCTTAACATTGCACATTATTTCCGTACTTGCCAACACTAGTTCATGTTAGAAGGGTGGTTGTGAGATGTAGTTTGGATTTCCGATGTGCATTTGTATTCTGCCCTTTTCCCTTCTACTTCCACCTCATGTCCTCTGATAAACTGCAGTTTCTATCTCCTTTTAATGGTGGAAGGAACACTTGCCGACAAAGAAGATTGGGATCAGTTAGCTTTTGCACTCATCAATAATGGATCTTTTCAGAAATGCCAAATTGATTGCGACTAAACTCAGCAAATTTTTTTGTATATACATAAAAATGTTTGTTAAACGTTTGATCTTAATTGTGTGTGTGTGTTAACATGAGTTTTGGTGATACACTTTTATTTTGTAGCCGCTTTCAATCAATCTGCCAAGCAATGAGCCAACTAAAGTAATACATTCAGAATTTGATACTTCGTAACTACCAGCTAAACATTGTATACATTCGGTAACAGCTGAATTGTTTATTGTCCTAAACATGGGCATTGATGGTTGGTTGATTTCCAAAATGTAAGGTTAGTTAACATTTTTCTATCCTTCAGTTAATCTGTAGTTTACTTGTAGTTCATATTTGCAGCAATATTTATTTTATCAAAAGTCGGAAGGATATTGGTCTGTATCATTGGTAACTTTTTTCACATTTGCAAATGTGTTCCCGGGTCTTTAATGGGCATATGGGTGCAGTCTGAAAATGTAACGCACACTTCAACATAACATTGGTGAAAGCTGACTTTGTTTCCTCATTTTGAGCCCCCATAGTATGCACATGAGGCCTTCTAGCCTATGAAAGATTGTGTCCTTTACATATCTTGCTTTTCTATTTAATATGATTCCATTCATTGTCATATAGCAAATCATGAGCAAAAAATGCATTGGTCAATGTACACAAGCATCAGTTCATTAATTACTACAAAGGCTCAATTTTGCTTTGGTTGTCAGAAATGTATCTATCAGGTGTATTTTATTTCAAGATACTTCAGCCTGAGATATTTTTTAAACCAACAATCAAGTCCTTGCTCGTTTGTCAGCCATCATGTACTTAAATCATAGAGAACGCAAAAGTTGACTTCAAGTGCATTTGGGCCTCTTCAGTTCAAGCTTTCAAGATAATTGTAGAAGAGGCTCATTATTGTTCCCATTGTAGTATGAAGCAACCATGAGTAGCTTCTCCTGTCTATTGAATGTAGAGGTAAACAAAAACTAAAACAAGCCTGCATTGCACTGGAACTGAGTGGTAGGACTCTTGCTTACCTTACACAATCAGAGACAAAATTACTATTGGTAAAGTAGAAAGAAGAGACTGGTTTTAGTTATGTTTTCACACACACCAGAAAATTATTGTATATTGTAAGTAGAAAAAAATATTTTAAGATATAGTGCAGGGATGGGTTTGAGATGTGCCATGATCTATTCAAATGGCTTTATAGCACATCACTTATTAATGTTGTCAACCTTTATGAAGGGTTTATGAGAACGTGCCCAATTCCTTTATCAGATGGGGAAAGTTATGACAATTTTTTTGAGATTGCCAAGCATGTAAATGGTGCTGACATTTCCAGGCTTGTTTAGTTTGTAAAAATTCCCCCAACCCTCACCAACCACCCTCACCCAACAGGAAACAGTACAGGATTTTGTGGCAACTTACTTGCCAGTTGTTCACAATTAATAAATATGGTTTAAAAGCCCCATTATATATGGATATTAACTCAAGTACCCTTACCAGGCTTTCTAGGAAGAAACATGGTTTAAAGTTCATTCCATGCAGTAATCTCTTCCAAAGCTTGCACCTTATTTTCTGATTTTAAAGAAAGGTTGGCTTTTTTGTAATATTCAATGTGTTTTAAGTGGTCAAATGGCCTTTTATTGGATGTTTGCAAATAGAACCTTACAGCACAGTGTCGTTTTTGTGCACTTTCTGCCTTTGTCCACTATGCTACATTAAATCAGTATCTTCCCTCATAAGGAATAACATTTGGTGATTGTGCCTTGAATAAAATGCTTCTTTCTTGTTCATTGTTAGGGCTGGGGCGAAAGTTATTACACTCCAGAGGTTTTCTACTTATCGACCCACTGCTTTTCTGTGTATAACTGAGGCAAAGTCCATGTTTTCAACATGAGAAAATCACAGATAAAAATTCTGTGTGAAAGTGATGAAAATGTCAAGCACCACATGCAAAAGATGTACACAATGTTATTGACCATTTCACTTCTAAACTGCCAAATAATAATAGCGTGCTCTGAAACAAATTGTTTTTCCCGGTTCTGATTTCCCTGTGGCAATTTAGGGGTGATGTTTGATTTGGTTGTGTAGTGTTGATAGAACGGTTCTTCTCTCTCCCTCCCCACCCCCACCCCTTTCTCCCGGGGAAAAAGATCATTTTCCCAGAGAGGTGTGTGCTTGTTTTCTTTTACATTTCTATTTTAAAGTAATCTAGACAGTTTTTATTTCTGGGTTTGCCAGTTTGATTTGGCCATATTTTTAAAATAATGAATCTTCCAGAATTTATTTTAAAAGTGATTGTTGTCTTTTTTTATTAATATCCAATGTAGGGAGGGAAAGCAAATAACGTTTGCTTAGTAACACTGAAGGTGGTTAGAGGAGGATTGTACTCATTAAGGTACCAACCAATGTGCTATATATCCTGTCATATTTGAGACTTGCTGTGGTTTCCACCCACGGGTCTTTTTTTAATTTAGAAAAGTTATATTCCACTTTTTAAAAAAAACTGGTGAACCAAGAAATAATATCTTTTCTGTACAAGTTGAATGTGAACTTATTTTGTTTTTTTACTGCTCCTCAACAGTAACACTCCCCACAAACTGAGTTCAAGTGGCTCTATCCCTTTTGTAACTGCATCTGACCTTCTGTAAATAAAATGACTGTGCGAGTGAGTTGCAAGGCTAAAAGCTAATGAAGGGGTTCAGACAACGTATAAGTTGTGAGAATAAAGTCTGAGCATCTTATGAATGTCACCTGAACCCACGGTTAGGCCAAGCCTTCAGTTCACTCACTGATGTGTTATTCTATATAACATATATACTGTGCTTGGAATTTTAATGGAAATTGTAGGCTGTTTTGTGAAAGTTTAGGGTTTCTTGATACTTTCAAAAGCATTTCAGATTCTTGGTATAGGATGGCAATGGCATTCACCCTATAGGGTGCTTACTCCCTCAAGATCTCATTAGTGCAGCTTTTACCAGAAAGCAATTGGCAGTAGATAACCAGAAAACTCCATACACAGTATATATTATATACTGCTATTTACCATTCATATCCGCAGAACAGCATTTTGCCATTTCCCTTAGGATCCTTACTCTGATCCTATTTTTCAAATAAAACTTAATTTAAAAAATCATCAGAGATCTTCCTTTGTCTTTATTAAGTTTGGGCATTTATGATTTGTTTGTGTAAAAACATTTAGCAAAAATATACAAACTTCCATTACCAGCTCCAAAATTTGAAAAATCCAATGTTTTTCTTTCCTTTCCCTCCTATTTGTTGGCGTATATACTATGGATTCATATCTGAAAGAAAAGCAAAGAAATTTGTGTAAATAATGCCTATTCTTTTGAATATTGTAATATTATATGGTTAACCAGATGCACTGGTATATAAACGGTTATCCTATTTTTACAATTATCCTTTGAGTGAAGCTTTCAAAAGTTACATCCTTACATTTAGAAGGCAAGGAAATTTGCCTGAGGATCTGACTTACACACTGGATTTTACACTATAGCTGTTTCAAGGGAGCTCTTGCAGACCTTTTGCTAAAATTGTAGAATGAGGTCGAACTCAAGGATGACCAGATTTCACTTCTGCCTGTGACAAAAGTGGAATGGATTTAATTTTTTTAAATAAAACTTCCAAAGCATGCTTTGTAGTATAGGCCTGTGTCGTGTACATCCCTTATCTGTTCATTTTTGTATAAATGTACGCTTGGTCAAATACAATCTAACTCTAGTGTTTTTATATTTGGTCTGAATTTTGTATGTCAAAGCATTTATGTTGAAATCAGATACCTAAAACTAACATGCAAACACCTTATTTTGATACTAAGGTCACAAATAAAGAAGTTCCTTATTAGTGTTCTGTTCACATTGTTATATCCAGTGTTGGCTGTTTTTCATGCACCAAATTACTATTTCATCCCTTTACCATCATTTTTAGCCATCTTGTCACAAGATGATTTCATACTTTTTTATAAAAAGAAAAGAAAATATGTCCTAAGATGAGAGCAGATGGTGGAAAAGGAACTGAAGTTCTCAGTGTTACGAGATGATTTATTTTGTTTTACATCGGGTTTAAGTACATTAAAGATAATAGCTGCATTTGGTATACCATGGCACCTTCTCACATAGAAATGGCTCAAAGTACTTCACAGTAATTACGCTTAAGTGTAGTTTCTGTGTAGTTTCTACAGATGAAGGAATTTAAAAAGATGGATGACAATTTGAATTCAGATCGAGAAACACAAAAGAGTTTGTTTCCCATTGAGTTCATTCTCATTGCTACAGAATCACACTTTACTGGGCATCTAATAAGCAACTCACTTTAACCAATGATGCATTTGCTTTTCTTAGGTCCATGATAACACTGATAATGGGGAGCAAATATCACAAGTTTCATACGACGTTAAACCCTTGAAATCTTGCTTCCTTTCTAAGCTAGGTGGAATTCGATAACCATCCAATTTATTCATCAACAAAAGCTTAATTTGACTTCTACTGCATAATCTTGTTCGTGCAAACCACGTTGAAGCGACAGCAACAACCCCTTATTTCATACCTATGGTATATTTTGGGGAGGGAAGAGGCTAGGCAGTGATCCATTGTAACCAGGTTAGCAGCAGCCAGTACAAATGTGTGCATTATATGTAAGTATTGCAGGCAACCAATTTCCTTTGAAACATACATTTTCAGGAAAGAAGACATTTGACTGCATTTGGATTCTGAAAAAAATGTAGGTTATTTTCAATCCTAGAGGGAGTTTATTTTTAATCCTGTGTTATTTACATGCATTTCTTTGGGTAATTCCAGGTATAATTATGTCAAGTGTTAAAATGTAATAGAAATATATTTTTGGAATGATTTCTTTCAGGTCCGTACCAATACTATGCTCTGGTTTGTGAGTACAGCCTTGGGGATTCACTTGGTGATGTTCCCTGACTTTCTGTCGGGAAAACCCTATCCTCCACTTGGTACCTCTCTGGGGCAGCTTTGCTGAGAAGTTAATCAAAGGAATCTTGCAAACTAAATCATGCCTTGTTTCTCTTGTCATAGGTTAACAATTTTCATGCTAACCTCATTACCAAATGTATGTTAATCCTATACTTCAAAGGGTTTAAACGGGAATGGAGCATGCCAAAAATATTGTAAGATAACCAATGCCAATTCTTCCATTTTTTGGAGCTACATATTACCTTCATTGTTATAAACCCCAAATACCCAGATAGTCCACACCATTATAGATCTTATATGTCTACACATTTTGTTTTCTAAACATGTAGACTGAATTGAGATGGATTGTCTTGAGTAATTTGGATTTATAGGCATTCACCTACAAAATGCAGTCACTACACTTTACAATACAAACCTATCAGCAACTGATACATGGCTAGTTTTTCAAAGGCAGAAATAGAAATGTAAATGTGTCGAAAGTGTCTTTTTACAGATAATTGCAAAATCATATAATATTCTTTCACACATTCTCCAAAAAATGTCCAATGTTTTGCTGCTTTGAAATTAGATTTGTGGTGGGGTATAAATTCAGGAGGCATTGGATCCAGTTTTTCATGGGTATGAATTCAAGTATACCATTGTTTAATTGGGCACAAATTAATGAGCAGAGAGGGCTCAGTTACAATAGGGGTATTCTTTTGTGGTTGGAATTCAGTCACATTTTGGGGGATTAAGTCTTTCTTTCCATCTGATCTGCGTTGTACTGTCTTGCTAGACCTCGCTTGGTGCTGACACTGGGTGACAAAATTGGAAAAGTGTTCCACTGATGTCCTTCATCTTGAGTACATTTGCCCAAAATATTATGAAAGAAAAGGACTTTTGGAAGATCCATTAAACGACAAACATTTTCTGATAGACATCAATTATCAATCATTTGAAATATTTTGTTTTCCAAATCCTTGAAGAAAGTTTGTGTAAATATGTACTTCTGTTAATGCAACAGTATTTCTGTTTGGTCCCTTGCAAGCCATAAGTGGTTATTGGTAGTTTGAATACAAATGGGGCTCAGTAGTAAGTGTTTTGATGATCTGAAGCAATAGAAAACCTAGGAGTTTGCGTAAGGGTTTAGAAGGGTGGGGAGGAAGGTCTATACTGTAAAGTTGATATGCTATCACAGGAGGTATTCAAATACCTTCTGTACTTACTTCCAATAAAGTGTTTGCTTTTTATAAAAAGACAAAAAATACACTTTTACCTTTTGCATTGTGTGAGATTTTAAAAATACAAAAGGGAACAATTTAATTGGGGCCTTTTAAATAACCCGGTTGTGAATTAATCATTCACAAGTTGAGAATTATTTCTTACTTGTGATATAAATTAGCTATTTTGCACTCTGCTTTCTAGTAAACTATTTGCCTGAGGTTTTCCCCCAGCCAAATAATTATTCTGCAAAACTGATTGTAATGCACAATGTCTTTGTGGAATATGCAGTTGGAAGATGAATAAGTAGGAATACAATGATGTGAACAGGTCCCAAAGTAACGGTCAAAATGTTGGGAATATTTTGAGGGCTGATGCATGCATTGAGTATACAGGAGAATGCAATGCTGAAGTGAACTGATGTATTTTTAATTTTTATACTCTTGAGTGAGGTACCGGTGTTGTGCTCCAGTGCGCCTCTTTCTTCTAGTTGAATATTTTACGACCATTGTAACAAAGTGAAATGTGTTCTTGGTATAATGTTAGGTCCTTTAATTTGATGGCATATGGAAAACCTTTCTGTTTGTTTTAATTCATAATGTTGTTTTATTTAAAATAATTATTGAATGTGTGATTAGTACTGCCACATACTGTAGTGCAAAAATTCATATTTTTGAATAAATGAAAAGAGAACACAATTTTTTAAAAGTTTTTTTGAATAGTGATGAATTTTTTAAAAAACATACATGCTCTGTTTAACAATTTCTATCTACATACCACTTGAATTGGAATGCCAGGAAGCAAGGTTCCTTAGCCACTTTGTTCTGTCTTTAATGTTTCAAGGAAAGTGAATGACATGCAAACATATAAGCCTAAATACAGACTCAAGCACAGCATAATCACGGGAGTAAAAAGCAGCAGATTAACCCTCATAAGGGAACGACTAAAGAAAGTCACTTAATAAAAGGACTAAGTTCACTTGAGGGCATAAATTTGTTGTATTTTTTTTCATTTAAATGAAATAATTCAACTAGCAACATTCCTACAATTTCTTTGAAATTCAATAAAGAAGATGGTTCCTTTATTAGCTGTTTTTAGATACAAAAGTTGCAACAAACTCTCACTGCCCTTGAGCCATTCCCAGTGTTCTTGTTTTTCTTTTGAGTACAACATTGGTAGTGACATCACCCTTGCTCTTTGGGTTTGAATGGATTAAAGGTGAGACAGCATCTTGAGCGACTGGAAAATATCAAGGGAATCTCAAACTAGGTTTGTAGGTTGGAACAATGCATAGTCTCCCAAGTCCAAAACTCAGTGCCTTGTTTGGACAATTGTGCAGGATGTTCACATCAGAAATACAATACTCATCTCATTATAATTAGTGTAAGGTTGTCATTTTTTGCTGAAATAGTGATTTTGGGTTGTGGGTAAACGCCAATTAGGATTACTGCTTCAATACCGGGAATTTACTGCACTGCACCCCAAGAGTAACCATGAGAAATACATGCTTTTGGTAAATGTACGTTTTTGTGTTTTAAATAAGTGAACATCAAATTGGAGCAACAACAACTTGCATTTATATAGTGCCCTCCATGTTGGTCGGGATCCCAGTGTGACAATGGTGGAGGCCGATGCTGAGCCAGGGGGAGGAGGAAGGTGACCTTATGTGTGGTCGAAGAGGAAGGTCTTCAGGTGCAACCTGAAAATGGGGAAGAGGGGGCCAAGGCGAAGGGATTGAGGGTGGGAGTTCCATGGCTTCAGGCGTAGTGGCTGAAGGCACAGCCACCAATGGTGGAGTGGAGGATTCGAGGGACAAGGAGGAGGCCGGAGCTAGTAGATCGGAGGCAGCGGGTTATGCTGTGAGGAGAGTGGAGGTTGGAGAATTAGGGGGGTGCCAAGGAATGGAGGGATTTAATAATAATAATAATCCTTACATTTGATATAGTGCTTTTCATGTCTTCTCGACATCTCAAAGCGTTTCACAGAATAGAGTGTAAAGTGAATTGACTGTATATTTGTGGGCGAAAAGCAGCAGCCAATTGTGCACAGCAGTGTCCCACAAACAGTCGTGGATTGAAAATGACCAATTTATTATTGTTTTGTTTTGGAGGGATTATTATTAGGCGTGTGGAGTAAGGAAACTTGCCCAAGGTTTCGCCCTGCCTGGAATTGACCCCAGGTGTCTCTTTTGCAAGGTGAGTGCTCTTAACAACTGAGCTACAAGGATTATTATTCTGAGAATGCAAGTCTCAGTTCTGCCCCCACCCTTTGGAACTCCCTCCCACAGTCCCTTTGCCTCCCCGCCCCCCCCACCCCCCCTCTCTTCTGCCTCCTTCAAGGACAGTCTCAAGACCCTTTTCTTCAACAGTGCCTTCAGTCAGCCTCATATCCCTGCCCTCCACACCTCCTGATCGCAAATCCAGATCGGGTCCATGACTGTCCATTGCTTTGGGACATCCTCCTGACATTAAAGGTGCTACACAAATGTAATTTGTTGTTGTTGCCAATCTGACCCTAAACTCTGGGAACTAAGTAAAGCAGAATGTGTTTTGCCTGGAGAGAGAGAACACAAAATACCAGACAATGGAAACGACAAATTATGTGGAACTCTTGATACTTTGCTTTTGGGGACTTTTAAGCATGGCCATTGGTTTCTATGCCCATCAGATATCTTAACTGACCAAACAAGTCTCAGCAGTCACTCTCTGTGGTGAGATGAAATAAGATAATAATCTTTACGTTTGATATAGCGCCTTATCATGTTGTCAAGATGTCCCAAAAGTGCTTCACAGGATACACTGTAAAGTCGATTGACTGTATATTGTGGGCGAAATGCAAAAAAAAAAGGAAATACATGGACTAGAATGAAAGCTTCGGACTTAATCGGGTTCCACCTTGAAAGATAACGATCGGGTGCATAGTGAACAAGGTGTGCAGTGCAGGGGCTGACCGGGCTGGGCTGGGCTGGGCTGGGCTGACGCTTTCTGGTTGAGTTTGCAGCTCAGTCCTGACGTGGCTGAGATTGAATCGCCTGGAGAGAGAGAGAGAGAGTGAGAGAAGAGAGAGACTCGTGTGGACAAACCATTGGACGAGAATGATTTGTCTGGAAACTTGATCGCCACCTGCAGCCTGTGAGCTGTGTGTGTATCTGCCCCATCAGCTGCGATCCACACACACACAGTCTATTTGCATTAGCAGAGCTCTCAGTTCCTGTTTGCTCGCACTGTTTCTCTAATCTACTTTGCAAAGCCCCACACAATACAGGTAGTGAGTTTGCAACATCCGTGTTGCCCTGTGTAGTGTTCTCAGCCCCTGACACCAGCAGCAGATCATACTTGAAGACATAGGAGTGTGTTAGTGCTGGGAAGGACTGGACTCCTGACTTTTCCCCCCAATTTAAATAATAAATAACCATTGCTGGGTAAGTTATACCCATTTCCTACTCACTTTTGTTATCCTTTTGCTCCAGATCCAACTCCCAAGTGCTTGGCTGTTTTACTCAGCTGCAAAGGGTTTCACAAGTCAGCAGCTCTTGAGTTTTTACAGAATGTTTTTCTTCTTTTTTAAAAAAAAGTTATCAACGAAGGGCTTTAAAAATGTCTTAACTAATGTAACTGCGATCTCTTGTTTATTTTGTTTTGTTTTTCTTCGCTTACAAAGGGGGAGGCATTGGTATGTTCACTGGTTTGTTTGTGGTGTGAAAGTGGACGATTATTTATTCAGTGCATTCGTTTACTTCTGAGAAGATGAATGACTTCTCCCAACAAATTTGATGTTCAAGCGTTTACGCCCCAGAACTTTTTTTTGGGGGAAAAAAAACGCACCAAAACGTACATTTGCCCCAAAATGTGCATTTCTCGTATTCCCTAAACGTTTGCAATCATTTCCCTGTGTTGAAGCAGTCACTCAGTTCCTCACAGGTGTCAGTCCACAACACAAAATCACTCATATTTCATATTTCAGCAAAAAAAATGGCAACTTTACAGTGGTGCATTTCCGATGTGATGTTGAGGGATAGAGGGTTACGTTGCCTGGTGGCGTCGCTGTGGAGTGGGGAGGCACAGCTGTGTGTGTGTGTGTGTGTGTGTGTGGTGTGTGTGTGAGAGCACATTCCCAGCCTCTCACTTCCCAGTCCCTTTGCAGCAAGAGTTGGATCTTGTGTCCAGTCGTTCAGCAGGTACAAGGGGAAAGCATCGCCAAAGCCTCACACAGGCAGGCGTTTTATATCTCTCTGCTACTTAGCAGCACCAAACCATCTTTATGGAGGCAATCTTGCTGCTCCATGTACCAGCCATGTAAACGCGAGATAGCAGTAGTAAGGGGACCATCAGCTGTCTCACTTTTAAAATGAATCTGCTGATGTAAGTGGGCAGGCTAATGTGATTCTAAATTCATGAAAGTTTCAGCTTTCTCTGATCACCTGTGTAAATCAATCACACTCTCTTATTTTATTCTTCCTTTTACCCCTTTGAAGGCTCAACCTCTGCACCAGGCATGAGAAGGACGATAGGTGGATCACAAGACTATTTTATACCCACAACCTGTGCTGTTCCTTTAAAGCAGGGGTCTCTATTTGGAGATGGACTTTTGCTGCTTCTATTGCCCATCACCTAACCTGAGCAATGCCTCATGCTGAATGGTGCTTTGCCAGTTGGTGTGTAATTCCTTACCTGTGTTTGGATCATGGACATTTTGTAGGGAAAACTATTTGTCTCAAAGGGTCACCCTCAAATTTGAAAACCTAACATTACTGTACTGGGTATATGTAGAGACAACTCCAACTCCTATCATGACATTCCCTGGATTAGTGAAGGAAATTGATTAAGCTATTAAATGTGCTTCTAGCGATGAGGACTATCCTCCAGGGAGGGGTGATGGTGGGGGGAGTGGGGAGGTAATCAGGATCTCCTTGCAGATGAGCTGTGTCCAACTTAATGTCGGAATCGGAGCTGCTTGGCAACTTAATGTCAAAATCAAATGAACTCTAGAGGTCTTGTTAGTCGGTTCCTGAGTCAGGTGGGTCCACAGCACTCCAAAGGCACAACTGATGACAGACTCCCTAACCTGGCTCATTGGCAGGACTTGGAGCAGCCAACACTGGGAGCATAAGCATTGGGAACTTGATCTGGTTTGGAAGCGCTTTATCATGCTTATGGGTTTGCGTGAATATCAGACACCCGGCTGACCAAAAGGAAATGATAGCCAGAGGAGGAATAGGTTTGGGCTGTTTTGTTTGGAGTATCCAAACACCCCTCCGCCTCATAACATCTGAAGGGAGATACAGAAACTTTTGATTCAGAAAATGGAATGGCAGAGAAAATAGAAAGATACTGGACAAAGCTGTGCCCTCAACCACAAAAATAACACAAGGTAGAGATGAGATATGTTCCATGAGATTATGTGAACAACCAAAAGATTGCCAAATAAGTAAGACTTTCTTGGGTCAGGTGGGTGTCTGACACAAGGAAACCCATCACCATGCTTATGAGAATTCAAACCACACTGATAGTGCTCCATTTATATGCCACCTACACATGGCGTTTTCTCCAGTGTCTGGAATGGACTGTGCATTCTCTACCTGGAGGGATGAACCCTACTTAACCTAATTCTAGAGAAGTATGGGTTCATCAAGCATGCAATAGCTGATAAATTGTGTCTTCATTGGAGAAATGTGATGATTGTTGGCAATCTGCATCTCCATTTTCATTGTCAGTTCAATGGTCTGAGCGAGGGGAATGGATTAATTCAAACAAATTGTTGAAGTTCGTCGTAAAGTGAGTACCAAACATTTCCTCATTTCTTTTAAGTTCTTGAAAGTACAGTCCTTGAGCCAATGATGTGGAACAGAGGAACTGTACAGATGATTTAGTAGCTTGGATGTTGGCCGTTGCTCTGTGTAAAAAGTGCAGTCATTGCCATTGCTGTGTGGAAAATCAACTCTTGAGTTCTGATCAACAACAACAAATTGCGTTGATATAGCACCTTTCACATTGGGAAGACATTTCAAGGCAGTTGAGGGATTTAGATTCAGGAGGTGTGGGGACAAGTTGGGAGGGTGGGGGGCATGTGGGGTGGCAGTCGGAAGATAACTGAAGGTGTGGTCAAAGAGCAAGGTTTGAAATGGACATGAAGGAGACTAGGGAAGGAGTGGGGAGAAGGGACTTTGGGATACAATTCCAGAGAGTGATACCCTGCTTCTGAACTGCAGAATTGTCAAAAAGTGTTTAGTGGACTGTGGGAGGATCTGAAATGGCATTTGTATTTATATTCATCCATGCATTAACAAGTTCAGGACTAGTCACTGTGTCTTCTAGACAAGCTACAGAGATTTGCTGCCACCAGAGTATTATTCAGAACATCTGCAAATGTGTGTTGTACAACAGGATTAGTATGCATCACTTTGCTCATAGTCTAATAATTATATGATAATCCTTACATTTGATAGAGCATTTTTCACATTGGGAGGACATTTTGGAAAGAAGTACCAGCACACTTCACACAATTCACTGTAAAATGTGTATTTTCTAGGAGAATGTGACAGCCAATATTGTGTACAGCAGTGTTCCACAGACAGGCATGAAGCAAATGACAAATTTTCAACAACAACAAATTGCATTTATATAGTGCCTTTCACATCAGGAGGATGTCTGAGGGAATTATTGGCCAGGACAACAACAACAAATTATATTTGTATAGCCCCTTTCACATCAAGAGGACACCAGGAGAAACTCTATGCAGCTATCTGGTCAGCTATATTGCTCTTTTCGAGATTATTGTGACTGGGGAAGGGGCAGGAGGAAGTTGAATAGAAACCACGGAACGTAGACACAATTTTGACAGTAAAATGATGAACAATGGGATTTTTTTAAAATTCAAGAACTACATTAAANTTTTTTAATATTAAAAATCTGTGTAAACAATAACAACAAATTACATTTGTAAAGCACCTTTGACATCCAGAAAGGTTCTATATAAATGTATATATTGTATTGACTCTCACTGACTGTGTTTACGTGAGAAGAGTGGGTGTTTGTATAAAGTAATGAAAGGTTTGCTGCTGCTTGCGATATTGTCTCCAGTGTTTGCCCATAGATACACAATCAATAAACGTCCAAGTTAAAACCCGTCTGAAGCACTTTGAAACATCTCAAAGACATGATAAGGCGCTATAACAAATGCAGTGATTGTTTCTAAGCCCCTGTCTTCAGGGGAGGAGTTGATTAAATTCAGAGAAAGAAAACTAGTTTTCTCTTAAAACACATAATTTGTTTTGGTTCCATTAGTATCAATGTGTTACATACCAAAATGACTAATTCCCAGTACAATATGTTTCTCAGTGTTTCTACAAACTGCAAGCAGCTTTGTTTTTTTTGAAAGTACATATTTATTTATAAATATAATATTTGGTACAACAGAAATCCAAAACAAACACAACATCTTCTGTTACAATTTTTTCCTTTTCTCACGATACAAAAAAAATTCCATTGTTTACAGTACATTCCTTCACCGCACATAGGTTGTGCACACATTTTTTGAGACGCTCCCTCTAACACAGTTGGGAGTTACCCCTGTGTACACCACATCCATGTGCGCGCCCGCGCACACCCTGATAAGGTGCGCTTGCTGCTTTTGGAAAGTGCCCAATGTGCACTGTATGCGCACATGGTTACCATACATACATTTTCGGGATGCTCTTTGGTTACAAACTGTAAATAGCACAATAGACAATCGAGCCTCAAGCTTTAAGCCAAGCCTCTGCCATAGCCTTTTCATTGTACTCTCACATACCTCCCAACGTTTCAAGTGGCTAAGGCGGGATACAATAAAAAAACATCCCTGTGAGGGTGGCAAGTGGCTGGTCTGTGTGCACACATGCAGCAGCCTCGCGAGAACGGTTTAAATTGGAGCAGGGAAGCAGCTAGGCTGTGTGCGGTTATGCACTGGCCTCTCTTAAGATTAATGCAGGAAATGTATTAATTCAACTGGGACAGCTGGTTTAGAGGGTTAAAACGTGACAGTCTAGCGCAATCCGGAACTGGTGGGAGGTATGCTCTCAGATGAGGAGTCCTGCCAACGAAACAATTAATTGCAGCACACACGCATGCACCCACACACACACACATATTTATCTATGCATGGTGATGCAGATCATAGAATAATAGAAATTTACAGCACAGAAGAAGATCATTCACCTTATTGTGTGTTTGTGTGTGCTTGCTCTTTGATTCGACTTCAAGATCCTCACCCTTGTCTTCAAATCCCTCCACTCCTCTGCACCATCCTACCTCTTTGACCTCCTCTCTCCTCACAACAGTGCCCGTTGCCTTCGTTCCACTGGATCTGACCTCCTCCTTGACCCCGAGTTCTCCGCTCCACCCTTGGCGGCCGTGCTTTCAGCCACTATGCCCCGAGGCTCTGGAACTCCCTTCCTCACTCCCTTCGCCTCGTCCCCTCTCATCCTATTTTCAGGTCTCGGCTGAAGACTTTTCTTTTCGACCACGCCTTTGGTCACCTTCCTCCCCCTCCCCCTGGCTCGGCACCGGGATCCGTTACTGCGAAGCGCTCTGAGACGCCGCCCGACGTGGAGGGCGCTATATAAATCCAAGTTGTTGTTGTTGTTGTAGGGCTATGCTTTCAGTCCCATTTACCTACCCTTTCTCTATAACCTTGAAGATCAGTATAAGGTGGGTCCTCCATTTCTTTTTCTCAATATTTCGGCTTTTTTTGTGTTCTCAATATTTATGAGCCCATCATATTAACAGAACGCCACTTTTGATGGTTAAGTCATCTGTGTGGTTCTACCTGGGTTTAAAATGCGCCTGAGTTCTTTGTGCGAGTGTTCTGAATCTAGACCGACTCGGGTTCTTAAATGTTGTGTTACCCCTGGAGACTGTGTCCCATCATCTTATGTGTCAATTTAAATAAACTTTTTTTTGTCAATGTTCTTTTACTTCAGTTCCTGTTGTTATTTTTCTGCCTGACTGAAAGAAGGACGTAGCGTTCAAAGCTGAGATGCCCCAACTAACTCCAGCCATAGCTTTGCAGATTGGTTTATTGATATCTGCTCTTCCTGCGCAGTACCTTCTGTCCCGATGGTCTGGCAGTGATCGTAGCCAACGCATCCAGGCATCGAGAAGGTAGGAATATGAGCAATTCATTTCCTGTCCTTAAATTTATTTGGTGTACTCATCAAAGTAGTAGAGATTTATACTAGGGGAGGTAGCTCTTTGCTGCTTTGTGCACCCAGCTTCAGTTTCGGAGACTCCCAGGTCCGGTTCTCGTCAACCCAAAATTATAAAGTTCCATCTGCTCTATCCCAAGAATATGCCTCAGTCCTCACTTCAGCTATACCAAATGTAAGGATTATTATTATTATCATTTTTGGATTTGTCACTGCCATACTGGTGAATGTTTCCATTTCCTACACCTTTCATCTATTCGCCCACAAATTAAACATTCAATTCACTTTACAGTATATTCTGTGAAGCGCTTTGAGATGTCTCTAAGACGTAATAAGGCACTATGTCAAATGCAAGCATTATTATTATTATCTTTGGAACTTCTCTGAGTGAGAAGTGTTTTATGCTGTGGGATCACGCAAACTAGGAAATAGGTTAAGACCCAACCTTTTCTACCATCTGCATTTGAATAGATGTATCCTCATGACAGTTGCTGTCACCTATGTCTGCACTCTCACAGGTTGATTTTAAATTGTACCTTGTAAGAAGCAAAATTCAACTTCATTGGTTAAAAAAATGTTTTTCCCAAGTGCTCAATTAACAGGTCACCACTGTCCTCAAACACCACTGTTCTCTCACTGAACAGCAGAACCAAGTGGACTGCACAAGGCAGAACATGTATTAGGTTTATTTTCTATGGAGTTGTGCCTTGTGTTGTTTTCCTTTTCCTTTTTATTCCTTGTTGCTCTTTGATCGGTCGGCCAGTCTCTCTTTTTTGCCATTCTGTCACTGCCTTTGATTTCTCTCTTTCCTCTTCCTACTAGTTGCTCACTGACATCTACACCTGTCCCATTGAAATTGAAGAAGTAAAGAAAAGGATAAAGTTTACTGTATAATAAATTATTTTAATCATTTAACGGAAATGAAGATGTGGCATTTGTCACACATTTAGGCCATCCAAAGTGACTATTTTGGTATTGTGCTGATTTTGTGTTTTCGTAATGGGGGAAGTTATTTTTTTAATGGGAGGAAGTAAAGTTAGTAAGTAAACTAGAAGAAAGAGTTTCTCAGCTGAGCAGCTTGTTGTGTCGTTAATGTATAAGCCACATCATAGCACAGCAAGTCCTCAAATATTAGTCAAAGGCAAATAAATGTTCCACTGTTTTCATGGAGAAATTGCTGAAGCTTGATACTGAACCCAAAAGAAGTCTTCCAATTGAGCCATTGCCACCACATAATTTTGTGTCACGTGTGGGGTGGATAACTGAAGCACTGGCATCTGCCCAATCTGATTGTCAGAAGGACGTTTTGTTCCATTTTGTTAGTCTCACCAATTGTATCCACTCCCTTCATTCTCTCCTGAAGACCTTTGATTCTCTCCTGCCCCCCTCTTCCTTTCACTGAAGTACAGATCCATAGACAACAGGGAACCTCAGGTATCTTTCCCAAGTCACTATTATTCCATGGACCCCAGCAGTGAGAGCTGCAGGTTATTAACCATAAGAGGCTTCAGAGTCGTTTACACAACATTCAGAAATGAGCATCTTCCAGGAGAGGCTCCGTGAAAAGCGATCAAAGTTCACTATAAAATATAGCGACATTTTTGTAGGCAAACATGGCAGCCAATTTGCGCACAGTGATATCCCACAAGACAGCCATAAGAAAACTGAACAATTATATCTGGGGGATAAAAGACACGTTGACCAAGACATGAGGTTGCAATGTGGACCTCATTCATTCCGGAGGCAGCAGCTGCCAGTTGTTTCTAGTTCACCGGCTGCCTTTTTGCTGTAAAATGGCTGAATTCTGATTTGCTGGGACACCATCGGTCACTTATTTCTTTTCAACACACGCGTAAAGTGACCATGGCGATGACAAATGAGCCCGAGGGGTGACCATTTTGGCTTCCTGTACTTTAAATAGAGGTCGACTTCCAGGTCAGCAGGTTACCACTGACTTTACTTCCTGCTTTGCATGTGGACAGTTGACAATTTTTGCTTTTTCTGTGGGAAACTGCAAAGTGCACATATGCTCAGTCAAACTCACTATCACATATCGCTATTTTGAGATTTACTGGATCCCAAATACTGCATTTTAATATGGCTGTGTTTTATGCAGCATAAATGAAGGAGAATCAGAGTTTCACACACTAGGTTCTGTTTTGGGTGGAGGAGTACCTTCTGTATATACTGAATGTTTCCAATTTTTTTTAAGGTTACTTAATACCTGGAATCAATTCAGGAAATCTTACTTCAATCTACAAGCGTGGAAGGATTGGCTACAACAGTGGCTTGTCAATGCCAGGTAGGAAATGACCAATAATAAATTTCAATGCACCTCATTGGAAAACTGTATCTTGGCAGGTAAGAAGAGCAAATCTCAGAATTATGAGGCTGACCGTAGTGCAGTAAATGTTCTTTTAAGAAGGCACACTGGAAAATCAAAAAGTAAAAAAAATTACAAATCTTGTAACACATTTTTTGTTAAAGATTTTTTCCCCGTTGGTGTTTTACAGATCCAAAACATGGATGACAAAATGGGAAGAATGTATCACCCAGTCACTCATGCATACTTTCTACAGTGAGACTCCGTTATGACACCCTCTGTTGTAACACATTCATTTATAGCATGATTGAGATGTAGACCCCGACATTTACTTATCAAAAAAATCTAAACTGTATGCAGAAAAATGTCTGATTTCAGCATACCAGAAAAAAAAGTCTGACTTCCAGATCAACAAGTTGCCACCAATGTCACTTCCTGCACGGGAAGTAATATTAGTGTCAACCTGATGACTCGGAAGTCAGATATTGTTTTGGCACACGGAAGCCAGTCAGCTTTCTGCAGTCAATGCAGAGGAGCTGATTGGAGTTTACATCCTGTTATAACGCAGTTGGGATTTTATGGATCCCAAGTACGGTGTTATAATGGGGCTCTACTGTGGTAGAAGCTTTGCTCATGGTTGGGGACAAGTAATCTTTGCATAATTATGAGCACAGAATGGAGAAAGAGCTTTCCAAAACATTTCCTATTTTTCCTAATATTTGCAGGTTGGACCATGATGATGATCTTGCAGAGTCCCCTGCAGTGGAAGTGTTTCTATTGAGAGAGAAGAAGAGTTATTTTGGAGGTAATTGCATTGGGTTGCATTGTGTGTCACAGACTGCCTAATATGCTCTAAAGTTTCAGAAAACTATCAGCTTTTGCAATTCTTAAAGACTAAAGAGAGTATGATCTGCCCTGGCTGCTCCGCAGCTGTTAGGTGGTATTTGCATAACTTTTTTTTTACCTTCAGTGAAATTTCTTTGGATTCCAAGAATCAAGGAAACATGTTCTCCTCTGCTGTTCTTGTGATGTCAGTGAGGTCCAGTTAATGATAACTGACAAAATATTTGATTGCAATTTCTAAAAATTGCCAAAGCATGAAAAAGGTTGGCAATCAGTCTGACAGTTTTAAAATCACAATTAGATTTTTTTTATATAATGCAAATTCACATTTAGTACTTCCCACCCCTTTAGCAAGTATCGTCACTTGGACCCCACTGTTCTGCCTTTCCTTCCAGTTGTGTGCCAATGCAGAACCATCGACTCCCGAGACATAGAGTACTGGTTCGAGTATTACTATTATAAGACCTATCTTCCCTTGTAAATACAATAGAAAATTACCCACATTTAGTTTAAATGGGTTGACAAAGATAAGCAGGAGAGTGATCAATGCAGTGAGTTGTCCCACAGCCCTTTCAACTCTGGGACCTGCATTAGAATTAAGACCGAATTGATGGGAGGAGAACCCTTTTCTAAAGCCCTGAAGCAGCCAGTTTCCCCTCCCCTGCAAATTATTGTCTTTTAATCTTGCAAAAAATGTAAAACATGGAAAAAGGTCACTCGGCCCAACCAGTTAAATCAAACCCATTTAAAAGAAAAACTTTCAACCAACTTGTTAAGCTTGGATGTAAATATTATTCAAAGCTCTAGAATTAGTCAGAAGCTCTAGAATAAGTCTTTGGACGGGTTAAAAACATTCTACACTTTTTCACTGGTGTTATTATGTTATTAGGCTCACCTGATCCTCGCTCACCGAAGCCATCACATGTTAAATACAGAGTGGGGCAGGTCATCAGACACTTGGAGAGTGGATTCCGTGGGGTGATTGTAGGATGGGATGCGAGCGCGAAAGCTCCAGAAGACTGGATCCAGGAAAACTATTCTCCAAATGAGCAGGTATGGGAACCTTGTCTATTGGAACACAAGTACAAGAATAGGCCACTAAGTCTACGGCAACTCTCTTTAATTTAATTTTCCTGCCTTTTCTCTATGGCTTTGAATATAATATTAATATTCTTATTCATTTAGAATCAGCTTATCTCTCTCTTGACACCTCACTTGACTCCATCTATGAGGCAGTCTTATGTTCATTTTCATAAGCATTTGTACAAAGAAAATATAGCATGGAAACAGGCCACTCGGCCCAAGCAGTCCGTCCCAGTGTTTATACTCCACATGAGTCTTCACCCTTTCCTTACTACCTCCCGTAACCTTCCATTCTTCTCCCCTTATGTGAAGGTCCAGCTTCCGCTTGAATGCATCTATGCTATCTGATTCAACCACTGTTTCAGGCAGCGAGTTCCACAATCTCATTACCCTCTGCGTCAAGTAATTCCTCCTAAATTCTCTTTTAGGTCTGCTAGTCACTATTGTATACTTGTGTTCCCTTGTTACAGATCCCCAATCAGTGGAAACTGACAATTTATGTTAACCTTATCAAATCCTTTTATAATTTTCAGGGGATTCCCAAGGAATTTGGATTTCCCTTTCATCTTAGCTTTTATTTTAAGGTTATATATGAGAACGTGAGGTAATTTTTAATAATAAGTTCATATAAAGGAACATGAGTTCATATATAAAACATCAAATCATGTGTACATATGCAAAGGCAACTTTGTTGAAGGAGTTGGTATGGAGCAGCCCCTATTGTGTAATGACAAGAGCCGCAGCTTACAGAGCAGGAGTTCACTAGTTCGAGATCCAGTTCCTGTGGTTTGCTGAGGTTGAGGCTGCATGAAAACGCTACATTAGCGCCAGCTTCCTTAGGGTTAGAGAGTAGAAACTGGAGTTCCTGCTCTTAGTCTCTATGCAATACATTCTCCTGGTTATGCGCCTGTGGAGCACTCAGGTGAGAACGAGCCAGACCTGGCTGATGAGTTGACTGCCGCCAACAACAACAACAACAACAAGATTCCATTTATAAAGCGCCTTTCACGTCAGGAGGACGTCCCAAGGCGCTGTACAGTTGGGTCATGACCCGAGCAGGGGGGAAATGGTCAGGGTGAGGGAAGGGAGGGAGCAAGGAGGGGGGAAATGGTCAGGGTGAGGGGAGGGAAGGGAGGGAGCGAGGAGGGGAAGAGAGTCGAGAGGGGAGCTGAAGGCACGGTCAAAGAGAAAGGTTTTGAGACCGGCCTTGAAGGAGGAAAGGGAGGAAGCAAGGCGAAGGCACTGGGGGATGGAGTTCCAGAGCCTGGGGGCTGAGAGGCTGAAGGCCCGACCACCGATGGTAGGGCGGTTGGGGCGGGGGACGTGGAGCAGACCGGAGCCAGAGGAACGGAGGGTACGGGCAGGTAGGTAGGGGGATAGTAGGTTGGAGAGGTAGGAGGGAGCAAGGCCGTGAATGGCCTTGTAGGTGAGGATGAGGATCTTGAAATCAATCCTCTGGGGGATGGGGAGCCAGTGGAGGCGAGCGAGGGTGGGAGTGATGTGGTCCCGAAGCCTGGTGCGGGACAGTACACGAGCTGCAGAGTTCTGAATGACCTGCAGCTTGTGGAGGGAGGTGGCGGGAAGGCCGGCGAGGAGAGAGTTCCCATAGTCCAGCCTTGAGGTGACAAAGGCGTGGACCAGGGTTTCAGCAGCGTGAGGGGTGAGGTAATGCCGTAGTCTGGCGATGTTCCGGAGGTGATGGAAGGCGGTGCCAGTTGTGGTGCGGATGTGAGGGAGAAAGGACAGCTCAGGGTCGAACAAAACGCCGAGGTTCCTGACTGGCTTTGAGAGGTGGAGAGTGCAGCCTTGGATGCTGATGGTGTCAGCGCCTGAGGTGCGGAGGCGCTGACGTGAGCCAATCAGGAGGGCCTCGGTTTTTCGCACGTTGAGCTGAAGAAAGTTGTCTCTCGTCCAGGACTCGATGTCGGACAGGCAGCTGTCAGGACATCGGTGGTCGTGGAGTTGAGAGTAGAGGAGGAAAGGTAGAGTTGGGTGTCATCCGCATACATGTGGAAGTTAACTCCATGTCTGCGGATGATGTCACCAAGGGGGAGCATATAGAGGGTGAAGAGGAGGGGACCGAGGACAGAGCCCTGAGGGACACCACATGAGACAGTACGGGGGGTGGAGGAGAAGCCATTCGTCGAGACAAAGTGAAGACGGTGAGAAAGGTACGACCTAAACCATTCAAGGACAGTGCCTTGAAGGTTGAGGTGGGAGGACAAGCGGTGGAGTAGGATAGCGTGGTCGACCGTATCGAATGCTGCCGATAGGTCGAGGAGGACGAGGAGACAGAGGGAGCCCTGGTCACAGATGGTCAGGATATCATTGGTGACCTTGACCAGGGCAGTTTCTGTGCTATGGGCAGCACGGAAACCTGACTGAAGGGGTTCAAAAAGAGAATGGGTGGAAAGGAAAGAGCGCAGTTGGGAGGCGACAACTCTTTCCAAGACCTTGCCAAGACTCACACCATGAACAACAATCACGGCAATGGGGAAATCAGAATCCAGAGTCAAATGGCTTCAAAGTTAAAGCTGCATTTATGAATTTGCCAAATTCTGGACATTCTGAAATGCTATATAAATAGAGTAAACCTACCCAGACATCTGGGGAATACATTTTCTTGATTCCAAAGATAAATGATCACTGATTATTCGATGGTTTTGTTACTAGCACTTGAGAAATACTCCACATTACAAGGTTCTGATCCACTCATCAGATCAAAGAAGCCAAGCTACAGCCTACGTAGCAGAAGAGCAACTTGTTATAATAACAGGTGTACAGGTATGAGAGAAATTTGAGAATTTGTTGTATAAACAGAGGCTGGGAATGCATCATATTCAGCTGATTCAGCTATGTAAATAGCCTACTGGCCTTTCTGGTACTGCATTCAGTATTTTTCCTTAAATCACATGTGCAAGCACCTCAGTACTTGAGTATCGAGTTGCTGAAAAGCTGAAGAAGTGGTTTCAATGTTTTTCCATTAAATTGAAGAATGTGGGTTCCTTACATAGAGGTCAATGCTACAAACAGATCTGGCTGTGAATCTCAGCTTGAAAAAGTTGATCCCCATTAAAGTGTCAGTGATTTGGCCTTGGAGTGTGCAGCATTGATTTACTAGAATGATTCCTGGTGTCAAGGGCCTAAATTATGATGAAAGGATGGAAAACTTGGTTTGTGATCTGATCGAGGTGTATAAAATTATAAAAGGGTTTTGACAGCCTGAATAGTAAGCAACTGTTTTCTCAGGCGAGAGAATTGAGGATGAGAAGCCCTCTTAAACTTAAACTTATGGCTAAACCGTTTAAAAGTGAAATAAGGAAACATTTTTTCACACAGCGGGTGATGGGAATTTGGAATTCACTCCCCCAGATGGCAGTGGAGGCAGAGTAAACTGAAGAATATAAAAAGCAAATAGATAAATGCTTGACAGACAGGGGTATCAAGGTATAACGGAGAGAGGGCGGGGAGATGCAATTGAGTTGCAGATCGGCCACCATCTTGGAAATCTGTGAGACAAGCTCGATGGACTGAATAGACCTCTCATGCTTCTATGACTATCTTCCTAATGCAGCTACTCCTGTAAGACATATGGGCCATCCTATATATTCTATCATGAGAATGGTCATGAGCATGAGTAAACAAACTGAATGTCTATCATTTTAATATCGTTAGCATCATATGTATATATTTAAATAATACATGTATTACCAATGGTTTCCTACTTTAAGTAACTGCTGCTGGAAATCTGAAACAAAAACAGACGTCGCTGGGAACACTCAGCAGCTCAGGCAGCATCTATGGAGAAAGGAAAATGAGTCAACGGTTTGGTCCACGACCCTTCGTCAGAACTGGGGCATGTTGGGAGGGAGAGGCTTTTAAGAAAAGAGAGAATTGAGGATGAGGCCATAACAGCTCACCTTCCCCCTCCCCCTCTTCGGTGACCATTCCCACATCATCTTGGACCCAGACACACCTGATCTGCCTTTTTGTTACAAGTTCTTTTTCCCTCCACTTTTTGTTCTGCAGTATTAACACCTCTATTCCCCTGCTTTGTTGCAACCCCCCACTTTGTTTTACATCATTAACACCTCTTTAACCCATCATCCCCTGTCCTCTACCCCATTTTCTCCTTTATCTTCCTTGCCTTGCCTCCCCCTCTCTGTTAGCTCTTAAAAGCCTCTCCCTCCCAACATGTCCCAGTTCTGACGAAGGGTTGTGGACCTGAAATGTTGACCCACTTTCCTTTCTCCTTAGATGCTGCCTGAGTTGCTGAGTGCTCCCAGCAACTTCTGTTTTTGTTTGCTGGTCATATAATTCAGTTTTACTGTCCAAATTGTGCAATCTTTTCTGATCAACTTTTTGTGGTTTTAGGTGCATCACCCCCATTTGGAAACATATTTCAGGATGTTTGACGGAGCCCAGTACTTAATGAATCCCTGGCTTAAAAAAATGTACCCCCATGACTGATTGATCAACTTAACTGAAATAAATGTTTTCTTCAGAAAGTGAAGGTTGCCAATGTTGAAGATGTTATGATGGCATAGTAAAACAATTTTTTTTAAAAAAAATGACAAATTATTGGCACATATTGTATGATTTGCTTTTTAAAAAATGACATACAATTTATATCAAAAACTAAGGAGAAAACCATGAATTTGTGATTTCTTCTATAAATAGGTGCACAGTTAGTGTGTGACTGTAGTATCTTCACAAATTGGGAGTCTCACCGGTAGCTGTTCTGGGAAATTTCAACTTTTCTTGAGTTCTTTATAGCTTTTAAACATAAAAGTCCGGTTTCACTTGGATCGTACATTGCAGTCTCTGTTATGTAATTATAAACCTCACACTTTGGGCAATTAAGCTCTTCTAATACTTTCTGGGTGAAAGTGCCCCCAAAAGACTGCCATAAACATTGAATTGACCAGCTATTCCTTTCAATAAAATTATTGTGAAATTATATTTTATTATATTAAATTAGTGAATTTTAATATTACCTTTTAGGGTTACATTTCAGAAATTAGCTTTTAAAAATGTTTCAAACTTCCTGAAAAGATTTCATTTTACTTTCTAAATTTACTCTGTTATTCTCACTGACAGAGTTGATGTATAACCACTAGTAACCCACTGCCAGGATGCCAATAATATGATGAGGATTTCCAAATGCAAATCATTGCCCAGAGCTGCCTTCTGCTTGACACCTTCTTTCCCCCCCTGTTCCAATCTCATTCCCACACCCAATAATATTCTTAATATCTTATACTGCAACTTTGTTCAATGAGGGACCAGATTTGCAAATCATACCATTGCTACCACAGTATTTAAAAATATGTACTTACTGCTGAATATGCCACACGTCGTGGACATACATGGCACACACATTCAAACATAAAAGACTTTTGCTGTGTAGACTGGGATCTGCCCCATGAAGCCAAATTGAAGTGGTTTCTGCCTGCTTACTGAACATGTAGTAATTATTCTGCATTCTCTGGCAGGGGGATCAGTGGCTTGATGCTCTGTGCTCTTAATGCATTACAAAACGATGTGTAATATAATATAAAGATATTGGTCATACTATCTCAGTTACTCTCTTTATTTATCCATTTGAAAGATGCATACAGGAAAAGAGAGTGAGGCCAGGACTCTGGATGTTTTAAGGAACTGTTTGATGTTGTAATGGAACCGTTATTTTAGAAAAATGAGATCAAAAGAACCAAAGGACCTTCTTCAACCTACTTGTAAGTCTTGCAATTACATTAAGCATAGATAAGAACTACCACCATTAAATGTTAAAGTGCTCCCAACTCTATTAATGTCCTACATTAAATATGACTATTGAAATTCATATTTCTGCATATTTTAAAACGCACTGGGATTCGGAAGTGGCTAGGAATGTTTCATGTTTTCTTCCATTCTAGAAGCAACTCTTTGATTCTGGGAAAGTTCAGATACTGGTTTCCTTAATTGTTCCTCTTCAGTTTGTCTTTGGATTTAAGTTCAAAACTCACAAACACTTTGGAATTAACAGTCACGGAGGCATTACTGATCTGCTGCTGAATGGTTGGTGACCTTGAGCTCACAACTGATGCTGATTCAGAGGCTAGCCCCTCAGATTCTTTGACCTCTTCCTCCCGGATTACCAAAGGCCTTCCTAAGGACTGCCCAAGCAATCGACACACTTCCTGTGCTTTACACCGAGCATTAGCAACAGCTGTAAGACATGCTTGCCGTCTATGAAACAAAGAGAAAAATGATTATATTTTAATACACTTTTACCTCATTAATTTTCTCCCCCCCCAAAGCAATTTAACCCCTAGTGGGTTACAGTTTGATGGGCATCATTATCTCATTCAAGCAATCATAAACCTGTTTGAGCCTTCTCACTGACTAATTGTAGGTTATTTTAAAAGTGTTCATCACAGCCAAGTAATTAACTGGCATCCATATGAATGAACCTGTGCAAGTTGTTGTTGGGATGCTAAATAGCAATCAGATTTGGGAATTCTGGTTGTATTTGCTCCTTCCTAGCCTGTGGCATTGAAGGTAATTTCACCCCTTCTCATCCATATGGTTTCATATTATGTCAGACTAAATGTTATGTCCAACCAGCAGAATACAGTTTTACTCCCACTTTCAGCATCAAGTACCCATGCCAAGTAAAGAATACAACATAAAACTTAATCTACTCCAAACAATGTCTCCAAACCCGATTTTAAAAAATACTACTTGCAGTATGCTTTTTCCACACGACTCTTCAGCTTTCCTTAGAGCCTTTTTGTGTTGGAGCTCATTTCATATAGAACTCTTACAACCAGCAGAAGGCTGCCAATTTGCTGGACTGAAAAATACCTCTAACTCCCTAATATCATCCAGTCTCAGATATCACTTTATAAACGCCCAATGCCTAAAAACTATATTTTCATTGCATCTATGACACTGAAGAGGTGTAATGACAAATTGTAAAACAAACAGAAATATTATCTACTACACAACAAAAACAAAAACCACATCCTCAAACATTTATTTTGGGTTTGGGTATTGTGTGGATCCAGCACTTTTCAGATTACCTGATGTTTTCCACGGCTTCAGCTGTGTGGTAGAACTGAGGTGAGCTCACGATGACAGAACTGTCCAGTTTCTCAACCAGTAGGTTACACAAATTCTGCATCTTACCAAAGTCGCTGAATATAACACAGATCTGTGAATGTGGAAATAATCTTTAGCAAAATCCAAAGGGCCGAAAAGCACATTCTTTGAACAAGTCAAATTTACTTCTCTACAATGGAGAATGATTGATCTGATTAAAACCACCATCTCTCACCTATGGGTCAGAGGGTTGTGGGTTCAAGCCCTATATGGTAGGGTCTTTAAACTCACAGTATAGTGGGGTTTTGTGGGAGCACTGCATTATTGGACGAAACGTTAAACTTAGGTCTTGTCTGCCTGTTCAGGTAGAGGTAGAGGTCATGACACAATTGAAAAAGAGAAGGCATTTCTCCTGGTATAAATCTCCTGAAGCAGTTTGAACTGTTTGAACAATGTATTGAGGCACTATAATAATAATAATAATAATCCTTGCATTTGATATAGCGCTTTTCACGTCAGGAGGACGTCCCAAAGCGCTTCACAGAACACACTGTAAAGTGAATTGACTATATTTGTGGGCTGTATATTATTAAATGCAAGAATTATTATTAGCTATGGCATTGCGCTTTGAGACTTTAACTTTAGAGGTGGTATATAAAATGATAGTATTTCTATCAAATGCAATTAATATACAGCTTTTTCATACACATTTCATTCATTGATGAGGATAGCAATCAGCAATGGGAACCCTAGCTGATTATTTCTCCTTCCCTAACTGAACTGATGCTATCCATAGTACTTCCACCTCTCTCTTAGCATGTCCTCATCAGGCATTGACACACAAATACAATTTGCACGAGAGGTAATTTTATAGCAGTTAAGACAGGACTAAGGTACCTCTGTTTCCATCTGATAGGCATTCTCAACTCGGCGGATATCTTTTGTCACAGTAACATTGTTCTCCTAAAATATCAACAACATTTTTTTTTAAAAGATGCACTAGTAATGATTCTCTTTTTGTGCAAAAATCATTCAGAAAGAAAAAATATAAGCCAGTGTCCCATTGAGCACATAATACCTTACTGCAGAGAGCAAGTAGTCTGAGTTCACTCATTTGGGAGCAAAGACATTTATTTAAGATGGTAAGTTTTAGAGTGGGAGCACTTTCTGTTCAAAGTATTTTTTTAAATAAAAAAAATCTATCTTGATAAATATTCCTTATTTAGCTCTCCTGCTTGGCTCTCGTCAATTCCCCCTCCTCAGGTGCTGACAGTATCACTATTCATGGATGCACTTGCCACATCACCGAGCCAGAACGGATCCTTGGTGTCTTGTTTGACCCTCAACTGTCCTTTAAACCCCACATCTGTGCCATGATCCATTCTACTTTCCTCGACCTCCGCAACATTGCCCACCTCTGCCACTACCTCTCCCCTCAGGCCACCGCGATCCTTATTATTGCTTTCATCACATCCAGGCTTGACTATGCTAACTCCCTGCTTGTTGGACTTCCCAACTCTTCACTCCACAAGCTGTAGATTATTCAGAGCTCTGCAGTGCAGTGTTGGGTAGAGCGCTGCATTGTTAGAGGTGCCTTCTTTCAGATGAGACATTAAACGAGTGACCAATCTGTGCCTGTTCAAATGGATGTTAAAGATCCCATGGCACTATTCAAAGAGAGATGGGTTGCTGCTGGTGTGTTGCCAACAATCCCTCAGATAAAACTGTTCCACTTTTATTTTATTTTAATCAACCGGGTGACTGACTTGACACCGCAAGGAAACCCATCACCCGGGGATGGGTTAAGATAGATAAACTATCATTGTTTGTGGAACAGTTCTGTGAAGCGCTTTGAGACCTTCTCCTGACGTGAAAAGCGCTATATTAAATGCAAGGATATTATTTATTTTAAACAGCAAGAAGTTTGCCAGACAATGCTTTCGATGGCGATGCAGTTTTAGCTGGTTAGACTCCAGCACTACCTCAACGCACACTCTGGCGTCACCAAGGCTTGGCTTTTACCAGCCTGGACAATACTCTCTGGAATCGGGTAAGCAGGGTGCATCCTCCCAGCAAGACCGCATTCCTTTCTAAACACTGGGAAATTTCTATGTGCATCTCTCGGTTTGGATACTTTTAACCCATCCCCAGGTGATGGGTTTACGTGCAGTGTCAGTCAGTCACCCGGGTGATTAAAAGAAAAAATCAAAACACAGTATCGCTGACTAATATCTACAGGGAACACCACAGTAGTTATTCAAAGTAATCCTATTGAAAACAACAACAACAACAACAAGATTCCATTTATAAAGCGCCTTTCACGTCAGGAGGACGTCCCAAGGCGCTGCACAGTTGGGTCATGACCCGAGCAGGGGGGAAATGGTCAGGGTGAGGGGAGGGAAGGGAGGGAGCGAGGAGGGGGAAATGGTCAGGGTGAGGGGAGGGAAGGGAGGGAGCGAGGAGGGGGAAATGGTCAGGGTGAGGGGAGGGAAGGGAGGGAGCGAGGAGGGGGGAAATGGTCAGGGTAAGGGGAGGGAAGGGAGCGAGCGAGGAGGGGGTAGAGAGTCGAGAGGGGAGCTGAAGGCTCGGTCAAAGAGAAAGGTTTTGAGACCGGCCTTGAAGGAGGAAAGGGAGGAAGCGGCGAAGGCACTGGGGGATAGAGTTCCAGAGCCTGGGGGCTGAGAGGCTGAAGGCCCGACCACCGATGGTAGGACGGTTGGGGCGGGGAACGTGGAGCAGACCGGAGCCAGAGGAACGGAGGGTACGGGCAGGTAGGTAGGGGGATAGTAGGTCGGAGAGGTAGGAGGGAGCGAGGCCGTGAATGGCCTTGTAGGTGAGGATGAGGATCTTGAAATCAATCCTCTGAGGGATGGGGAGCCAGTGGAGGCGAGCGAGGGTGGGAATGAAATGAACAACGCAGTGTAGAGGACGTCCTCCCGACCGTAAAAAGCGCTATACAAATGTAATTTTGTTGTTGTGGAGTAAGATCTCCGTGGCTGTTTGTGGGACACAGCTCTGCTCAATTGGCTGCGGTGAATTCCCCGCGTCCCGTGAGGCGCTTTGAGACGGCTCAATGACGTGATTGGACACTGCATCAAATGCAAAAGGATTATTTCGATTTAGCGCTTCTCAAGTCTTCGAGGCGTCTCAAAGTGCTCCGCGGAACATCCTGTAAAGTGAATTGTGGGATTATCATCAGGAATGTGGAAACTTGCCCAAGGTTTCACTGCTGGGAATCAGACCCAGGTCTGTGGTTTGCGAGGCGAGTGCTCTGAGCACTTGGTATACACTATTGATATACACAGCACGCGGATCTCAGGCTGGTTTTGAGCCACTCAGTCAGATGGTGAGGGAGTCTGGGGGGAGGGGGGGAGCGGCTGTGGCTGATGTACCCGGAGGCCGAGGCCGCGGGCGCTCTGGCTGATGTAATCCACTCGGCGGCTCACGCTGCTCCGCGCCTCGGCTGCCGCCTCTTTCCTGCTCCACACTAACACCCGCACCCGCGCGCGGTCCGGCGGCGCCGACAACTCGGCCGACGAGCTGACGTGGACCTCCCGCCTACCCGGCTCCGGGGCTTGTGCTCGGCCGCGGAGCTCAGGCCCCCGCGCGTTCTCCTGATCCGAAGCCGGGACGAGAGCAGCGAAGACCCGAGCAGCGGGAGCCAGCGCCATGGCGAGGGGGCAAGATGGCGCCGCCCCCTCCCGCTACTATGGCAACCAGACGCGGGGGGTTGTGGGGACTGTAGTCGCGGCGCTGACGCCGCTGCGAGGAAACGACAGTTCCCAGAATGTATGGGAATGCGCACGCGCCGTTCGGTCGCGCTGGGCTCCCCCCCCGGGTTGTGTGTGGCAATGATGGCTGTTCAGCTGCCACTCACACCCTCTGCAAGGATTGCCCTCACTAACACTTGCTTCAGGCGGTTGTGGGTTCACGCTGACAACGCCGTGCAATGACACAGCGCCGCTCGCGCAGGGTAGCGGCCCAGAGCGCTCGACGGCGGCGGAGCATGACCCTGAGCCGGGATGGGGGGGGTGCGGGGGGTGCTGACCGCGCTCAGGGATACTACCCTACTTGAGGGGCGCACGGTCGAATAGGAAGGTCTTACGGCACGACTTGAAGATGGGGAAGGAAGGGGGAAAGATGGAGGGATAGAGCGAGAGTGTTCCGGAGCTTCAGGGCGGAGTGGCTAAAAGAGCAGCCACCCATGGTGGACCAAGGCACGAGGGACGTGCAGTAGTAGGCAGGAGCCGGTCGAGCGGTGGCTGCAGATAATGGGATTGGGGGTATGCAGTTCGGAGAGATAGGAAAGTGCCAGGGCATGAAGGGATTTGAAAACGAGCGTGAGGATCTTGAAATCAATCTGTTTGGCGATAGGGAGCCAGTGGAGCCCGGCTAGAACTGGTGTGGTGGGTGGACGGAGTTTAGTGCGGGTGTGTATGGGAACGGGCTGACACTGCAGTGTGTTGTTGGGTGAAGCACTGCATTGTTGAAAGGGACGTTCTTCAAGTTACATGTAAACCACAATCTCGTCTGCCCATTCAGTTGGATGTTGACAATTGTACGACGCTGAAAAGAAAAGGGAGATTCTCTCGATGTTCTGGCCAATAATACTCCAGAGATTGATACAGGTCAATCCTGTTTCAATGCGGCGGTCGGTTCTAGTTTTAGCAAGCGTATGTGTAAAAATGGCCAAAAGGCAGGGTTTTGCGTCATTCACTATGTCCACCTTCATCTAGGAGGAAGGTTGTTCAATCCACAAGGATACTGTACTTCTGATATACCACACTGGTTCATTGTGTACCCGCTCTAATCAGACCTGCACTACACTGGGGTACGTCATAACAGGAAATTGTTTCATAGATGTTTGTGGGACCTGTGTGGAAATTGGCTGCCATGTTGTGTTCAAATACTTCAAATACCCATTCACTACACTTGACAACATTTATGCGTGAGATGTTTTGATGCTTTAGGAGCTTTATCAAATGCAAGGATCATTTACTTCCATCGAGAGATGGCAAAGGGAAAGTGGAGCTGAGTCAACTTTGTACAGTGGACTTGTTGATCCAGCTCGGCTGCATTACATATCCAATGATTACAGCTGTTTATGTTGTAAAGAAATCTGTGCAACCTTGACATTCCAGTGGAATCAATACAAACTGACATTTGCAAATTATTTTTTATTTATTGTGTAAACCCCCAACAGATGTAGCATTGGTTATTGTACAAAACTACAACAGTAAGAATCAAAACTAACCTTACCTTACACAATGGACACCCCCCCACCCCACACCCATTGAATTGCATGAAGCCCTGTAGTTCAGTGGTTAGAGCACTCGCCTCACAAATGAGAGTACCTGGGTTTGATTCCCGCGCAGGGCGAAACCTTAGGCAAGCTTAAAAAGAATATAAATATATATATTTTTAGGCAGGTTTCCCTACTCCACACACTTGTTTACCTAGCAGTAAGTCGGAACCCGGTTGTTAGTCGATTGATGGATTGCTTTTCTGGGGGTAATAACACCTTCAAAAAATATTATAATAATAATTTGGTCACTCAATCCATGACTTTGTGGGACACTACTGTGAGCAATTGGCTGCCACGTTTTGCCCACAAAATTCAGTCACTACACTTTACAATATATTCTGAGAAGCCCTTCAAGACATCTTGAATATGTGATAAGATGCAATATCAAATGCAAGGATTATTATTTTTATAAACCTATCTCGTTTTGAAACCCCTACTGATTTTGTCTCCATTATCCCATAAAGGCAGATTGTTCCAAAGATTTAATTGAGTATAACAAATCTTCAAAATGTTTGCATTTTGAGATATCACCTTGATGTGATAGAAGCTATATTAATGTAAATTGTATTGTTTAAAGCTCTTATTCACAATTTTAAAATGATGTCCCTTTGTCCTAGTTTCCTGATTTAAAATGGGACTTTTTTTCTGGGTTTACTCTATAACATTAATATTCTAAATCAGTCTCAACCGACGTCTAATACTCGCTGAAATTAGCTAAACAGGAGGCGTCTCTCCAGAGGGAGTGTGTGCATTGCATTCCAAACACATTTCCATGCGTAGGTGGCATACATGAAACTCTTAGTCTGGTTTGGATACTCTTAACCATGGTGATGGGTTTCCGCATGTTTCAGACATCCAGGTGACCAAAAAAATATATTTCAAGTAGCTCAATTCTAACCTCCCAAACTACCTTAATTCTGGCCTGTAGAGATTACGTTTTTCAAATCTTTATTCATAGCGCAATCCTTTACAACAGGGATCATTTTGGTTGCTCTTCTCTACACTCACTTGAAGGCTTCTATGTGTTTCTTGGGTCCCACAATAGCATTTTAAAAATCGATCATAAACAAAACAAATGATTAGTAAATATTTTGGAGGAATTCCTTTATCTGACGTGCAATCGGTTTGTTAAGAATATTTAAAAACTGGAAAAAATGCACAAAATTGCCTGGAAATAAAAAAACAAAAAAATGTGAATAATAAGAACCGCTCTGAAGCATTGACGTAAAGAGGGTTTGATTTCTAAAAGTCATAATGAAAATATCCGTTTGATTCAAACACCATAAATTCAGGTGAGATTCTCAGATGTCAAAACATTTATGTTCTGAAATATTCATGATTATTATTAAAACTTATTTTACTTCTAAAAGTGCTTTTCTGCTCTTCTACAATACCTGCCATGCCAAAATAAAGTATTTAATTTGCTAGAGCTGAAGTCTTCTAAGAAAAGCAATAATTGAAATTAAAAGTCCATGTTTATCTAAATATTATTTTGTCATAATGTTTTCACTTTTCATGCAAATGGATTTGTCTGTTAGTATGGAAACATTGTCTTTCAGCAGCATGGTGAAAGTTGCTTTCCTTGAGGAATGCATTTTTCTTCTGAATGTATTAAGAGTAGTGGTAATGAAGCACATTAATAGCGGTTGTGATGGGGGGAATATTTAATGATAATTTTCATATTATATACTTCAATTTTGCCTCACTGTAACTGGACTCTCTAATAGGTAATTTGTAACATGTAGGGTTTCACAGTGTTTAGTACAGCAATGTGTTGAAACCCCCAAATTGTGAGGTCTTGAAGTGGTAAGAACCAACTTTAATTCCCTGCCTCACTGAGGTCCACATCACACCTGTGTATCTTACCTGTATTGTTCTGTGCAGCAACTCCCTCCCCCACTCCCTGTATAGGAACAGTAACAAGACAATGGCGTAACTAGTCAGTACCACTTAAGTAGCCGTGCTGTCAATATCCTAACCGCTTCCCATGTAAAATGTTAATAAGAGACTCCTCTTTACTTGTCACTTCGCCTAAGATGTAACTCGTCACATTCTAGAAATTCTCGTAAGTACTTACAATGTAAAATTGATTGGATAACTAGTCTTATAAGATAGCGTCTTGCATCGCAGATGTCTCCTGTCCTATCCTGTGACTAATCAGATGCATCACAGTGGTCTGTAGCCTCCCACCCTATCCCACCTCCCACCCTGTGCCAGAATATGGCCCTCCAATGGCCCAGAGGCCTCTCAATGCACCTGAGTATGTGCATCCAACTTCCACCAAACACCCGCACGAATGCCCCGTTCTGGATAACTAGTCGCCGAGTCCTTTCTCTTTGGAGTGATGAGTTATCAGGCGTTTACTGTGTATGTAAGGAGAAAATATCAGAGATTTACCCCCAGGTCATCCTTTGGTGCTGATCCAGGGTGGTCTTGGTGGAGCCTGAAGACAAGTCACCTGGTGGCCCCTTTGGACATGCTTGACCCTCAACTGTCCTTTCTCCCCCACAACCATGCCATGACCCGCTCTGCCGTCCCCCACCCTCGCAACATCGCCCGGCTCCACCACTGCCTCACCGCTCAGGCTGCCCAAACCCTCATCACGCATTCATCACACCTAGGCTCGATGACACCAACTCCCTGCTTGTTGGACTTCCCAACTCTTCCGTCCATAAGCTGCAGATCATCCAGGACTCTGCAGTTCGTATCCTCTTCTGCACCAAGCTCTGTGATCCCATCACCCCCACCCTGCTCCACTGGCTCCCCATCCTCCAGAGGATAGAGTTCAAAATCCTCGTCATTGCCTTCAAGGCCCTTCATGGCTTTGCCCCTCCCTACCTCTGCGACCTGCTGACCCCATATCAATCTGTCCGCTCCCTATGCTCAGCAGGCTGTGACCTGCTCCAAGTATCCCCCCGGCCCGCACCACCATCAGCGGTCGGGCCTTCAGGGTTTCTACCCCCACCTGATGGAATTCCATGCCACATTCCCTTTGCCTTGCTCCCACCCTTACTGCCTTCAAGACCCGTCTCAAAACTCTCCTCTTCGACCGAGCTTTCGGCCACCCACCTACTCTCCCTACCCTCCACCCTCCCCAATCCCGACCCCCAGCTCGGGTCCAAATCCCTTACTGTTCAACGTCTTGGGACGTCCCCCCGACGTGAAAGGCGCTATACAAATGTAATTTGTATTGTATTGGACATAGATGACAAGTTGTCTGGGAGACTAAATGAGAAGGAAAAATATGGTTTTAGATTGTAAAACATATAATATTACATTTTATTGATGTGTGCTTTCGTAGTTATAATTGTGGGAAACACTAGATGGTGCTCTATCATAACACTGTAAGCTCCTACAGTATTGATAGAAATTATATACAATGAGTCAGAGTTTTG